TGGATAAGAGGAGGGGGGATTTAGAATTTTTTGTGTTTGAGCGGGGTGGGATTTAAAAGTATTTTTTTAAATTTAAATTTTGCAGTTAGGCTATATCTATTTTTTCCCTTAAGTTTACTTATTACAATAAAAGCTGATCAATAATTTTAATGTCGAAACAGCTCAGATAATGTTATTAAAACATTGCTTTAAAAATATTTAACGAGGGGCTGTTTGCCGGCGGTGGAACGTCATTAATATAATGACATTATTGAGTGGGGTTTTACTTATTGCGACGATTGAAGCGTGTGTGGGGGGGGGGCACAACAGCGTGAGCTGATTAATGGACGGCAACTAATTAGACATGGCAGGATTGTGACAGGGCATGAAAGGATTACGTACATGAATGATGACAGGATTGTGCACCTGAATGACAGGTTTGTGTCCTTGCATGAATGACAGGATTGTGCCCATGAATGATGATAGGATTGTACCCATGCTGCATGAATGACATGATTGTGCACATGCCTAGCGAGGGCATCATTTGAAGGTTTATTGCTTGAGGTTGCTCCTATTGTTTTATACTGCCACCATTTGCTCTAACCACCTGTGTGTTTCGTTTGTTTGTACACGGTCTTTAAACTCAAGAAATGTACAAGTACTGCAGTACGGCTTATGTCTGCTTACCCACAGTAGGGCAATAAAAACGCTCATGGGCGCATTGTTTTATCTGGTATATTGCTTGACCTTTTCATGAGTTGCCAGATAAGTTAAGAATTTAGGGATATATAAAATAATATAGATATACCGATTATGTATGAAAACCACATGGTTATTAATGTAGGTGTGGGTGTACGTGTGGGTGTGGGTGTAGTGTGGGTGTACGTGTGGGTGTGTGTGTACGTGTGGGTGTGTGTGTACGTGTGCTTACAATCTTCAAAGTGGTCCAGTATACTTTCATGCCGCTGACCACTTTATTCGCAAATTCCCGACCTGTTGTGGGACTGTAAAATCGATGGTGCACCAATCAAGGTAAAAATGTCAAGGTGTAAGCTACTACTACCGCTGTCTTTAATTTGAGTGGCCTGAGAACCACAAACTTGGTGAGATAATCTTAGTGCACCACATATATATATATATATATATATATATATATATATATATATATATATATATATATATATATATATATATATATATATATATATATATATATATATATATATATATATATATATATATATATATATATATATATATATATATATACTGTTTCATTATTATAGAAAAGCGGTAAGTGTAAACGCTACATTAAGCACGTTTACAACCCTAATTGTTTCCGCATGTGTAATCGTAAATGTTGTCTGAATGAATACGCTAGTGTTACGGTAGTGTAGGGGGGGCAAACAGAAGCTTGTAGGGGCGCCAGTCAAGTACCCACTTTGTTGTGTCAAGTGGCCTTTTTTTTTTCTTTGGACTTTGAAACTGTTTTTTTTTTACATAACTTCTTACTATCATTTAATTATTTTAAAATATTTTTAAGGGTTATAAGCGTGTTAAATAAAGCAGGGGTTAATGTTTAGATTTACTAGATCTAGTTTAATCCACCCCCACCCTCCTCCTTCTCCCGTGCTCAGAAGTTGACACCCAAGAAAAGGGGAATAACTAAACGACAGTCTGGTAAGGTTGCCAAAATTGGTGCGTGCGTTCTGCTCAAAATGCCCGAGTGCCAATAAAGTATCGTATCGGGTTATTTATTATCCGGTATCGTGGTTACAAGGCTAGTATTGGATGTCGAGTTAAGGTCAGAGCTTTGGCTAGACTTAGGATTAATGACAGAGTTATGGCTTGATTAGATTTATTATTAGGCTAACGATACTCACAAATAAACATTAGCTTCGATACGCCGCATCGATATTTTTTACGAATACATTTTGTTCGAGATTTGGCCAAATGGTCAGGAATTTCTGGGTCAAATTTGCGTCGTGATTGCACGAGATCGATATGGAGGTGGTCACGTGACCGTTTTTTACGCTCCATTGGCGCTGATGAATAAGTCACGGTAGCTGATCGATGGTCTGATCCTCCAGAGCCACGTGACGAGGGGGGAAGTTGGAGGAAGTGCACGGTCGTGTTGTGTTACATTTGAACAATTTGTATGAGGGGTCGTGAATAAACGACGTCACGACGCTACGGGGAGTCTTACAACTTTTTGTAACGACGTGGGGGGGGGGGGGGGGAGGGAGAAGGGATAGTCAGAATGTATGAAGACATTCACAGTCAAGGATTGTTAGAAGCCGAATTTTAGTCGTTATTTTGTGTTTTCTAAAGAGGTTGTTTTTTTTTTTTTTTGTAATATAAATCGATCAATACTGACCGAGTAAATATTTGAGAAAGAAATCGATTTCTTTTAGTAGCGGGTAGACTGTGGTGAGCCATAATTTTATACGGGAGGGAGGGGGGGGGGGGATACAAATTGTTTTAAAAGGTGAGAGGTCGTTTATAGATAACTCCTAAGGTGTGTGTGTGTTGGGGTCACGTACTCGCTTATTATAATTAGTATAATTAATACACACGTCGTAATTAGCATTCTATCTGTTTATGGTGTTTAAACCCGAACACTACCTGGTGGTGTCACAAGAGGTTAGTCTTCGGCTACTTACTACATCATTGTACTACATAGGTTAGGTTAGGTTAGGTTAAGTTAGGCTAGGTTAGGTTAGGTTAGGTTAAGTTAGGCTAGGTTAGGTAAGCTTAGGTTAAGTTAGGCTAGGTTAGGTTAGGTTAGGCACATAGACATTCCACCCCTACAATACTGTATTACACCGACTGTCCGCACTACCCCCCACTTTACTCCCTTCTCACCTCTGTCATAGACTACCACCCCCCCCCCCCCCTCTAACCGAGACACATGAGCCGCCTAATTAGTATAAATTATTCTAAATTAATCGTCTTATTGGATCCGATTATGTAAGTGTGGCAGGTGGTCTAATGTTGAGTCTCACGGCATAGAGTGGGCTCTCGGTAGTCGTGTGTGGTAATGTGGTTGTTGTGGTGGAGTGTGTGGTAATGTGGTTGTGGTGGTGAAGTGTAGTAGTGTGATTTTTGTGGTTGGGTGTGTGGTAATGTGGTTGCTGTGGTGGTGAAGTGTGGTCATGTGGTTGTTGTGGTATGTGGTAAGTGGTGGTTGTGGTTGTGGTGAAGTGTGGTTATGTGGTTGTTGTCGTGGCTGTGAAACACAAAACCACCAATTCTACGTCCTTGCTATTTGCATTGGCTGATCATTATACATTTTATGAAGACCACTTAACCCTTTAATCGAAATGGTCAGTACACTGTGTTAACCAATTGTCCTGAAAATTATCTTTGACGGTCAAATTCTCCTTTGGCAAAATAATAAAAAAATAAAAACCCACCCTTTTGAACAAAAAGAACGACGTCATTTGTTCTGACTTAATCTATTTTAACAAAGCCTTTCCCCTGTCTAAACGAATATGCGGAAACAAATTCATAAATATCACATCGTCAAATCGGATATTTCCGGAGAGGCAGCTTTCTGGGAACACACCGCCAACAGGATTTCGTAGAGGTCCTGTCACGTTTGTTTTGGAAAGCGAGGTTTTATTTTCAGGATTGTTTAGTGGTGGTGGATGTTCACTTTGTGAGTGTTGTGAGTAAACTGGTTTGTTTGGAATGTTCTTCATGTACTGTGTGTAAACTGATTATAAGAGCTTAGACATAGGTTGTAATGTTACGGTTATGGTAGAGCATTAGGGTGGACTCGATGCTACTCCTGGTTCTGATGAGATGATGACGTAGCTGTGTCTGGTGCATTGGTTGTGTCCTATCTCTGACACAATGACCACTGTCCTATCTCTGGCACAATGACCACTGTCCTACCTGTGACCCAATGACCACTGTCTTAATTGTTACTTCACGTAAGTCTAGTTATTCTCATCCAGTTACCACTTTTCCCACAATCCCCCCCCCCCACACACACACATAAGTTGTCCACTTTACCTACAAGACTGACGTAATTTAAATAAACATGCAACAGATGTAGTCACCCACTGCTCTACGTGAAATGTTTAACATAATTTATACAGGCTCCTCCCCATTCATTTGTTATTCACACCCTTTGTTTACTCTTGCTACATTTCCATGCTACGTTTGCTGTTGTCGTTTACATTTTATTACGACCAGCCAATCCTACCAGATGCATACTCATTGTGTTTATTTTAACGCAAGGCAAATTTTGTATACATATTTGCATTCAAGTATAATACCTTTTAAACAACATGTATTTGAAATACGGTAAAATTATCTGAGTATGAGCACATATCTAAGCTAGGTAGTCGGATATGCGTAAGTTGTATATGTTTTTAAAACCCGTTTTTTTTTCTGATTCGACCATAAAAAATTGCTTACGATGTCTTATGTTGTGTTGACCAACAGACTCCAGCCCTCGTTTGCATGTTTGGAGTTTATTAAAAAATGGACGGTTGCGTTTTTCATTCCCTCTTGATAAGCTTTTAGCTTTTGTTGATAACTTTTAACAGGACACAATGGTATACAATTATTTGTTTTGTCGCAGTGTAAGAGGATATCCGTTATAGTAGGCAGTCACGCTCATAACTTCATGCGTATGACTATTGTGTACGTCGGTCATACATGTGACATTTGTGTCCGTCATTCACACATGTGACAATTGTGTACGTCATTCATACATGTGAAAATTGTGTACGTCATTCATAAACGGTATCTGTGTAAAGTTACTCTTTAGACCGAGCGATACATTTGCAGATGAAGTAGAGTTCATGTTTCTTGACCTCGGTTTTACAAATGGACGGTGTACAATATTGTGCCCAACCGCCTTTACTTTTCCCAACGCAAATCAGGTAGCCATCGGAGCTGGGTGGACTCATGGAATAGTGCATTTTATAACCACACGCTAATAGTTTTAAGCTTTATTTGTACTATGGTCAATATTTCCATCTAACTAAAATGTTTTACTTTTGCAGGTGACGGCAACTTCGAGAAGAATTCTTTGAAAATTTCTGGAAAGTTCTTGGAAAACGACTTTCAAGCTGAGACTGAAAATACTCTCAGAGATGTGTTTGACACTTTTGAGTTGACTGTAGTTCATCAGTAGATCTACTTTCATTTTCAGTTATACATCGCAGCAAATCCTCCTGATCTTATTTATATTTCGAGAAAATCGAACTTGTTCTTAAATTAGCGAACAGTTTTTATCCAAGATCCCAGTGAAAATGTACGTCAAATTGCTGCTCTTAGCCATCTCCGGTTTCCTCCTGATTTTCGTCGTGTCGGCTGATATAACCGACACGGTCGAACTGCTCAAAATTTCTTTACTGGACGTCGGGGGGTTATGGGTCAAGGCCATCGAAACAGTGACCTCGAAGTTGGTTCAAGCCGTCACCTCTGTACCGGATCTGACGTCACCGTGGACCTACGTCATCTACACCCCTCTCCTCCTATTCTTCTATGCCAGCTACGTCGTGTTGTTCTGCCCGATGAACCGCGTCAGAAAGCTAGGCGATGTCGGGTACATTCCCGAGGGGGCGTTTTCGGTGAAGGAGACGGCGAACTTCGTGCAGAAGAGGCGGAAAGTGGGCAACGTGCCCCCGGTGTACCCCAACGGCTGGTTCGGGCTTCTGGAAAGTTCTTGCTTGAAGAGAGGGGAGGCGAATACAGTAAGCGTTCTGGGTGAGTTGTTTAGATACACAATTTTTTGGGCTTTACTGGGATTGTTGGAATTAGAATCCCACAACGGAATGATACATCTACTGCATTCATTCACCCTTACCGGTGTTAGGCTTAAGGTTACCGACTTACGGTTAGGATTATGGAGTTAGGGTTAGGATTTTGGAGTTACGGTTTGGATTATGGAGCTACGGTTAGGATTATGGAGTTGGGTTAGGATTATGGAGTTACGGTTAGGATTATGGAGTTGGTTTAGGATTACGATGTTAGGATACACCTGATTTTAGATCGGATTTTTGTCAATGCGGACGATAGAACTGTTATGAAGGGTTCGGTAGAAGCGCATATGAAACTGATGGGGTTCGGTACCTCCAAAAAGGTTAAGTACCACTGGTTTAGAACTAGAAGTTGCTGAACAAAAAGGTTCGTCGTTTAGCAATAATTTCTGTTAAAAATATATTTACAGTATTTATGTTCTTTTACAATTAGTTATATGGGTCTTAGTATTGGAGTTTGTCGTTAGCATCATATTAAGTTTATACATCATTGTTTGTCGTTAATATATTTAAGACCTTGTTGTTTCTGCTATTTAAATTATACAACTATTTACCAAGTCAGTTAGAATGTGAGTTCAAATGTCATCATGTCGTCACAGCTAGGTCAAAGTTTCTTCCAATCAAAGTTTGTCCTGCTAGTTAACCCCTCGTGTAATCTTACTAATTAAAAAACGTATTTCCAGGGTGCACTTAATTAACGCAGGTGTAAGGCGCACTTCTCTCCCCCCCCCCCTCAAACCTCAGCTTTTGAAATATCGTAAAATATCGTAAAATATCGAAGGCAGTTTTGATTTCCGGCTTTAAGTAGCAGTGCTTCAGAGCCTATTTTGACATCAGATTTAAAAATTTTGGGGGTTTGGGGTAGGGGGTCGTATCATGTCGTGATTTTAGCTATTACTACATATGTATTCTTATGTGAAGTTTTTTTAAAAAATGAAATCAAGTAGGCCCTACGTAAATTATTCATCAAAATGCAATATCTGTAAAAAGTTCTTTAATTTTTCATTAGTAAAATTTCATACCTATAGTCATTGATGAGAATAGTTGTGGGCACTCTCAAGCGGAATAGAGATTTGTGTCTGATTACAAGTCTAGCTGACCCAAGTAGCTGATCTAAATCTAGCTGACCAAAGCTAGTGACCAAATCTAGTATTATACACTTTGGAGAGGGGGGGAATTAGATTTGACCAAAACTTTGGTCAGCAAGACGGCTAGTCAACTGGGGACTTATCGATCGGACACAATTTTGTGGGTTCGTTTCGATTTGACACCATTTTGGGGGTTCGTTTCCCTTTCATCCGGTGCTAGAGCCTTGACGTGGCTTTGCAGCTTGTGTACCTTGACCCCCTCCCCAGAGCTATACCAGCGGAAGTATAAACTCCTGGCTGGTTCAACCAAGCAACGAAGATCTGTGTAGGTAGGGGTCAGAGGAAAGCTAGGACCCTGGTCCTCTAGGTTGGGGGTTGAACATAAGGCCAGCAACCTTATAAAAAAGAATCTAAATATGTTAAAGAAACCGATTTAGAAAGTCAGATATCAAAGTATGTTAAATGGGAGCTTTTCAATATAACGGACTATTTTTGGGGAATTGTCGGGAAAGTTGAAGTTGACAAAGACGGAAATTGAGTTAACTTTCCGAGGACGACCCATGTGCCCTGACGGAAAAAGCCGACGGCGTTGAGGCTAATGTCCATGTCGACTGTCAGGATTCTTGTGTTGGCTGTGGTCATTACATGTCATAAGTAGCCATGACGTACACTGTTACATAATAGATTTTATGTAAGGCATGCCTTTAAGTAAAGTTCCCTATCAAACATGACGGTCAATGGGGCAAGTGAAGTAGAGTTCCCTGTTTCTGTGACCTCGGCGTATGAAGAGATAGTGTGGTCAGCACTATGCCCAGCCGCCTTTACTTTTCCTAATGTCATTGGCGTGATTTATATTTAACGTGGCTTTGGGTTTAGATAAAAAATAGACATCGAGTCAAAGCCCAGACATGTGGAAGTCTAAAGTGGGGGGGCGGGGGGTCAAGACATGTGACGGGCAGGTGCTATGGGACAGCAGGGTGTGGAAGGAACTGAGCCTCAGTTGTCTCCTTCCTGCTGATAAGATGGTGACAGGCTAAAAATAACCTTGTCACATGACCTGTGTATTGCATGAGTATACACGATGGCGTCAGTACCACCGTCACCCCATTTTTATCAGCGCGAGAGGCATTAGGTGGGTCGATCACGTGGACCGATCACGTGGTACGTGTATTGAGCAACTCTTCTTTTTTTAGACGTAAGAGCGAGATAATCTCTTGTCTTTTTTAAGTCCAGATAAAAATCTTGTCAAAGTGTAGATAACCATCTTGTTAATGACATGATTTTAAAACGGACGTCTACACTAGACTACGTTGCTTGAATCACGTAGCGCCATTCAATATCTACAGCTATTGCGTGACATGGGTGACTTGTGTCGGCCTAAAGTCTCTAAACGTTTTTTTTTTAATGCTACTGTAAGCATAACTTAGGAGACTAATGGGGAGGGGTGGGTGGGTATTGGGGGGGGGGGGGGGGGTCAGTTGTGACTTGGTATCACAGTGACGTGCGTATAAAAGAAAGAAATTGACCCACTAATACCCAACGAAAACGCTATATAATATTTTCTAGGGACGACTAACTATTATTTTATATCACATTTCTTTGAATCTACCCCACACCCCACTTCTCTCTACACACGCATACCACAAGGACACAAACAAAAAGGAAACTAAAACTAGTCAGGTAATCACATTGAGTCGCTGTAGTTCCGTATGGTATGCAGAAAGCTGAAAACATTCTCCAACTTTTTAATAAACCGGTCCCATTTCACTGAGCCCGTTCTTTCTAGTCAATGGGGGGATTGGGGGGGGGGGGGGGGCTCTCCAAGGGAGGACACCGATACTCGTAGTATTAATGGCCTTCCGTCTTACAAACACGGGGGGGGGGGGGGGGGGTGCTGCAGGATTAAAGTATATATATATATATATATATATATACATATACATATACACACACACACACACGCATATATATATATATATATATATATATATATATATATATATATATATATATATATATATATATATATATATATATATATATATATATATATATATATATAGGGTGCGAAAATCATCTCTGTTCTGATTCACCCAAGCTGTCTGTACCACAACTCTGTAGTAACCAAGGAATTCATCGTGTCTCAGACCAGGATCCTTGGTGTTTGCTGTAATATTAAATGTCATCATTACATTCCCGCCGTAACCTTGAGCATTTTTCTCACTTGTTAAAATCTGTGTCAACAGGTTGTACGGGATGGGAATGGGGGGAGGGGGGTCTCGTTACTTTGGGTTAGAGGCATGGGTTACATCATTTTACCAGCCGATAGAACTGGTTTTTTACACATAACTGGTCACGTGAAGTCAGTGAGATCTGTACCTCAGGGATCTCATTTGTTCACGTGTAGCACAGGGATCCCATTTGGTCACGTGTACCTCAGGGATCCCATTTTGTCACGTGACTGTACCACAGGGGTCCCAGCAAGTCGGTAGATTTGGTCACGTGACATGTGATCTGTACCGCTGGGATCAAGTCCCGCCATTTACTCTATTGTAACGGTTCAGTGGTTTTGTCCTGTACTGCCAACACTGCTTGCAATGCTTTCATTGAGTGACGCGCTGGTATTTGGTGTTTGTGTGTGGGGGGGGGGGGGGGGGGCGGAATCTATTGAAACTGTGAAGTAATTATGTTCGTAAAGCGGATCGAGCACTAGGATGTGTAAATTTCCAATGTTGTATCATTGAGAAAGATTTAGACTAGTTAGAAACGTGAACATGTCTAGCTACTATAGCTGAAGGCTGGGGGTTGTGGCTGTGTGGATGGGTGTGTGGATTGTTGCGGAAGATGTTTGGTAGGACGGAAGATGTTCGGTAGGACGGAAGATGTTCGGTAGGACGGAAGATGTTCGGTAGGACGGAAGATGTTCGGTAGGACGGAAGATGTTCGGTAGGACGGAAGATGTTCACCATTTGTGAACGATTCGCTAAACTGTCTAGTGAATAACGATTCAGCCAATCCACTGTTTGATTCTTGCCATCTCACGCAACAACCAGACCAATGTCCAGCACTTGAACTAATTATGTAACTATGTCACACTAGGTTGTTTTTCCAGTGACCTTTTTTTTTATCTCGGTGCTCGTCACAGTGGCGTGATCAAACACGCAACCTTTGACCCCTATTGCGTCACGTTTCTAGCTTCCTTCTACACAGGATGTAGTCTCCATAACTTTTCCATTTTTTTCTGTCGACACTTTGTATTTGAACAAAAGAAAAATGATTTTTTACCGATAAAATCCCCCTCCCTTCCACACCACCTTTACATGATAAGTTTAAAATGCTGTCCACGCGCTATCTCCACACCTTGTATATCCTGCTGATACCTGACCTTGTCGTCTATCTTGATGTACCATTTCCTGTACTAGTGTTGTTGTACTACATTCGATAGCGATACGATGGGTTTTCTTTTCCTGGGTACCACATGGTATTTTAGTTGGTAAGAACGGCCACACCCAAGGCATATACACCCCAGGGTATCTAGGCTACACCCCAGGACATGTCATATACACCCCAGGTTATTTACACCCCAGGTCATATACACCCCAGGTCCTATACACCCCAGGTCCTATACACCCCAGGGCATCACCCCAGGTCATATACACCCTAGGGTATCTAGGCTATACTCCATCAACAACACCCCAGGTCATGTACACCCCAGGTCATATTCACCCCAGGACATATCTTCTCCTCTTTTCTTACTAAATTCGCTGACACTGATCAAACAACTGTAAAGTGTCCACTTATAGAGCGGCTCCAACCATTAGTCTAAGCCAGGGGTCTCCAAACTACGGCCCGCGGGCCGGATGCGGCCCGCGAGGTCATTTTATCCGGCCCGCGACTATCTTTTTGTCCACTAAATAAATAATTGTTGGAGGTGGCTGAGGAGCTTTGGACAGAAAATTCAAAACTATTTAAAATGTAGCTTTGTCTGCAAATACAATTACTCGTCGTGTTGCAGACATTGGTGAAAACATAGTGACTCTAATAGCGAAAAATTCAAGGAAGTTCAGCCATTTTTCAATTGCAATGGATGAGTCGCTGGACAGCTGTTCCATCTCTCAACTGCTTGTGTTCATTAGAGGTGTGGATGAAGACATGAACATAACACAAGAGCTGGCTTCCCTACATATAATGTATGACACTGTTACCGGAGAGGATATCTAACCATAGATAGTTCAGAGACAAACACAAAAACGCAAGATTTACCATATTTCACATCAGTAAGATTGCTAATTTTGCGAGAAAATTCTGAGCAGAGTATCTAAGAAAAGAAATAAGTGACTTCCTGATAGTAAAGGAAAGTCACAGCCATTTTTGTCTGATGAAGAGTGGGTATAGAAATTGGCCTCTGCTGCAGACATAACTAGTCATTTAAATTTTCTGAACCTAAAACGACAACAGAGTGAAATCTAGTTTCAGATCTATACATCCACCTAAAGGCCTTTAGATACAAACTTGTCATGTTTTTTGGAACAAGTACAAGCTAACAACTTGACACACTCTCGGCAGTGCAAGGTTTTTATGGCTGAAACAACAACTGAGTTCCCCACGTAATTTACATACGAGATCAGTTTCAATAGCGGTTTTCAGTAGCGGTTTTCTGACTTGGATTCATAGGCAGAAGAAGTGAGACTGTTTCAAAGCCCATTTGAAGCAAATGTGGCCAGTTGCAAAGATGAACTGCAGCTGGATGTCATTGAATTGCAAGAAAATGACTTCCTTAGAGACACGATCAAAGAAGGGCGGATGGGTTTTCATACGTTTTTGCACAAAGAAGACTTTCCTAACATTAAAACTTTTGCATCTAAGTACCTTTCAAATTTTCGAACAACATACCTGTGTGAACAAACATTTTCAAGAATGAAATACGTGAAGAACAATTTAAGAGCAAACGTGGACCTCGGGTAAAGGGGGGGGGGGGATGGACATTTGAAATTTGTATATATTTCTATATAAATTATATTTCGTTGGGGAGGGTGGGGCAGTAGAGGTTCTTCGGGTGAGGGGGGGGGGGGCACGACCCTTAAGAGATGCCTTAAAGAAACTCTGGCCCCCGAACTGATATTTGATAGTTAATGCGGCCCTCTGGCTGAAAAGTTTGGAGACCCCTGGTCTAAGCCGTCTGACCTGTCTGTTCATACGTGTCTGTGTCACGTTGTTCTCGTTATGTCTAAATCTACACCAACCACAAATCTACACTAACCCCAAATCTACACAAACCACAAATCTAAACCAACCACAAATCTAATCCTAACTCAAGTCATTGTTTTAGCCCTAACCCTTAAAACTATTTATAAATCGTTATCGGCGATACCCGCTTTACAAATTTGTGCCAGTACCCGAGGGCCAAATCGATAAGGCAATAACAAATATTACACGACTTTCTCTGACCACCCCAACCTACTTACACGCATACACATAATACACATGTCCGCGCATAATATACATACCCGCATATAATACACATGCCCGCACACAATACACATGCCCGCACACAATACACATGCCCACACACATCCAAAATACACATGCCCACACACAATTCACATGCCCGCACACATCCACAATTCACATGCCCGCACAAACCCATAATTCATATGCCCGCACACATCCACAATTCACATGCCCGCACAAACCCATAATTCATATGCACGCACTCATCCACAATTCACATGCCCGCACACATCCACAATTCACATGCCCGCACACATCCACAATTCACATGCCCGCACACATCCACAATTCATATGCCCGCACACACCCACTCCCACACATCCACACACCGGCACCCACACCCCGCCCCACCCTGTTTACAATTAACCTTGTCCACTCCCCAGGCCAGAACCTGGCTGTGTTCAGGGACGAGAAGGGGAACGTCTACGCCCTGGACGCCTACTGCCCCCACATGGGCGCCAACATGGCTGCCGGTGGACGCGTCATTGGCAACTGTCTCGAGTGTCCCTTCCACGCCTGGAAGTTTCGAGGCGACGACGGCAAGTGTGTCGGTATACCCTACACCGACAAAAGTAAGTGGTTTCATTGTATAGCTAGTGGCACTGTCGGTTGGGTTGTAACTGCCCATGCGGCACCGTCATTTCCTATAGGCTTTAGTAATAGTTCTATAGGCTGTAGGTTGTCTACAATAAAAACAAATTAGATAATTCTGAAGTCTCTTTATAACAATTTACTTTTCGTGTGGCAAAATCAAGCACAGGACTTCGAGGTGCCTAGTTGCGCCACCGATATGTAGTAGATGGTTAAGGCCAGTAGCGTACGCAGGGGGGGGGGGAGCAGGGGGAGCGGCCGCTCCCCCTCTGGCCATTTTCAGCAAAGTGGCGCCTTTTTGGAAACTTTTTATACTCAAAGTTTTAAATATGATATTTGTTAAAAAAAATATTTTTGGTCGGCACATCTATGTAAATTACAAGATTTCTTTTCATGCAGCAATTAAGCATTATTGAACTAGTCTAGTAGTGTCTACGTTTGCGACACGTATTAATAGTTCCATCAGTTTGTCATTCTAAAAATAACCATTACGATGCATTGCAATGTTTAAAAAAACCTCTACGGGTAGTACCACTTGGCAAGAGGGGTGTTAAGTTTAAGGCAACTGTATAATGCATTTGCTTACGAATAATTGAATTAGAAAATGTTATACATAAAACTTCACACATAATTACTTTATATATACAGTTTGAATCGTGTGATTAATTTTAAAAAATACAATACAGAAACAAATACAACTGATGTGGCACCTCTATTTAAATTTACTTATGAGCAAACTGCGAAAATAGTGGGGACATTTTGACAAGGTCAACAACAGTTACAACCCCCCCCCCTCCCCCATGGACCCCTCTGTAAAAAATATTGTCATAATACCACTGCTAGTTATTTAAATCTATTTCTGTAATATATATTTGTGTAATATATATGTATGTTTAGAACAGTCATCTAAAAACTGACGCTATATTCACTCTGAGTTGGTTATCTCCCCCCCCCCCACCTCACCACCATAATTGTGTAGAGCGACATTAATGTCACATCTAGGTGTACACTGGGTTGGATAATTGACCTAAAGTGACCGGACAGTGGTGAATGAAGTTGAACACCCCCCCCCCCCCAACCCACCCGAACTGATCTGTTAAGTAGGCGTACATGTAGAAAAACGCGTAATGATGTACCAAAGTACCATGTCGCCAGAAAATTAGCTTTTTAAACGTAAAACTCTGTGAATATTGTTTTTGCAATTACCAGTAAAAAGATGTGTGATCAATACAGTGATCTAACCCATACCTATCACTATGTTAAAAATGATCTTTAAAGAACACAAACAAGCAGTAGTTAATTAAAAATATATGATCTGAACTAAAAAAGGCCGAAATTTAGTTAAATGTAGGCTGTTATTCCGAATGTTTATCTATTATATCGAAAAGCGTGGTTTTATACCAACTCTGATTTTAAAAACTTTCATTATGCTGTAATACTATAGCATATATGATGACGATATATTAAATTCTGATTATAGACAAAAACATTTTGTAAACACGAATAGTGTTAAACAATTTCATTATATTCTAAAGTAATTATTTATTTGTTTTGACATTTATAATTAAATGTGTAGATATATACATATTTATATTAAGAGAGTTATAATTTCCCATATTTCACTTGTCTTAAATAATTTCCCAGGCATTATTATGTAAGAAATTTTTTTTACAAGAATTACAAAACAGATTGTGTTACGTTCATTGTTTTTGGTTGTAGTGTATATATATATATATATATATATATATATATATATATATATATATATATATATATATATATTTGTTTAGATTGATACAATTTTTGTTTTGTCGGCCTACATTGTGTGTTTTTTCTTATTTTTTCAGAGAGTTACTTTCAATTTATTTTACATCATAACGAAGTAATGACATACAGCTAGTAATTATATATATATATATATATATATATATATATATATATATATATATATATATATATATATATATATATATATATATATATCGTATATAGAACGGAATAAAAATTCGGCGCCTTTTTTGCTCTTTTCGCTCCCCCTACAACGAAAACCTGGATACGCCTCTGGTTAAGGCGAATGATTAATTTTAATTCAAGTGAATAAGTGCTTTAGGACATAGTGCTGACCACACTATCCCTTCATATGCCGAGGTCTATGAATCAGATGTACTCTACTTCATCTGCCCCTTTTGTCTTGGGCACGAACGGGATTAAAAAGTCAGTAGTTATTCGTAGACCTACGTGATTTTTTTTTTTTTTCGTTTCATGCGTATGGACGAAGAAGGGTAGGCCTAACTACGAAAAAAATTCCTAATGCGGTGGTTAGCCTATATTTTATTCAAGATCAGAATAATGAATTTCAGGCTTCCCCAAAAGTTATGGAATAGTCAAGGTCAACAAAAAATAGGCAACCAACACTAGAATTGCCCCCTCCCCCAAGTTACCTTGTATTTTACATCTGTTTATTCGAGTACTAATTTTTTCCATCTAATTTAAGTATTTTACGTTGATAATATCTTGTGTTAACTTGATACGACAATTTGTTTCCCAGTCCCAGACATAGCCCGGGTCAAGTCGTGGTCAGTGAAGGAAACCCTGGGGTGGGTCTTCATATGGCACCACGCTGAGGGACTGGACCCGGTGTGGAACATTCCAGACGTGGATGAGGTGGATAACGGATCGTGGACCTACAGGGGCAGGACGGAACATCACATCAATGCTCATATAGAGGTGAGTAGACCTTCACAGGACGGAACATCACATCAATGCTCATATAGAGGTCAGCACATGTGTGTTCAGAGGCGTAGTGGGGGGTACATATGTCACCGGGCGCCGACCTTTGGGGGGCGCGATAAAGTGGGTTGGAAAAACTAATTGAAAGTTTGAAGGGGGGGGGGGTGCAAATTGAAAGGTTGTTTCAGAGGGGGGTGCCAAATTGAAAGTTTGTCCCCGGGCGCCGGGAAGGGTCGCTACGCCTGTGTGTTTAGTCTTGAACTAACTGGCTAAGTGTGTTTTTGAACTAATTAACATGGATTTATTCTGGCAACAGATGTGTTCAGCATCTTTTTATGAGTTTTTTTTTAGTGGGCCTTTACATTTCCTGGGGAATTTGGCTAATTAACAAAGCTGGATTTTTTTGTTTCTCTTCTGATCTCTACACCACACTTTTTTAATGACACATTGTCATCACATCTGTGATGCCCCCTCTGTTTCATGGTTAGAAGATCCCTGATGACCCCTCTGTTTCTTATCCAGGAAATCCCTGAGAATGGTGCTGATGTGGTCCACCTTGGTCACGTCCACGGGCCAGTGGTCACTGCAGGCAATGACCTGAGGACCATGTGGAACAAACGCTGGGCATTTGCAAGCCATCACTGGACAGCAGCCTGGGAACCACTGCCAGAACCTGATGGACACATTGGTCAGCTCAAACTGACCCATAAGTTGAGCTTGTTTGGGTTCATGCTCACAATCTTGGACTTGAATGTTGTAGCACAGCAGGTGAGTACGGGCTTAGAAAGTACTGGGTTAGAAAGTACTGGGTTAGAAAGTACTGGGTTAGAAAGTACTGGGTTAGAAAGTAATGGGTTAGAAAGTACTGGGTAGAAAGTACTGGGTTAGAAAGTACTGGGTTAGAAAGTACTGGGTTAGAAAGTACTGGGTTAGAAAGTACTGGGTTAGAAAGTACTGGGTTAGAAAGTAATGGGTTAGAAAGTACTGGGTTAGAAAGTACTGGGTTAGAAAGTGTTGGGCTAGAAAGTACAGGGTTAGAAAGTACTGGGTTAGAAAGTACTGGGTTAGAAAGTACTGGGTTAGAAAGTACTGGGTTAGAAAGTACTGGGTTATAAAGTACTGGGTTATAAAGTACTGAGTTAGAAAGTAATGGGTTAGAAAGTAATGGGTTAGAAAGTACTGGGTTAGAAAGTACTGGGTTGATGAAAAGTAATATTTTTATACTACTGTAATAGAAAAGTACTATGTTAGATGATACGGTATTTAAAAGTGCTATGGTGGAGACTTTATTTGATCAATGATGCCAAAATACAGAGTTAATTCTAAAAAAGAAGTTCAGTCTCTTAAATATTTTAGATGACACATTTAGAACAAATAAAATGTCAGACAAACTCAGCTAAAAATATAACAGAACACTTGAACAAAGAACAATATATAAACCAACAAAGCCACTAGATCCAACTTTACAACTCTACACGTATTGTTAACAGACAGTTCATTCATATAATTTGATGGAAATAAACCTGCCCATATGAACATGTTATAAGTTTTATTTTCTCTGTACAGACAGGACCTGGAATTGTGATCCTCAAGTTTGACAGTTTTTTTGGCAAGGGCATGTACTTCCAGACTGTGACACCACAGGCTCCGCTGGTACAGAGGGTTGTCCACCACATCTGGGTCAACCGCTGGATGCCAACCTGTGTTGCCAAGTTCTTGCTTCTTTCTGAGGCCCTACAGGTTGGTGTTGTGGGTTGGTGGTGTGTGTGGTTGGCATTTTGTGTGGTTGGTGATTTTTTGTTAACAGTTTTGTGTGGTTGGTGGTATGTGTGGTTGGTGGTGTGTGTGGTTGGTGATATTTTGTTAAGTTTTGTGTGGTTGTTGGTATGTGTGGTTGGTAGTATGTGTGGTTGGTGGTATGTGTGGTTGGTGGTGTGTGTGGTTGGTGGTATGTGTGGTTGGTGGTATGTGTGGTTGACAGTTCATGTGGTTGGTATTTTGTGTGGTTGGTGATATTTTGTTAAGTTTTGTGTGGTTGGTGGTATGTGTGGTTGGTGGTATGTGTGGTTGGTGGTATGTGTGGTTGGCGGTGTGTGTGTGGTTGACAGTTCATGTGGTTGGTGTTTTGAGTGTTGTCGTATTTGTAAAGGATTTCATGTTAATGTTTTATGTTGTCATTTGTGTTGCAAGCTCTGTTTTTATTCTTCTTTATAACTTATGGAGCAACATGGATTACATTATTTGTGTTACGTACAACATATTTATAAAAACATACATAAATTGAGTTATGTTGTGTAAAAAAAAGTTGGTTTTATTGTAACAATTGGCATATTTCCTCATATTATTATTGATTTCCTGTGTGTTCTGGCATATTTCCTCATATTATTATTGATTTCCTGTGTGTTCTGGCATATTTTCTCATATTATTATTGATTACCTGTGTGTTCTGATGTTTTTCCCCAGGTGGAAAGAGATATAATGATCTGGAATAACAAGCAGTATGAGGGTCGGCCATTGTTTGTCAAGTCTAAAGAAGACACATTGATATCCAAACACAGGCGTTGGTACTCACAGTTCTACTCTGAAAATAGCCCTCGTGTTTTTCAAAAAGATGGATTGGATTTTTAACTGAATGAAATGTTAAAGCCGCTGCTTTTTAAAAAAAAATGGATTCCACATGCACTGATGGTTTTAGCTGTGCTTAAGTTGACTTGTGATAGATTTTGGCTTGGGAGATTCACAGAGACTAGGTTTGCATCATAGGAAATTCCAATTTGTGAAAAATTAATTTTAAACAAATAATTTTTACTTCACAACATAATAACGCACCAAGTATAATGTTGAATTCCAATAATAATAATATTTCACAAGCCAGTATTATCTCATAACTTTAATCATAATAAGCATGTTGATATTACCAAACCATATTTGTTGTTGTGAAGGGGTTGAGAAGATTGTGATACTTTATAATTTCACATAACATAAACAAGTTTTACAGATTCATACGCATACACTTTTCAAAAGTTTCATGTATTTGAGTCCAAAATAGCTCTCCAGTCACATCTCAAAAGTTGAGATGTTTTGTTCAGTGTGAAGTTTGTGTCATTTCTCATGCCACTTCAAGTTTTTGATTGCTTGTTATTTGTAGCCTCCATCCTTGTGATATTTGTCCTGAACTGCTTGAAGACTGATACTTCTTGTGATTGTTATTCTTTCAAACAAAATGGTCATGTAAAAATATTGAAGAACAAATTTTTATTTTGCTGTGCAGCAACAATAATTTTTTAAAAATAGTTTTCCCAACTTACAATTTATTTTTAAAGAAAACAACTGTGATTTTTATTGTTTTGCAAAGCATTTCAACTATTAGTTGTTTATGCTATTAACCCTCCATTGCTGAAGATCACCTTGACACTGATATTTATTACAAACATTAGAATTTTGACATTGGAGGGTTAAAGTATATCTGCCTTAAAGCCTAACAGAGGCTTTTGAAAACCCATTTTAACTTAGATACAGACTTGCCACATAAGTAAATGGGTTAAATTTGTCCACATTTCATTCAGCTGAATGATAAAATTATTGAAATTGTGATGACATCAAAAAATATTATTTGCATGAAAAATGAACTAAAAGCTAAATACTATAAATAATTTTCAATAATTATGGTATTAAATGTTTCAGTTCAATTCATAATGCAAAAGAAATGTTTTGTGTGACTAAGATGAGAGAGGAAAGTAGATGTTTTGTCACTTTCTCAAAGCCTTTCTGTGTGAATTTTCTTTGTGAACACTATTTATGAATTTAATATTTATATCAATATTTTACAAAGTGAGCAATTAATTTCAAAACTGATATGATAATCCAAAAGCTTTCTGTGGAGAAGACATGGTTTTTTTTTTATCTTTGACCTAGATTTAAACCAAAGATTCACCTTTACAAGAAAACTTGAGAAGCCCTACACCAGAGACGCTCTCAAACCCTAAATGTATCTAAATCTTGCTGCAGTAGTTGCAGCAGTTGAAAAATGGTTTAAAATACCAATAATTCTGCTGGGAAATGCATGTTAAGTATATGGGTGACAAAAATTCTAATCAAACATTCCATGACTAAACTTCTTTTTTCTGGTGCTAAGAATTCAATGAAAAATGAAGATGAGAGAATAAGTATGCTAATCAAAATAAAGTGAGTCAGCTTTGATTACATGTGGTAATAATTTTGGTGCCTTCTCTCCTTACTAGATTTATGGGTGGACACATTTTTAAAGATTGTGTCCTAACTCTTCGCATTGGAAGAGAAAAACTGCTGTTCTGTGTATCTCTAATTGGCCAATCATTTGTTGTTCTGTTTTAAAAGCTGGTTACAAATCTAAATGCCTTTTTTGTGCATTGTGATTCAAATTAAGCAACATATCCATTTTTATAAAGAATGTACTGATTTTGTATATAATTTACATGTAAAAAAAATATTTTGTTCCATTATATATTGTGATTACATGTTCAAGTAATATTACAATGGTATTCCCACCCCATTTCAAACTAACATAAATGAAATTTTGTATTCCAATTTTTGCTGTGTATGATGCTCATGCTGACTACTCATCTCCCTTCCTAGTTGTAATGACCAATTTGCCATGACTAAATACCCAATTAGGCTGTGGTTTCCAAACTTCTTACTGTGCTTCCCATAATAAACACCAAAAATAAAACCCCTCTCATCCCAGACTTTTTATTTATAATTAGTTTCTGCACATCAAAGCAAGGTACCCTCCCCTTGGTAAAACAATTTTGAAGCTGAAAAAATTTACCACAATGGGATGGGATCAATGATAGTATTAGTGATCCTATCTCATTGTGGGATACATTTGAAAATATATTTCTGGCAACTTTTCTTTTTTAAACTGTAAGCCTATGTATTTATTATGTGAAATGTTTTTTTATTATATAGATAGATTTCTTTGAAACTTTATCTGGCCCACTTAGGTCAGATCCTTGCCTCCCAGTATGGAAACCACTGCAATGAGGTGATTTTTTAAACAGCGAACATTCCTGTACATAATTATATATTGTGATCTTTCTTATAGCAGTGGATGTTCCTGTAACTGATATCAATGCTGTGCTTCACTATTTATTGCTAAGTAATTTTATTTCAATCTGACTAATCAAATTTAAAAACATTGATAATATGTGTGACAATGTAAAAAAAAACAAATTAATTAATTTCTAACCTTTTCAATCAACAGTGTGTATATAAAATTGTACAGACATTTATTTTTTAAATTCTTTTTATTTTTTAAATAATTTTTTTGATCTCCATGCATAATGTTTTGTAAGCTGACATTTTTCATGTGTACCCAAACTCACGCAGTGTGAAGAAAGTAACTTTGTAATCTAGCAATATTTAAATAATTTTAAAAAGACGATGTTTTGGTAGAAATGTCAAATAGCTACTTAAGGTGTGGTGTTTCTTTCTATTCACAAGTCAGTAAATTATAGAGTGATGGTTTTGTGTTCATCAAGTCAATGGCTTCATGACATTTTGTTTTAAGTCTAAGGCTAACTTGAAGGACAGTGGCATAGGGATGTTAGGGAATCCATAATGGAGTAACAACCCTTCTGATAGCTGTCTTGTGTTAGCTACATCTATTGACAATGGTGAGTTTGTGTAGGTTTCACCACCCACAGCTGGAAGTCGTGCTACAAAATCCTGGCTACTCTACAGTCTTGGAGTAACACGGGCTACTGACTCTGGATTGTTTTAATAAAATTGTAAGCCTAGCTACACTGAAATAACTGAGGCAGAAATTGTTTGAAATGTGCAGCTTTTAGTTGTAGTCCTGCAGGTAGTGACTGAAACATAGAGACAGGTTTTACTTAACTTGTGGTGGCTGTAGTGTTTTAAAATAAGAGAAATTCATCAGAGCCAGACTGACCAATCAGAGCCTGACTGACTGACCAATCAGAGCCCGACTGACCTATCAGAGCCCGACTGACCAATCAGAGCCCAACTGACCAATCAGAGCCAGACTGACCAATCAGAGCCCAACTGACCAATCAGAGCCAGATTGACCAATCAGAGCCCGACTGACCAATCAGAGCCCGACTGACCAATCAGAATTGACTTGCATGTCTGAGACTTCAGTGAACCAGTTATTTCATCCAACACTGGTGATAAATCTATACTCCATGTCTTTCATTGTCCTGTTTGTTTTACACATTTGTACACATTAATTTAAAGATAAGCTGTGCAGGTATAGTGCTGAAGGGTGGGGGTCTCAGGACTCCGAAATGACTTTTACGTCCAAAGTAGTATCTTAAAACCACCATACCATTTTATGCTCTCAAAAACACACATTTAAATAGAGCATGTGTCTAAAACAATTTTTTAAACCAACTTCCTTCTCCTCAAATGTATTTCTACCAACACCACTGCCAATTTTCCAAACACTACTTAGGAGAAGAAGCCATCACCAGCTTCCCCCCTGTTCTTCCACACCCCCCCCCCCCTTATGTTCCTCAACTAAAGTAACATGCTCAAAGAACACTTGTGCAGATAGTACCTATAGTTTTAGTCAAGTCACAATGTGTTGTCCACTGATTGCCTGTTAGCCCAGCAGTTTGGTGAGAGATCATATCTGTTTCACAGTAGCACCTTTTCAACCCTAGGAAAATGGTAGCTAGTTTTGTTTACTTTCATTTTCTTTAAATTTATTGTAGTAGGCTAGATTTATTCACGCCTTTTAAAAAATTGTTGTACCCAACTTGAAAAAAATATGTACTGTCAAGCTAAATATTATTTATTTTAAAAAAGCATTTCCTAATTCAGAGGATTTTTTAAGAAAAATCAACAGTCCATTTAGGGAGCCACTAGTCAGACATGGGAGTTTTCTACTCTACACTGAAGTTGTATCTATTTTATAAACCTTTCAAAGCTCAAAGTTGTGAATGTAACAATGACATGTATTTTGCTACAATTTTAATTAAATAAAGCTTGTAATTCAAATGTTCTGCTTGTGTTATTACTAGACAGCCAAGGTGCAAATGTCAATTATATCATGTGAAGATCAGATGTACACAATTTTCTATACACTATACTTTAGATCATGCTTTTATAAATAAGCCTAAAATACTTGTAAAAAGTTTTAAGACAATTGTAGTACATATGAATTTATTGAACATTAAAAAAATGAAAACATTTGTATGTGTTATCACAATCCAGCTCCGTGCTCAGACACCCACAGTTTGAACGTACGGTCGTACGAGCATGTGGCCAGGTACTTGAGGTCACTAGATATGTCCAGTCCCATGATCCTACTCTCATGTCCAGCTAAAGTCTTCAATGGTGCCCATGTGGGATGTGCCCAGATCTAGACCACACAAAATTGCATTAGATGAAAATAATTTTTCTTAAAATGCCTGTCACAGCTAAGGTTAATTATTTTAAATATGATAGAAACATTTTATTTCTACAATGGGTTAGGCTGACAGACTAGATAAATTACAAACACGATTTTTTTTTAAATAGTTGTCCATCACAGGTTTAGATATAAGTTTAGTTGTTCCATCCTAAGTACATGATAAACACTACACAATAAGTAATTACTTCAACCTTACTGTGGCTGTCTTTTCCTAGGTTAATCAAACAACACTACAAATTAATTTGTTAAAAATGGCTGTTTTTCCTAGGTTAATCACACGCTACAAATTAATTAGTTAAAAATGGCTGTCTTTTCCTAGGTTAATCAAACAACACTATAAATTAAAACTTACCTTGGCTGTCCCATCATAGGATGCAGTTACCAAGTAGTTGCCATGATGGGCTGGGGAAATAAATAAATCAACCTTTTACTTTTTTTGCATCACTTTGAAAACTGTGACAAATGCTTATAATGTTGCACTGATAAATGAAGATAAATTAAAGTGACATACGTTGGAATTTGACCACAGAAACAATGTTTGTATGTGAGGGTACGGTGTAGACACACTTCCTCTGTCGCAGGTCCCAGATCTTTGTGCTGTTGTCTTCACTACCAGTGGCAGCATGAAACCTGAGGAAAACATTCAGCTTAGGTTGACAGAACTAGTCATGGTTTATTGGGATCGGATCTAAACCTACAGATTCCAAATAGGGGAACTAGTTTTTTAGGTTTGATCCAAAACTACAGAAGGTTTAGGATTTGATCCAAAACTACAGAATCCCTGACAAAATACAGAATACTAGGTTCATAGCTCTGACTGAGAACACAAACAAAACCCTAAAGAGTACACATTTGTGCAACTGGTAAATTCTTAAATAACAGAACTGAAGTACTGAATGTATTATTTTAAAAAAAATAGCTTCCATAATTACCCATCATCACTGAAATCAACGGCCAACACAGGCTTTAAATGTCCCTCTAAAAACATAACACAGCGTCCAGAGCGGAGGTCCCACACTCTACCGTAAGCATCAAGGCCTCTGGAAGAAAAATTACCAGGTATCAACAAAAATACATTTAACTCCTTCAATAATAAATTAAAATGCCTGGTTTATTTGATAGTAAAAATAGTTTTTTCAAAAGGTTAGTTGAAAGATTACATAAAAGTATATAACTAATTATTTGCAGGGATTTATTTTTAAAAATTAACCCTGAAACATCACTAACAAAATTGAACATTGATTACTTAAAATTAATTTTTTTTTTTATTAATAAAGAGAGTTGTTACTGTCTTTTGAGATAAGTAGATACCATAAACAATAAAATAAAATAGTTCACGAAATCCTCTCAAGATATAAAGTGAAAATATGTCAGGCTACCCTGTGATAGATAAAGCACCATCACACTGAAAAGCCTACCCTGTGATAGATAAAGCACCATCACACTGAAAAGCCTACCCTGTGATAGATAAAGCACCATCACACTATAACACCTACCCTGTGATAGATAAAGCACCATCACACTATAACACCTACCCTGTGATAGATAAAGCACCAACACACTATAACACCTACCCTGTGATAGATAAAGCACCAACACACTATACCACCTACCCTGTGATAGATAAAGCACCATCACACTATACCACCTACCCTGTGATAGATAAAGCACCATCACACTATACCACCTACCCTGTGATAGATAAAGCACCATCACACTATAGCACCTACCCTGTGATAGATAAAGCACCATCACACTGAAAAGCCTACCCTGTGATAGATAAAGCACCATCACACTGAAAAGCCTACCCTGTGATAGATAAAGCACCATCAGACTATAACACCTACCCTGTGATAGATAAAGCACCATCACACTGAAAAGCCTACCCTGTGATAGATAAAGCACCATCACACTGAAAAGCCTACCCTGTGATAGATAAAGCACCATCACACTATACCACCTACCCTGTGATAGATAAAGCACCATCACACTGAAAAGCCTACCCTGTGATAGATAAAGCACCATCACACTATACCACCTACCCTGTGATAGATAAAGCACCATCACACTATAGCACCTACCCTGTGATAGATAAAGCACCATCACACTGAAAAGCCTACCCTGTGATAGATAAAGCACCATCACACTATACCACCTACCCTGTGATAGATAAAGCACCATCACACTGAAAAGCCTACCCTGTGATAGATAAAGCACCATCACACTATACCACCTACCCTGTGATAGATAAAGCACCATCACACTATACCACCTACCCTGTGATAGATAAAGCACCATCACACTGAAAAGCTATGTCATAGACTGGACCACTGTGGCCTTCCTGATGGAGAACTTCCTCTTGTACTTCAAGGTCCCAAAGTCGCCAGGAGTTGTCAAAGCTGGAAAATAGAAGTTGAGTTTCCAGATCAAGGGAAATAATTCAAGTTCTTCAGATCAAGGGAAATAATTAAAGTACTTCAGATCAAGGGAAATAATTAAAGTACTTTTTAAAGATAAAGAGAAACAATTACTTGAGCAACATTAAAGGAAATAACTCAATTTTTTAGATCAAGGGAAATAAATCAATTAAGATCAAGGGAGATAAATGTTAGCAAAGCTGTAGGAAGTGTATATTTACAAACAAAAGAACCGTAAATAGCAAATATAAAAAAACAATTTTTTTTACCAGCATGTGGCTAAGAACCTTCCAGAAGGATGGTACTTGACCCTTGACACACGATATGGCGCATGACCTTCAATGTCTGCCACTGGCTCTTCACTGTAACAGTAAAAATTGGCTAGTTAGGTTTTCTTTATATGGAACGTTTCACAAGTTTGATGATCTGTAGGGAGATTTAAACATAGCTGATCAAACTATGGATTAATTCAGCAGCTTTATGACCAGCTTCTTCAACTATCCTTAACTTTCTGCAGTAAACATTCAGGCTAGGGCACACAAGTCCCAGGGGCCTGATAATAGACTTGTTGTGATTTGAACTGCAGACCTTTGGTATAGTGATGGTGGCTCTACCAGCTTGACCACAAGGATAGCTAGTTATGACTCAATTTGCCTTAAGTAAACATGACAGATACTTATTAATGATAAGGTTCTCATGGACCACAATAAAATGTGCCTACCTTTCAAGACTCCACAACTTGACTGTGCCATCCTGGTCACATGAGGCCATATGGACCACAATAAAATGTGCCTACCTTTCAAGACTCCACAACTTGACTGTGCCATCCTGGCCACATGAGGCCATATGGACCACAATAAAATGTGCCTACCTTTCAAGACTCCACAACTTGACTGTGCCATCCTGGCCACATGAGGTTATATGGACCACAATAAAATGTGCCTACCTTTCAAGACTCCACAACTTGACTGTGCCATCCTGGCCACATGAGGTCATATGGACCACAATAAAATGTGCCTACCTTTCAAGACTCCACAACTTGACTGTGCCATCCTGGCCACATGAGGCCATATGGACCACAATAAAATGTGCCTACCTTTCAAGACTCCACAACTTGACTGTGCCATCCTGGCCACATGAGGTCATATGGACCACAATAAAATGTGCCTACCTTTCAAGACTCCACAACTTGACTGTGCCATCCTGGCCACATGAGGCCATATGGACCACAATAAAATGTGCCTACCTTTCAAGACTCCACAACTTGACTGTGCCATCCTGGCCACATGAGGCCATACAACATAAATTGTTGTCCAGGCTGAGGGTGGCTTGTGGGTGGAACACAATGGAGCCCACGTTACAGTTGTGACCTGGTGGGGACAAGTTACAGGTATACAGACAGGTGATAAATTACAGGTACATAGACAGGTGATAAAGTGCAGGTGACAAAATACAGGTACATAAACAGGTGACAAAATGCAGGTGACAAAACACAGGTACATTGACAGGTGGCAAAATACAGGTACATAGACAGGTGACAAAGTGCAGGTGACAAAATACAGGTACATAAACAGGTGACAAAATGCAGGTGACAAAACACAGGTACATTGACAGGTGGCAAAATACAGGTACATAGACAGGTGACAAAATACAGGTACATAGACAGGTGACAAAATACAGGTACATAGACAGGTGACAAAATACAGGTACATTGAGAGGTGACAATATACAGGTACATAGACAGGTGACAAAATACAGGTACATTGAGAGGTGACAATATACAGGTACATTGAGAGGTGACAAAATACAGGTACATTGAGAGGTGACAATATACAGGTACATTGAGAGGTGACAATATACAGTTACATCAACAGGTGACAAAATACAGTTATATAGACAGGTGACAACATACATGTAAACATTGAAATGATGGTATTTAACTAATCGCCCCACCCATACTTAAATAAACACAAGTTGACCATATCAAAAAACAAAGGACAGGCTAACTTAAACACATGTTGACCCTACAGAGAAACAAAGGACAGGCTAACTTAAACACATGTTGACCCTATAGAGAAACAAAGGACAGGCTAACTTAAACACATGTTGACCCTATAGAGAAACAAAGGACAGGCTAACTTAAACACATGTTGACCCTATAGAGAAACAAAGGACAGGCTAACTTAAACACATGTTGACCCTATAGAGAAACAAAGGACAGGCTAACCTCGGAGATTCCTGATAAAAGTACAGTCAGGAATAGACCAGAGCTTACACAAGCCAGACCTGGGGAAACAAATGTTGTGTGGCAACTTAAAATATTACAGCTTACTGACTATTTAAAACAAATATTTCACAGTTAATAGACTACATGGAGAAATGAATACACTGAATTGATAAGTATGTATTTCATGCAGGAATTACTTCTTAGTTTATAAGTATTTTATGGGACGGCAAGGCCTAGCAGTAGAGTGCTTAAGACTGCTAACTCAAAAAGTCTTGAGTTCAAAGTCAGGTTCAAATCAGTAGATTGTCCTTGAGTCAATCCAATTCTGATGGGTACCTAAGTCACGCTTAGGGAAAGTAAAGACAGCTGCGCAATATTGCTGACCACGCTATCCTTTCATATGCTGAGGTCCCTGAAACAGGTAACTCTACTTCAATTGCCCCATGGGCTGTCAGGTTCAAAATGGGAATTTTATACTATAATTATAGTGGTATTAAGACCTGTCTCAACAGGCAAACCATTTTTAATACATTTCAACTCAAAAATTTTTACAATGAAAGTGAAAGGACTAGATAAGAACAGCACAACTCACCAGGAAGCAGTGGCTAGAATCTGTGAGTTGGGGCTGAAGGAACAGTAGGAAATGGGGCGGCTGTCTCCTATCTGGCTGCAATCATTGGTCACTGACTGAAAGGTCAAAGATTGTTGACAGTTAAAATAAACATGTATCATATCAATGGAAAATTGCAATCTCACTAGGAAACTCTGATGTCATCAGTCAAATGCCATGTGTTGTCATTAGATAAGTAATTTGAGTTTACCCTGATTTTCTTCTGTAAGTGCTGGACCTCAGCTTGCTTCTGTGTCAGGGGAGCTAACTTATCTGCTTTTTGTTGCTGAATTCTCTTTGAAGCCCTGAAATATTTGTTCAAGTAATCTTTTAATATAAGTTTAATATAACAACGTAACAGTTTTTGTTTATTATTATAAGCCAAGTTACTAAACTAGTTTTTAAAAAATTAAACACCCTATACCACATGAAGAAATTAATTAAGTGAAACAACACAAATTCAAAAATGTATTGAGTACTGGGCTATCCAGTACCTCACACAACAAACTCACCTGCGTATTGAGTACTGAGCTATCCAGTATCTGGCATCTTTAAGACTGGCAGGCCCCTCGTGGTACCAAGTGATGTTGTCCTGAAACAAGCACACAAATCAACTTTCTATTGTAATGTAATGTAATGAAGTGGTAGAGCCCACAACAGTTAATTCAGGAACCACAACACAATATTCTCATTAGAGTTACCTCCTCCTTCTTCTTCAGCTCTTTTTGTTTTTCTTCTTTTTTCCTTTTGATGGCACTTTCTCCAAGCTCAACTAAAAGTTTCCTCAGTCTCTCTCTTCTCTCTGCTGGTCCTTCACCAAACAGACCTTTAAAAAAAATATTTCAAATCTTTGCTTGTAATACCAAAAAACGCAATACCTTAATCAATGGGATAAATTTTGATCAAAATGCTTGTAGATGTAATGCAATTTTGAAAGAAAAATTTTACTGGTGGATACTAGGGCAAAAAGAAAAGTTTAAGGCTGCCTCTGGGAAACTGTCAAAGAATGAAGTCATAATTTGATCCTAATATTTTTGAATATCCCTTGGGAAAATTTATTTGTTCACCTTTTACTAACAATATTGAGATGTTATTAACCCTTTGAGCCCTGGCCTCCCTGGCCTAATTTCTCCCATTTCCTGAGCTCCCAGGGTAAAACCAATTTTCACTTATCTGCTTCTAAATTTGCCTATAACTTTTGAACCATTTAAGATAATCAAGCCAAATTTGGTATCCAGACTCAGGATCAAACAATAATGCAGCAAGATTCTGAAATTCTTTATTTGTTTACAATGTATGAACAGAACAATGTATATAAAACGAACACGTACTTATTGTTTTGATAGAACATAGAAGAAACCAATTTACATTTAGTAATTGTTTTGTTATTAGTGATACCTGGCCATACTAGTTCATCGCCAGAAGTCCACTTTTGTGTGATAACTTTCAAAACAGTTATCACTGCCGGACCCGATGCAAAGAAAAGCTTCGCATGTTTTTCTCCAGTAAACTTTTTTTTTTCGTTTCGGCAAGTCGTTTTCCTTGACACCACGTGCATCATAATGTACAAGAACAGTTTCATTGTCACTATCAATTTCAATGTCACTGAGTTCAGTCTCAAATTCAACGTCACTATCATCATAATATAGACCAGGAATATTATCTTCTTCATCAGAATCAATAAGTAGATGTATTGCCTGAGATGCAGTCATTCTACTTCTTTTGTTGATATTTCGGTCTTTTGCTTCATCTTTTGCACCAACTTTATGTGCTTAAGTCGATGGCTGTGGCTCAGCTTTTCGTTTCGGCGGCATTTCTACGAAATGTAAACACTTTCACTTTTCCTAAAATCTATTTTTAGAATCATAATCACGCACTAAAAGACATATGCGCAGTTTTAGTCAGTCTTCCGCTAATTATATTTAATTAGATGGTATACCGGCTGCTAGGAATATGACGCTAGATCATCGGGCCGGAAAAACGGCTTTTCGGACATATATGCCTAATGTTGAAGCCGGTTTACCGGCCTGGCGGGCTCAAAGGGTTAAGACATCTTATGTCAACATTAGTGTATATGAGCTGATTAAGTCAAATTTTTAAAAAGTCCAACATACATATAGGTTCTCCGATCTGTCTCAAGTTGGCCTTGACCTCAGAATCATCTGTTGAGACTTGGATTGTCCTAGCCTGAGATAAAATTAAAAAGGGAGGAAACCAAAAATTAGTGCTGTCAAGTTAAGGTTACTGGTTGGTAGGGGTTGTATGAATGATATGAAAGAATTTTTTTTTTAAGTATAACATTGCCATTTTTCAGCTGATATAATTGTTTAAAAAAATTTTAAATGGTCATTTCTCAGCTTATGAAATTATAATCAATCCAAATGATAAAAAACTTAAAGTGTATTTTACTCACCCTCTTTCTCTTTTCAAACTCAGCCAAGGCTTCGGCTTGCACAGCTGACTCACTTGCTTCAAGGTCAAAGTGACCTCCTGATATACATAATACATCAGCTCATTAGCTGCACTATATTACAACATAAGGTTTTATCATATAGCCACAAACTATTCTCTCAGGTTACTCCATCATTTTACTGAGTCAGCGAAAACTGACAGACTGAACCACCAACAAAACTAAGGACCAACAAACAGCTAAAGAAATTTATTAAATAATTAAATACTGGACTCAATAACCAATGTCTGTATCAAACAAAACAAAACCAGAAACATACACATAGACAAAACCAGAAACATACCCATAGACAAAACCAGAAACATACCCATAGACAAAACCAGAAACATACCCATAGACAAAACCAGAAACATACCCATAGACAAAACCAGAAACATACCCATAGACAAAACCAGAAACATACCCATAGACAAAACCAGAAACATACCCATAGACAAAACCAGAAACATACCCATAGACAAAACCAGAAACATACCCATAGACAAAACCAGAAACATACCCATAGACAAAACCAGAAACATACCCATAGACAAAACCAGAAACATACCCATAGACAAAACCAGAAACATACCCATAGACAAAACCAGAAACATACCCATAGACAAAACCAGAAACATACCCATAGACAAAACCAGAAACATACCCATAGACAAAACGAGAAACATACCCATAGACAAAACCAGAAACATACCCATAGACAAAACGAGAAACATACCCATAGACAAAACCAGAAACATACCCATAGACAAAACGAGAAACATACCCATAGACAAAACACTAACCTATCCAGACAAAAGAGTAACAAACTCTACTCACAAAACAATAGTTAGACAAAACAGTAACCAACCCATATACACACAAAACAGTAACCAACCCATATACACACAAAACAGTAACCAACCCATATACACACAAAACAGTAACCAACCCATACACATTAAACAGAACCCAGTGCACAGATAAGGGAATAATCATGCTATCCACAGACAAATGTATTCACCATCTGTTATGTTAATGTGTCCAGCCTCTTTCCCGGCTTCTACAGCAGCAGTCACACTGCTCCTGTCACCGCCACCTTTGGCTGTGGACTCCAGACTACCATAATGGATCACTCTCTGGCGCTTGACAAAGGCTGGTCCGCTTTCATCATCAGACATTCTTTGACACAACTCAATGTAAAAACAGAGCTTTCTTTAATCTGAAAAGTCAATTCATTTGATAATGTATTTAAGTTTTAAATTTTTAAGTTTCTAAGTACTAAACAAACTATAGAACTGACACTCATGCATGCTACATACTATTTTAGTTCATTCTAGAACTTCCATTGAAAGTTTGCCTAATTTTTTTGTTTTTTAGCGATTTTTTTTAATGTCGTGAGTCCTATCGAAAATTTTCACATGTCCAATAGTCCAGTCATCAAAATATAGTTATGTTATATACTGAAAATTTACTTAGAAATTCTAATGTAGCAATAATAATCAGAAAATGTGTGCAGATTATTCTGAGATTATTGAAAAGATATTATTATTATTATTATTTGTGTGTGTATTTAGATTAGCATTACAATTAATTAGTCAATTACAGAGGGGGGAAAAAACTTGTTTTTTTTTATAAGTAGTATAAGATATACTGTAGGCCTATCGCAATCGCCCGGACCGGACGCTTGACTTCCGACGATTTTTCGGCCAAATTCCAGAGACCTTCTACTAATTAGTTTTTAAAATGTTTACCACGCGCAAAATGGCGGGACTTTCACATTATAACAACAAGCTATAGGTGGCAGGGCTATATATGCCAGAAAAGCATTTTAAAATTTGCGTTGGAGAATGAAGGCTAAATTTAAAAGTTGGTTTCATCAAAAATACTAGAACTTTTTAAATATAGATTTCCCTATTACAAAATTGATTTCCCTACTAAAGCATTATTAGTTTTATCAGTCTATGAAAAAATAAATCAAATATAGTCAACCCTTTTTTTTATAAGAGTGGCCAAAAAATGACAACCAAATTTTTTTTATTTTTTTGACCACGTGACCGCTATTTGATGATCACTAGTGGGGAAATCTGGGTACATGGCCACTTAAAAAGTCTAACCGCATTTGTGGTTCTCTTTAGCTTCAAGTGCCTTCAGGGGTAAGAAGAGTTGTCATGGAGAGATGTGTTGTCCATGGCAGTGAGTGTCAATAAATATTAAATTAAGGGGTAATTTAGTTTAAAACGAACTAAAAACTTCAAAATTAGTCCCTAATGGATTAAATATGGATGTCTATCATTCAGTAGTCATGTTTAATTTGAAATTTGGGTAAATTCTAGATTTAGTAAGAAAACTCTATACTCTATAGTAGTTTTTCTTACTAAATCTAAAATTTACGCAATTTTCAATATAAACATGACCACTGAATAATAGACATCCATATTTAATCCATTAGGCACTAATTTTGAAGTTTTTAGTTCATTTTAAACTAAATTACTTAATTTAATATTTATTGACACTCACTGCCATGGCCAACACATCTCTCCATGACAACTCTTCTAACCCTTGATGCTTAAGAAAACCACAAATCAGGTTAGACTTTTTAAGTGGCCATGCACCCAGAGTTCCTCACTAGTGATCTCAAATAGCGGTCACGTGGTTTTTAAAAAATAAAAATAAATTGGTTGTGATATGAGAGCCGATCTTATAAAAAAAGTGCCAACAATATTTGCTTTCTTTTTACATAGACTGATAGACTTAATAATGCTTTACTTATATGATCATTTTTGTACCTATATAGTTGATATTTTTCAAATTCTATTAATTTTAATGAAACCAACTTTTGAATTTAGCCTCCGGTCTCCAAACCAAATTTTAAAATGCTTTTCTGGCACATCTAACCCTGCCACCTATTGTTTGTTGTTATGACACGGAAATCCCGCCATGTTGCGCGTGGTAAACATTTTTAAATGTAATTAGTTGAAGGTCTCTGGAATTTGGCCGAAAAATCACCGGAAATCAAACGTCCGGTCCGGGCGCCATATTGTTGTTAGCAACCGACCACGCCTCCAAGTTAGCGAGAAATACTACTCTATAGTTTTAGTTAGTTATAGTTATAGTATGTAGATCTAGATTGATTTAGTTGTGTAGTAGTCTGGCGCATTGCTTAGATGGTAGGATTGACCTCTGACCCTGAAACGTCACGCGTCGTTTTCTGACGGGTTTTACGTTTATTTTAGGGGTCCCATCCACGACAAATGAAAAAACTGTTTATATCGCAAATTCTCATCATTATTTTAATGCAAATTGCTAATAAAATGGATAATATGCCTTAGAATGCCAGAAAAAATCGCAAGATTCGTGGTTGTAAATAATGAGAGCATGTCTAGTGGAGCACTCTCCGTAAAAACTGAACCGCTGCCAAAAACGACCGACTAACGGGGAAAACGGCTCGACTAACTGTACATTAATATATAATTGATATATTTATCATGTATATTTACAGTATTTTTGATTACTTTTTCCAAAATCTCACTCGAGGATGAGGTACCCCGCTGACATTTCTATCCGCTATTTTTAGTATCATGACGTCATTGTTACGCTAGTTACCTCACAGAAACAACTAGTTTTTGTTTTTTGCGGAATGAACTGTTAAATCTAGTATTTTAATTATAATTCAATTGTAGCATGTGCGGAAAAAGTAAAATTATGGACATTATTATTGTATTAGTAATTTTATTAGTATATTGATTTTTTTTCTTCACTGTGGGCCAACAGTTGCTGCATTCGTGACCTGTGGTTAACCTCGTCAACGCTGCGTGGCCTATTCGTTTATATAATCAGTGATGCTCGTTCAGTGGCCTTTTTCAAAGCTAGGCCTAATTACGGGCGATTTTTAGACTTAATTGATCGGCCGTTAGCCTTTTTCATTGCTGCGTATTTAAAAAAATGCTCGTTCAGCGGCCTTTTTTTTTTTTGCGCTAAATAATCTGTTTACGGGCATTTTAAACGTTTATTTATTTATTTTTTTAAAGCTAGACGTAGATCTAGTTTTAAAAAAAATAATTTTCATACAGCTGGCTGTCTAGCATGCCTCCTAATGATATGTGAACTTTTAAAAAAATGACCGAACTTTAAAAAAAATGTCCAGAAGTAGGGAAGTAGGTCTGTTTTTCAATTTGCTTGAAGAAGGGGGGGGGAGGGAAGAGAGAGAGAAGTGAAGACACCGACCATCTCGTGTACGCGTGTTCATTCTATGACGTGTACTATAGGCCTGCTGAACTCACGGTGACCCGCGACCGTGGTGGGATTTTTCAACCACAGGATAGTAAACGTAAGCAAGCAATCACGCGAGTGACGATGTTTGGAGATTTTATTTTTAAAAAAAAATCACATACGTCATGTTTTCAAGATGAAAAAAAATGTAATGTAAAAAAAAAAAGACACTAATACCATGTATGAACCTCAGCTGCCACACTGTTGACTCGATATAAAGTGATTGAGTGTAAAATGTATTTTTATTTATAAACTATCTTAACTATTACACTATCATATTATTTTATGCATATATTATTTAAAATTAGGATTTGAAATAAAAATATTTATTATGGTCATTTGATTTATGCAGGTGCTCATTATTTCATAAAATGGTATGAATAACATGTAGAGTAGAATTTAATAAATAATAAAATAACTAGATCTAGTTTTATTATCAACCAGTTGCTTTTTGTTCAGTTACTTTTTGTTATTTTCCGGTGAGTAAATAACCTAAGCTGACGCAATTACCATGGCGGGAATTAATAGCTCGTGTACACACGTCCACGACGTAATGTTATGCCGGTCGAGGGGCTAAAACACGGTTTTGTCTTTCATTTTCCAATATCGGAAAAATTTTAAATTCTCTCTTTTCTCGTCAACCGAGTAAGCTAGATATTTTAATGTGGTGTCAAATGTTCTCTTAAGGGGTAAGGAACTTAATGGTGTATTTGAAATAACAGAATATTTTATTTAAAAAAATCCATAATTCAACCTATTGTGTAGGCTTATCAGTCAAAATTTTTTAAAGGGAATAAAATTTTAATCAGGAAGCTCACTTAGATTCTAGATTCTAGATCTAGATCTAGCTAGATCTACATCTCGTCATCTAGATCTAGATTCTAGATCTAGTAATTTTAAAGTTTAAAGTATTTTTTTTTTCAATTTTAAAAAGTACAAGTAGATCTACTAATTAAACTAAAATAATTAATTAGGCCTAGATCTAGTAATTACTAATTACTCTACACTCTACTTACTAGATCTGAGTACAGTTAAATTACACTAAACTGTGTAAGGAAATAGATCTAGACTTCTACTTGAAATACAATACTTTCATTAAATAAACAATGTCAAAATTTGTTTTAAAATCGTTCCATGGAAGCAGACATGTTTGTTTTAAAAAGTGTAACTTCAGATTTTCCAAAAGTAACATCGGCTTTTTTTCGAAAATAAAGAGGTGCTTTTAGGCTACACTACACCTAGTATTCTAGATCTATTCTAGATCTAGATCTACTAGATCTATCTATTGTCTAGTATAGATCTAGATCTAGATGTCTAGCTCACTAGCTCAGTCATAGATTCTAAGTCATAGCTGTAGCTAGCTAGTTTTACTAGATCTAGATTCTAGATCTAGAATCTAGGTTTGGGTCTTATCTCGTAGTATCTCACAAACTACTGAACTAGAGATCATAATAATAAATTTTTAATAATAATATTAAATTATTATCTACGGCGTTACGCTTTGCGGCTACGGTATCTAGAAATCTACTATTTAATTATCATTAACTAGATCTAGATTTATTATCTATTCTAATATTAATATTCTATCTATAGATCTAGTATAATTTATAATATAATAGATTATAGATCTGTGTCTATTAGATCTTCTTAGTTTTATTTATTTAGATCTAGATTCTAGGTCTCAGATTATCATTGATTATGCTACTGAAATACTGAAATGAAAATGACAATATATTTTTGACAATTTTTATCTTTACCTAGCTAGGCCAATGCAAAAATTTAATTTCAGTAAAACAATATAATAGTTACATATTTGGATAGGGGCTGTCAATCTGATTACAGATCAGTTTGAATTTTCAAAATCTGACCATAAACAAAAAAGTTATGAATTTTTTAGTCATTAAAAAACAGCAGTTTTTTCAGACAACCGGGGTAGACCCTGAAAGAGGAAAAATACTGGGAGGGTATGGACCAAATTTTTAAGCGTTTTTCACTAAAAGTGGTATAAAAGCCAGAATACTTTATCAATTGATGTAATTTTAAGACATTTTATAGATTTTTGTATGCTGAATCCAATTATGCTATTTTAAAAAGTGTCCTTCGATTACTCAACCTACTAATCTCATAGATTATGTAATACCCCCCTTTCAATTTTTTTTAAACATCTAATAATCAATGTGATAAGAAGTCATTCTTTACCCCTCCCCACCACCACACATCATCTATATATATAACTAGCCGTCCCGGCCAGGCCCTGCTCTGGCTTCTGTGAAAAACCTTTCTGTTAAAGACCATTACCTGTGTGTTTAGTAATCATCATAAACCCGGCATTGCCCACCCAAACCACAACCAACCAAAACCAAAACAACAAAACGCAAACATAACGCTAACACAATTACAAATACAAACGAAAACAAAAACCTAACATCAAACCCAACCACAAACACCAATACCAACAAAAAAAAAAAACGAAAAAGCAAACGAAAACAAACCAAATCCAAACGCAAAACCAACCAAAAACACAAATACAAACCCAAAGAAAAAAACACAAACAAAAAACGAAAAAAGAAAGAACAAAAACGAACGAAATCAAAACGCAACCACTAACGCAAACCCACCTAAACACAAAGAAAACACTAACGCGAACATAAACGCCCGGGGCGGAATCACCTGTTTTAGCTTAATGAACGACTATAGTACCCCAACTTATTCAGTCTTTTGCACTCACTTAAACGAACGCGCCTGTTTCAATTTAATGAAAAATTTTAATACTCCAAGCTTATTAGTAAAATACCTACAACATTTGCACTTGATCAATCCCCGCTAATTATGTAATTATTTTTTTTCCCAACACCAAAACAAAGTAATTAAAAAGTAAATTATTTTCGACTAATGCAATGGTTTTATAAAGGGAAGTAATTTTGTTTTCCTAATTTATCAAAGGGAAGTAAGTGCTATAGGACTAAATAAAGACATAATTAGAATTTTTGTAAAAGATGATATTTTTTTAAAACTTGTGTTTAATGAACATGCCGACAATTATTACTATAATTTGAAAAATGAAAATTATTTCCCAACACTTTCAATAGTAATTTTTTAGCTCATAAATTTAGACAAATGCGCACGATAATTTTCTAACACTTAAATCCATACAATTCCAACGACAAACATATGCATTACATACAGAACTGAGCTTTATATATTAGATTCTCTTCTGGGAGCGCTAGAAAACAAGCTGTAAACGCGCTCCCTACCTCCCCACCCCTACATGGTTTTAGTGAGCTGTGTTCACTCTAAATGTTTACAAGCAGAGCCAACGATTTTAAACGTAGGGGGGGGGGGAAGGAAGGGGGGGGGGGTTATGGTCCTTAACGAGCTACATAGTGTTTTAAAGAAATATTTTCAGTGTCAGCGTTGGTACTGTCGAATTCACAAATTATGAATTACTGAAAATTAAAAACAACTAAATAGCGGCGTATGTTATGCCGCGGGACGGCTCGTAACCAATAAACCAATAGCCAGACCCCCAAAAAACTGTTGTTTTTTTGTTTTTTTCTTTTAAAATTATTAACTGAGCTTGGTCATCATAAAATTTATACTGATCAATTTCTAATACACTTTATAAAAGCAGTTTCTAAAACACGAAGGTAATAAAATTCAGCGTAGATCTATATTATTTAAAATTACCTTAGATAAAAACTTTTTCTGAACACCCCCCCCCCCCCCCCCCATTCTCAAAATTCTAATTCCACTTTACCCCCTAATAGTTTGATGTCATTTATGGATAATCCCAAATAAACTAATATGTTTCATGTATCCTACATTATTTTTAAAATTTCAGATGTGTTGTATTTTCAATAAAACCCATTTTTATGTATTACAAAGCTACGTATATAATTGTGTAGGCAGGTCTGTAGAATTCAAATAATGACATTTTTTTAAAACTCATTTACTTTTTTAAATTTATATTCTATTGATATATACTTAGCTATCTTAATGTACACTAAACAGTTATCGCTATTTTCAGATAAACTATTTAAGAGGACTATATTGACGTGTTAAGCCATAAAAAATGGATGGCTGTGGAGATTCAACAAACCAGGATTCTGTGGAACAAAAGCAGGATGGAGCAACACCAAATGAATGCTTCAGTTCATTTGGACTAAGCTTTGAGAAAAAGATTCTTAGGGCAGGCAATGGTTTTATCAAACCAGTCCATCAGTCATTGTGTACAGTTGATGTCATCTGTGAGTCTCATGTTGAGCAAGAAAGGATCACTATGACAAATCTAGGTCTTAGTTGTGGTGAAAATATTGAGCTCAAGTTAGGTTCTGCTAAAACCCATTTCATGTCTGCTGTGGAGAAGTGCATCACGACAATGTCAGAAGGGGAAACTGCATATTTTAACATAAATCTAACAGAATCACAGACATTTTCTATTAAAATAAGCCTCAAAAAATTTTCACAGGAAAAGCCAATCTGGCAACTATCATCCCAAGAAAAATATAACCTTTCCCTGGCACATAAAGAGAAAGGCACACATTTTTTTAACAGTGGGAACATTGAGGCTGCTTTTCTTCAATATTGCCTGGCTGTAAAGTACTTGATCTGCATCCAAGAGTGTTCCTCTGTGCTCAAGACAGACCTTGAGCCTGAAGTGGAGGCCAGAAAAAAAGTATACTTAGCTCTTAAAACAATTTGTTATCTGAATATTGCAGCGTGTCATAGTAAAGTGAACAATCATCACCATGTGATCGCAGCATGCAACCATGTTCTTGAGCTAGACAAAACCAATGTCAAGGCTTTGTACAGACGTGCAAAGGCTTTTAAAGATTGCAACATGATTGAGGAAGCTAAGTAAGTAATAAAAACGTATGTTTTTAACCCTAAAGTTACTGACGGTTAAAAAAATATTTTGATTAGGCCTAACTATTTGAAACCTTTTTTTTTTCAGGAAAGATCTACAACAGGCGCTTAAATATGATACCCGCAGCAAGGCAGTAGCTGACCTTCTACAAGAATTCTCTATAAAATAACTTCAAGTTCAACATTTTCTCTGTGATGCTCAATAAATACTGTACTTAACATATGCAAAACAGTACCAAAAAAAGGGAACAAATTTGTTTTGTAAAATTTATTTAATTTAAATAAGCCATGCACATAGTTAATTAATTATTTACTTATTCCTATCAATATGTACACTCTTAAAAAATTATTTTGATTACATTCATGCGGTGAATTAAAATATTCTGGTTTTATTTTTTAAATAAATATGTGGTTCACTTATAACCGTGGTTAATATTAAATCTAGTCTAGAGTCGTATTTTACAAAAATATATCTATAATAACTAGGATTAGACAAGACACTGGGTACACAACACAAGATCAGATATAAGATGTAGGGTACATATAACAGGTAGCTAAAGGATGATCTAACTACACACCAAGTTACTCTAATAGCAATACAGTCACAGGATTGTCTACCTTATCTTGTGAATTTTAGTGGGACATCTACAATAGACATTTTAACACCAGTTTTTATGGGAAGATTTGCTGCTACAGTTGGAAGACTAGTGGAGATACTTGCACTTGGTTCAAACTGAGACCACACAGAACACAGGAAACCATCATTAGGGTAATAAAAATAAAATCTTGAAGAAATTTGGTCCCAACATTTTAGATGAGTTCAAAAGATTTTTTTTTTTACTTAACATTTATATAAATATACAAAACAGATCATTTATTAAAATATAGATGATTGTTATACATGGCCAAGTGATGTCAACTTTATGTACACAAAATCAAATGTTGAGGATGAAAACATGACATAAGATGATGCTGTGACATGAGGTTTTTTTTTTCAAGGCACAGCTTTGAATGAATTCTGGGAAGACTTGGCTTCAACATTTAAAAACTAGTTAGTAATATTGTTTTGATTTTTTTAGTTTATTTGATGCATTCTTTGGCATTGGGTGTAAAACAATTTCTTTTTAAGAACATCCAAGAGTCAAGAGAAACCAGGTTGTCCAAGCGCCAACATTAGGAATGCTGCTGAGGTTCAGAAAAAGTTGCAACAGAACAAAGTCAACAAATGTAACAATTTGTAAACAATTAACACAGAGTGGTGCAATGCTGAATAAAAAGTGAGAATACTGAGAGAACAACAATTCTTTCTAACACATGAGAGGAAACAATGGCTGAACAATATCAAACATGAATGAAATGCATTGAATTCAAAGTGTTTTGTACAAAAATGAACAGAGACAGTTGTTGTGAAAACAATTGTTTGTACTTCTGATTACACATTCTAAGTCATGTGACCCACTATTGGTATTCTTTAATTTTTAAATACTTCAATTAGAAATATGCAAGTTCAACACTTTAAGAATAATAACCTAATATTTCAGATCTTGAGTTTAAAAATAGTACCAAATGAATTACATTATCTATATGTCCACAATAATAAACTCATATCACTATTTCAGATCCATATTTGTTTTAACAAAATAAAACAGAGCAATATAAAGCTCCGTCAATTTAGATCAAATGAGACTACAATACAAGTCACCTTGTCATGTACAGACACTCATGGAAGACTAAATAAAAATAAATAAATGCAAGTGGACAAACCCATAAAAAGATTTCAATAATGAACACATGAAACAAGTGTAACAAAGATATTGCCATGGTCTAACAAATAATGTCCTAGTTTCATGAACACAATGGTGGGGTGGGAGGTGAGTTATTGCTCTTGAGTTTAGAAACAGTCTCAAAAGTTGGATAAGCTAACAGATCTAAAGTGGTCTAAGCTGTATACTAACAGATCTTGTGTACAGTTGTATTCTAACAAATATAATGTTTATACAAGCTGTATGATAAGTGATGTGATGCTATTTACAAGCTGTAAATAATGTTAATTCCCTTTAAGCAAAAAGTACAGCACAATACAGTTATTGCAAGTGGGATGGAAATGTCTTGAGTAAAGGCACAGGATTTTGTCAGGAAGTTTCATTTAAATAGTATCTTCAAATCTTTTGTGAGGTGATTTCTGTGGGCTTTGGTGATGGCGGAAGCTTTGGTGTCTTGGTGGTGGGGGGAAGGCAGCTAAGGATGTGTCGATGTTTTCCTTGGCTTGTTCCAGATCTCTGGTAGTCTTGTACACTGAAATAAATCAACCAACAAATCAGTAACAGTTGTATCAAAACAAATGTCATTTCTGTATATTATTAGTTTTGTTTTGTGTTTAACAAAGCTTGTTATTTTATACATCTGATTTTTTAACAGAAATTTTAATCATTTATCAACACAATAATTTAAAGGTCAGAACAAAATGATATGTGTTTAAACATTTACCAGAATCTCTACCTGTGTACCCAAGTTACCAGCACCTATAGCGTCACACTGACAAACAACATTAGTGCCACTCTGAATAAGTACTGCTCTAGTGTTATATGGTATTTAAAATATAAGACTAACAGGATATATCAGTTTAAATCACGCAGTTAGATAACACTGTAGCTTAATTTAAAACTATTTAAGAATTAAAAACACCAGATAAAATTCAATTTATATTAAATTAGAAAATTATTTTCCGCATTAAAATGCTGTATAAAGAATGTTAGGTGATAAATATTTTTTCAAACTAGATGAAGCGTTAGGATGTTTACACAAAAGCACTCGTATTTTTTTCATAAGCATTAGGATATATGTTCACACAAAACCACTCTCTAAAGTTTTCTTTAAACAAACCCAATACGAGCTGATGGACTCATTATTTTGGGGACATGAAGACTTTGGCTGAAAATTTCATCTGCAAACAACGTGACATTTTTTCTTGTAAAATATTAATGACGTCTATTAACTCTGAAATAATATATCCAAAAGAAAACTAACACTGCATAATGATTTTCTACCAGTACTCTCGGTCATTGGTCACAAGCATTTGCATTATTAAAATTTAAAAGTCAAGGGTTATTGCCATAGTAAATTTTGTTTTCAGTGCTATTTATAGGCCTTATCTGTACAGAAGCTAATGCTACTACTGTTTCAACACAAGTGTAACAGTGATGTCAAATCATACGCAACTCAGGAAAACTAATTTAATTCATGGTTTTGTTTTGTAAAATAGTGAATTACTTAAAATTACTAGCTCAATCAGTGAAGTGCTTGTGATCCATTTTTTTCTGGCACTTTTTAATGTGTATCAATGCAACTGAGAAGCCATCTAAGACCACCATCAACATACAAGACAGCTTTAGAGCCATCTAAGACCACCATCAACATACAAGACACAGCTTTAGAGCCATCTAAGACCACCATCAACATACAAGACACAGCTTTAGAGCCACCTAAGACCACCATCAACATACAAGACACAGCTTTAGAGCCATCTAAGACCACCATCAACATACAAGACACAGCTTTAGAGCCATCTAAGACCACCATCAACATACAAGACACAGCTTTAGAGCCATCTAAGACCACCATCAACATACAAGACACAGCTTTAGAGCCATCTAAGACCACCATCAACACTCAAGAGCCTCACATTGCTTGTAGAGTGAAGCCTCCCAGTTCTTGTGTCTCTCAGTGTTGGCTGTCAGTCTGCCCTGTTGCTCCTGCACTGTGTGGTTCAGGACGTCATACTGTGCTCGCAGTTTTGTCAGCTCTTGTTTCAATGTGCCGTTCTGATGAGGACAAACAAATAGTATGAGCTGGTTAAGTTTTGAGACATTAGGATTCTAACTATAAACAACAGGTCCAGAATTACCTGTTCTACATGCAACCATCTGGTCTAGATTTACCTGTTCTACATGCAACTAACAGGTCTAGATTTACCTGTGCTAGTTATGAGCACCTAGATCAACCTGTGCTAGTTATGAACAACTAGATCAACCTGTGCTAGTTATGAACAACTAGATCAACCTGTGCTAGTTATGAACACCTAGATCAACCTGTGCTAGTTATGAACACCTAGATCAACCTGTGCTAGTTATGAACATGTAGATCAACCTGTGCTAGTTATGAACATGTAGATCAACCTGTGCTAGTTATGAACATTAGGATCACTCATCTGGTCTAGATTTACCTGTGCTAGTTATAACATCTAGATCACTCACCTGTTCTGTCAGCACAGGGTCATAAAAATGCCCCTGTGAGTCCAAGGGAGGCAACTCTGTGATCCAAGCTGTCCCCACCAGACGAGCAGCCTCGACCAGACAGATCCTCATGTTGTGGCAGGACATGGAGGTCTCCCTCATGGTGCTGTAGTCCACACTCTGGGGGTGCAAAACATTTCATCCTTAGACTTTCATCTGATTAGAGTCAAATCTACAGCTTGTGCTCAGTTTGAGCAACATTTTCAGTTATGGTTAGACTATATTTATATGAGATACACTAAATTTTTTTTTAAGCACACAACCCAATTCCCCACAGAACAAAATGTACTAGTGTCTAGACTTTTAGATTATCAGACTTAATTTTCACTTTAATTCATGAGGGACTTTATCTGTATATAACCATTACAATAGGTAAGAAATCATTTGACTTTCATGGTAACACAAAGAGCCTGGTTACCTAACAAGGGGAAACAACCCAGTTAATGATCATGCTGTCAGTTGTAGCCCTTATGTCTAACACAAACTACACAAGAAAGAAGTAAGCCATTGCCCTCATGCTTTACATGTGTTTAGTACAGATAAGTGGCATGTACAGAACATGTATTGAGATTCATGCTTGACATAATGGCCAACCCAAAGGACCCATAAGAGATTAGTGTACAGTAATTAAAAGAGAAGAAACAATGGTATTGACAAGCTAGATGAGAGATGTTGCTGAAAAACATGCTTACTCATACAGCACACACTATAGCCAGCTGATGTTGTTCATTCAACAAGCCATCATGCCACAAGATAATGTTCACTGATTTTTATAATAACTATGTGTGTGAAAATAATACAAGCATCATTCTAACACTGTCCCAATACAAGCAATAGATATTGACTAGTTAGAGATCAGTTCAATTCCACCTGGTTATCATAATTTTAACTAATTTTATTTGCTTACAGAGCTCAATGTGCAAATAAGAAAAAATATTACCTTGATCCACTAAAAGAGAAACAAACAAAAATCCATGAGACAGTTAGCTAAGAAGTATTAATGTATGTCTATTTGCAGGTATAGTTATCTTCATTTGGTTAGAATACAAATTTTTAATGGCAGTTTTGTGTCCATTAACAAGCTGTTCCACAGCCTTTTCTCATGTGACAGTTGTGTTAAAACACATAGTAAATAATGTCCAACATTTGTTTCCATGTGTGATAGTCATATTTGTGGAGTGAATTGCCCTGTGTGTACCTATAAAACACTATCAGACTATGTGAATTACTTGACAGCACTAGTGGCCCATTACCTCAGAGGCTGGCTTAGCCTTGTAGACCTTGAGCCTGTTGGACAGCCTGGCCTCCACCCCACTCAGTGTGACCAGACATTCATTGGTCTCCTTCCTCAGCTTCTCAAAGATGTCCAGCTTCAGCACAGCAAACAGCTTCAGGATGTCAGCCCCAAGGTAGCCCTGGGGGATCAGGTCTAAGGGAGAGAAACATTGGGGGATCAGGTCTAAGGGAGAGAAGAGAAACATGGGGTTCAAGGTCTGTATGTAAACCTTGTGTTCTGGTCTGTGAGAGAAGCTTAATTTCTATAGTTGTAGTTTACAGGAAGATTCTGTGGCCATCTAGCTTACAGGAAGATTCTGTGGCCATCTAGCTTACAGGAAGATTCTGTGGCCATCTAGTTTACAGGAAGATTCTGTGGCCATCTAGCTTACAGGAAGATTCTGTGGCCATCTAGCTTACAGGAAGATTCTGTGGCCAGCACATTTTTTTTCCTCCCAAGCAATGTGAGTTGTTTGGGAAGTTACCTATAAAGCTGGTATGACCAGCACATGAACCTGAGGCCTTGTTTCAGTTATCTACAACTTTTACTGCATGCTTGTTGTATCTCTCGTTTATTTTACCCTCCACTATCACTGGTACAACCATGCAAGAAGAAATTCTATTGTAATTTGTATCTGCCTTGTGTGATCAGCTTGAGTTGAGTAATTAAAACAGACAAGAGATGGGACTCACCTGAAGGAACTTTATACATGTTGTCTGTGGAATTTTTCAGCCGTCTGGGTGATTGCTGCTGCAATGGGGTTGGTGTATTCTGGGTCACATGACGATGTGGAGAGAGTTGGTTGGTTGGTATAGCAGCAAGGACATTGTCTTGATCCAAGTCAGCCACATTATAGTACAAGTCATTCATTGTTTCTGAAAGGAATATTATTTGAAATTTTTTACTCTATCCACATCTGCTCTTTAAATTGAATGAACTTCATTTTATAATTCAAATGTTTAAATACTGAGTAACTGTTTTTAATGCAGCATCAATTAAATTTGTGAAAATTTCTAACATACCTAGTCCGTCATCCTTTGTACCACTGTAGACAGTATGTGTTTCAGTCACTGAGCTTGTCTTTGTAGTTGTTGTAAAGATATTTGTGCTTTCTGGACAACATTGGCAATAAAACATGGAATATTAGATAACTTATCCACCCCTCTTGATGTAAGAGAATTAAATTTTTACTGACAATAAAAAAACAATTAGCAACGTTAAAACAATAGAAGCAACCCAATTAAAGAACAAATCAAGTGAAGCAATATAACCAGATAAAAGATTAAAGTAAAGCTACTTGAGAGAGTAAGGCTGAACTGACCTGCAGATAGCTTGTTCTCTTCACTGTTTTGTTCCAGCCTAGAGAGCAGGTCCTCCACCTGTCTCTGTGTGGCCATCAGCTCCTTCAACAATTCTTTCATCACATCTTCTTTCTCTTCCTCTGGTAGAATAACAAAGTTCACATAATGACTGGACAATTACAAATGAACAACTGCTAATAAGTATGATGATGTAAAAAAATATAGCACTTACGGCTGGAGCAGGTCAAGGTCACCTCATACAGGTGCATCTGTTTCCTTAAACTCTGGGTTAACTCCACCTTCTCTTTGTGGGAGTACTTCAGTCTAACAAGATAAGTAAATATCGATTGCTAATTTAACAGTTACTATTTCAACATGTGTTAAATGTGGAGGGGGGGGGGGGGGGATTTCAAAAATATAAACAAAAATATCTGCAGAAATTTATCATAAGATCACCATCCATTTGACATGGCTTTAAAGCGGTTTTATAAGTTCTTTAATAAAACAACAAAAATGTTCATTCTGATAGTTTTTCTCCTCTAGTTTATTTTGTTTTTATGTTTAAAAAGGTCTGTAATTTACAACAGGAAATTATTTACTCTCTAAATATAACATTTTTTTCAGGTATATAGAAGTTGATTTTAAGTCAAGTTTCTTATATTTAAAAATGCTCACAAACCCAACAAAAACAGAAAGCACTTACTTAGTGAAGGCGGTGTCCAGCTTCTTGTACTGGCCCAGCAAGTGGTGCAGCTGTTTGTCCCTCTTCTTTACCTTCTCCTCACGTTCTCTCAAGCTCTCCTCCACCCTCTGCTTCTCCTGCTCCAGTTTCTGTACACTGGACTCAGCTTTGGCCAGCTGCTCTCTCAGACCCCCAGCCTCTTGCTGGAGGCTACTCATGGCCTTAATGTGTTCCTTCAGCTCCGCCTCCAGGGCCACCTTGCTGTCCACTACTGAGCTGAGCTGATCCATCTCCGCGGTCAGTGACTGGACCTTGGTCTTGAGTGAACTCACCTGGCTCTCCAGCCCACTCTTCTCCCTGACCTGCCGCTGCAGCTGCTCAACCTGCTGGCCCAGCCTCACTTTTTCCGCCTCTGTCTCCTCCAGCCTCTGCCTCATGCTAACCCTCTCCTGCTGAACTCGCTTCACCTCAGCAACAGACGAGGCCTTCTCCGCCCCCAGCTTCTCCACACTCCTCTCCTTCTCCTTGACTTGCTCCTGAAGTTTTTTCACAGTGGCCTGCAGCTCCACCTTCTCATCCAAGACTGAAGTCAAGACATGCATCTCCTTCCTCAGCTTGTCTAACTCCTGCTCCAGCTGTTTAACACCATTTTCCTTCTCGCTCAACTTGGTCTCCATCGCATTCTTCTCACCCGTTAACCTCTGCACAAGATGCGACCTCTCCTGCAGAGTCTTGTCCTTCTTGACAATGATCTCCTTCAGGCACCGACAGCTCTCTTCATACTCCTCCACCTCCTTGTGCAGCCTCTGCACATCCTTGACCTTGGCCTCCAGCTCCACCATCACCCCCTTGCACTCGCTCTCAGAGTTCTCCTTGCTCATCTCCAGCTTAAACATCAACTTCTCCATCTCCAGAAACTCTTTCTCCCGCTTCATCAAGTCTTCCTCCAACGTCTGCTTCTCTGCTACCACTTTCTTCACATCCTCCTCCCTCTTCCTCTCACTCCTCTCCTTCTGTTCCAGCTCCTTCCTCAGGTCTTGGATCATCACCTCCTGGTTCTCTATGGTCACCGCATGAGAGTTTATTGTCTTCTGTAGCTGCGCTATGGTCTGTTCTAGTTTCTCAACAGCCAAGGCTTTCTCCCTGGCCATTTTGTGCTGTGTCTCAGCCAAATCTCTGTGCCAGTTGGTCTCTCTCTCCACCATTTGCTGCTGGAGCTGGGTTATCATAGCATCTTGTCGAGCTATACGTTGGTGAGTGTGCGATTGGAAGATCAGCAATTGTTCTGTAATTAAGTATTTTTTTTACAATTAATCAACATATAACTTTCAAGAAAAAAAGTTGTATGATTAAGTAATTCGACAAATCCATCTAAATAAAAAATTTTCCATTCAAAAATATATGTAATGATCCATTGAGATAATACTATATATATATATATATATATATAGAATGTTAAATTATTTTTAAAACCACCTTTAAATTTCCGTGTATTACTTGTAACATGTTAATTTAAAGTATTATGAGCATAAGTTATGATGGCAGTAGAGTTAAAAGAAATCCATTCTCTGGATCACGTCACTGCCTTACCTGGATCTTTGGTGACATCCAGCCTCTCCAGTCTCTGGCGCAGTTTCCTGATCTCCACCAGGTGCTGCTGCAGCAGGTCTTCATTAGACAGGTGTGTCTTGTGGTCCTCACCCAGGGACAGGGACACCTGTGTGCCTGTGGAGCGGTGCAGGGCTTCAAACACTGAGATTTCTTCTCTAAGCGTTATGTTCATCTGTTCTAGGTGCTCCACTCGCATTTTCAGCTGGTCAACTAAGAAAATATTGGCACGTGTAAATCATCATAAAATGTAAATTAATTGCAAACAATTATAGCTAAAGCGTTCCAACAATGTTCAAAAATTGGATTTTAAAAACTGTATTAATAACAGAAATCATAGGATGCAGGTATGGATGAAAATTAAAAGTAATTTATTTAAAAAGTTGACAAATTTTACTCACAAAAAGAATGCTAAATTATGTTAGACGTTATCACAAACTGCTGCTCACCACTTAGTTTAGACACTTCAGAGTTGTCCTCCCTGAAAGTGGAGATGTTGAAAATGTGCTTAGTCAACAAGGTGCTGTCCAGCATACTGTGGTAAGTGACATCTGGGTACAGACTCTGGTCCACTAGTGTGGTGTCCACGTTGACCTTGCTGTGGCCCTCACCCCTGCCTGGAGACCTGAAATCCTGAGTTTGGTCCTGCACAGACTCGTCATCAGCCTTGTACTTGTTGTTGCCATCAGGGGATGTGAACTTCTGCTCAATGTTTCTGGACTCTGGAGCAGAGCTGAGTCCATCTGTGGTTGGCTGGTTCAGGTTGTTGTACTCTGATGTGTGGAGCTAGAGGTACAATAACAGTACAGTTTTTTAATTACAGACATTTTTATGTTGTACCTTACGTAGTTTTTGTTAATTTTTAACGTTTGCAATTCATCTTCCCGGAATTCATAAAATCAAAACTAAATTTTTGTTTAAAACTCAGCCCAGATCGGTCTATAATGTAGATGAAGTAGAGTCAATCTGTTTCTCTATCTACTTTCCCTAATGAGTCGTAGCTAAAAATCTGTCCCATGATCACAAGACTTGTGAGTTAGTTATTGTATGCTAACCAAGGCATACATTGTATGAGAATTTAAATAAAATAATTGTGAACCTGAAAGATGCATTAGATGTATAAGAAACTGCTGACTTAAAAAAAATGACTTACACAATTGGTACTCTGAAGGTCTAATCCATATATCTCTATGGTTTTGGTAGTCGAGTCAGGGGACAGAACTGAAGTGGTAGAAGGTGTGGCCAAAACTTTGACCGGTGGAGAAGTCACATTAAATGATCGGCTCAGGTTGGTGAAACGTGTCAGCTCAACTGGTTCATGGCCCTCTTTCAGGAAGGCCTTGCCGTCAAACCTATTCTTGTTTGGAGAAATCAAATAATCCAGTTTTTTATCTGGCACATCATGCCTGCTCCCTGCCTGGTTCCTGCCACCGAGGTCAGTTGTGGGTGGCCGGTCAAGTTGGTGGCTACCATCCACAGAGAGCTCTGCCGAGGTGCTGTGCACACTTGAACTATCAGAGTCAACTTGTCTTTGGTTGGCATCAAGGCCTGTTTGTCTTGCCTGTCCCGAAGCTTGGACTTTCTCACAGGATTTGCTTAAAATCTGGCCACAACTGTGTCCATCTTTGATTGAGAAAAAAAAGATAAAACCATAATTATAAGTTTAAAAATGTGTGGTGTTGACATTTAGCTTTTGAGCTTCCAATTTATTATAGATATTCTAATAATGACTGATGTAATCAGAATACTTACTGTCATCATCATTATCCCAATCCATCAAATTCCTCATGGAAGTTGATCTGCGGGATGTCCTCGTGACATCAGTTAGACAGGTCTCACTACTTGATCTGCTCAGGGCTGCAGTAGATATACCAGCTGCCTCTAGTGCACTCTTGTATGACTTGGTTTTCTTGGAGAGTAGACGTACAGTGTTTTCTGTGGCTTCAAGTTTGTCTTCCAGCTCTTTGATCTAAACATTTTGTAACGGATTATTCAAGGTTGTCTTGTATTCACATGTTCAAAAGCTACAGTCATTTCACTAGAGGTTTGTAACAATTTATGCAGGTTAAACTTTTTTACTTAAAGGTTAAACTTTTTTACTTAAAAATAAACACTAAACAATCTCTTAAACATTAACATTATATATATAGGTACCTTTGCATACACTGTACAAATAAACTGATAAAAATGTACAATCGTTATCTTAATTTTTATGCAGTTTTAAACTGACCTTGAGCTCCAAAGCTAAAGTTTGAGAGCTGTCAAATCCAGCAATAGCTTTAACTGGTCCAGTCAGGTTTGATCTGGTTTCCTCCTTGGCTGGTGCCATGGTTCTCTTCACATGGTTCCTGCCTAGTGACATCTTATCCTCTAGATCTCCCTGAACAAAGTGCAAACAAAATAAATATGAATAACAATGCCGTTAAAGTGCAAGTTGTACACAGGAAAACATCATTTGAATTATGCAAATATGGGTTCACTTAAAAACAAAAGGATTTTAAAAATTCCTCTGCAGAGGTTTTAACGCACACAAAAAGATGACAAAGTAAAACCAACCTCATCAGCTGTTTGTTCACTTAGGTCACCACTCAACCTCTGCCTCAATTCCTGGTTCTGTTGCTGCAGCTTGTTCTGTAATCTACCAACCAGGTTCTTAAGATCTGAGGCTGACAAAGTTGAGACATTTGCATTGTTTGTATCTCCTAGTTCTGACAATCAAAAATCAGTTCAGGATAATACTTCAAATAAATACTCTTTATTTGCAATGAACTAAAGGAATAATTAGCAACTCATAAATAAATAAGAAATCTTAAGGTTATCTTACACACAAATCCAGCAATTAAATCATTTTTAATCAACTTAATTTTGCTATAACCTTTCACAGCTTCTTAAAAATTTGTAAAAATTAACTAATTTCATTACTATTCTCAAATTTCTTCTAAAACAATGTCAAAAGCTGGACAATTACATAAACCACTAGCACCCTGAAAGTAAACAAATAAACTGCTCACCATCAGAGCTGGGCTGGTTGACTCTGTACTGCTCTAACTCATCTGCCCAGCTATTTCTTCTGCTCCGAGTCACAGTCTGACTGGAGTCATCCAGCAAGTCACGCTGCTCTTCCTCCCTTGATTGATTACAACTATTCACTGCATTTTTATCTTTTCCTAACTGTGAATGTTGGGCTAAATTGTTCATAGAAGTGACCTCCCCTTTTTGACCACAGTCACCTCCCCCTGCCAAGCAGGTCACATTTGTTACCCCTGGGCCAAGTTCAGCCACAGTGCCTTGAGAGGGCAGTTTTTTGTAGCTAGTGCCAGAATCTACATCATCTAAACTGATGAGGTTTACACCAAACCTGTACCCATGCGAGTAGCCATTTCCATCAGCATCAGCTTCAAAATGGTCTCCACCGCTGTCAGCATCACTCAGCCTGTCGTAACTAAGTCTTAGATCACTTGAAACAGCTTTTGATTGTCCTTTACTCACAACACTGGCAGAACTGCAGGAATCCTTTGATGGACTCACAGACGCTGATGGAAGGCTGACGTCAGTTGATGTTGGACTGGGCGTGTAACTCAGCGAGTCCGCCCGGGCACTGGAGGCTCTGTCGTGTCTGCGCATCTCAAAGTGATGGTCATCAAAGGAGACGCCCTGTCTGAAGTCAAGGTAGTCCTCTAAGCTGTCCTGTTGTTTCCCCTTAGCGTCGTCTGTCAGACTGTGATTGTGCGTGTCAGGGCTTTGTGTGCCGTGTCTTGGAAAAGTCAAAGTAACTTTTTTAGCGCTCCCGTGTCTGGGTGGCAGACTAGCGTAGACGCTGTCAATGTCAAGGACATCAGTGGCAGCAAAGTCCCTGGATGGATGAGCAGAGGTGGAGCAATCTCTGACAGGACGAGCTGATGTGTGATCAAGCAAACTCTCCAAGTCCCTTCCTACCCCAGTCATCTCAGGGTTGTGGCCTGGTCTGGGTGAGGTTTGAACCCACTGATCAATGTTAGGATACATGACACTGGTCTGCAAGGACCGGTCTGCTACATCAGGGCAAGTTTCCACCCCAATAGAATGTCTGTTAACAGGAGACCTCAACCCATTTTGTCTTATTGGAGATCTCAGGCTACTTTCTCTACTTAAAGGAGATTGTGGCCCACTTTCTCTGCTCATGGGAGATTGTGGCCCACTTTCTATGGCTGTAGAGGACCAAGACTTGCTGGATATACTGGCAACATTATTCAACAGACCAGGGGATTCTGCTTTGGCTGGGTGATTTGTAGAGCCCAAGTTGTAACCTCCATCTTGACAGCTGTTACTGTCTGGGCTATCAGCTGTATATAGAACAAAATCATGTTTCTATGTACAATTCAAGCTGCCAAATGTTGGTAAATAATTAATGCTAATAATTTTATGATAAAAAAGGGGCAAGCAAATATCAGTGGAACACTGCCAGTCATTCAGCAACAAAACAAAAATATGTGAACTTGTTCATAAAGGAAGAGAAATGAACTCCTTATATGACGACTTACATTGTCTCTGATCTCTCTTCAAGCTGGCCAGAAGAGCACTGTGGAGCTGACGATTTTTCTCCACCCCATCCTCCAATTTCCTATAGATCTTTTGTACAGATGAAATCTCTTTGTGTAAAAGTTTACTGGTGTTTTCATCTCTAAGAACATAAAATCAATTTTTATGATGGATGAAATATCAAATTTTGTTTTTAAAAATTTGTCTTGTAATTAAAATGTTTTTACTAAATCAATATACATGTTCACACATGAATCTCATACATTTCATTCTCTAATACAACTCAGATATTTTCTTAAAGTAAAATTGCAAAAAGCACAATTGAAAAAGTTTTGGTTTGAAAAACTCTTACAATTTCTAAAATTGTTTAAATTCTAAAGTTGTTTTTTTGGTTAATATAATTCCCCTAAACTCTATAACCTCCTTATTCCTTGCCATTAATTAACCCTAGTGTTAACTTTATTTCAGATAAACAGGTAGAAACAAGTAAGATAAAAAACTTCCATTATAAAAATGGGGCGAAGAATATTTTAGACGAACAAAATAAATTATTTTTACAATATTATTCATATTGTACGTACACAGTAGCTACTGACTTTAGCTGAGATGAAAACAAAACAGCACACGTCACAACCTCCTCACCTGTTTTTGGCCGAGTCCTTCAAGTCATGCATACTGGCTAGTGCTGAGATGTCTTGACTCAGCATCTCCATCATCCTCTTCATGTCCTGGAACAAGCCTTGAGGGAGATCCAGGTGCAGCTCCAGCTTGTTGACTGTGTCACTCCACATGTGTACAGACTCACTGTCCCAATGATCAGGCTTGTTCTAAATGGTTCAAGAAAAAACTCTAAAGGCAAGCTTTACAGAATTTTTTTAAAAACATGCCAACTAATTTTCAAAGATGTTTTCCTTTACAATTTCAGTTCCTGCTCCACAATACTCCCTCTAATCTAATCATCTTAAGGGTTTATTTTTTAGTCCTGAGAGCTATCCAAAAGTCAGAAAGGCATTAAAAAAAGGTAACTTTTCTTTTTAAAGTATTTGTTGTGACAAAAACTAAAGAGATAAAAAGTGACTCATGGTGTTTCTCATAATTTTTCCCCCCAAAAAATATACTGCAATTGTGTACGGTTACACTGCATTTACGCATGCTGCATGTCTATTATACAGTCTAGAAGAAAAAAACTTAAAGCGAGTAATTATGCATGGAAAAATGTTTTCATATAACTAACTTTTTTTATGAGTATTTTTGGCCGAGTAGTATACATGTCGCAAGTGTTAACACACTGTTAGAAATAAAATGGTATTTTGAAGATTTCTTACCCGAGTCTTTGCTTCTGGGCCACTCATGTCAGCTTTAAGTGCCTCTAGTTCTTTTTTCAAGGCAGCTATCTCTTTTTTGTGCAAGTCTGACAATTGCTGGTGATTTAAAGGTTATAAATAGTTCTACAACAGAAAAACTTGGAAAAACACCAGTGGTGGAATATTATGTTCAAATCAGCAATTAAATTTAACTTGTTTTGGCCTTACAGGCTGATCCCTACGGCTGTGAAACTAATGATGAACAGGTTGTGTAACTCACCTGAATGTCTTCGTCTCTAGACTTCAATGCCTCTGTTAGATTATTCACCTCCCCCTTGTTTCTTGCAAAAGCCAACAGCTCTGCATTCTGGTCCTGTAAATATATTTTTATAAACAGATATCTAAAGCATATGATTTCTTGTGCACTACAGCAGGTCTACTATTCAATAGAGAAAAATGGCCACATCAGGCATATAATTTAAGAAAACAGCATGTTTACTACAGTGTGTAATCCATGGCGTTCATAGATCCTACATTAAGTAATATGAAATGAATAGCATTTACATCTTAAACTTTAACTAACAATTGTATGAAGACAAAAAAAAAAGAATTCAAGCCACTCATTAATGGTCTGTAATACATTACAGCTTAAATCTTACTGAAATTAGTTTCTGTAAATCAGCTATTTGCCGTCTGAGTGCCTCCATTTCATGTCCAGTTTCAGATTTTCTAGGAGATTTCTGTAGGAAATTTATAATACAATCTTAGACCAAACTTTACAATGGACATTGAATATTCTTAACTACTTCTAGTGTGACTAACAAGCAGCATTAGCATTTGTCGCAACGGTAGTGAAGACATACCTGGAACATGAGGGCCTGTTCTTTTAACCTCTGGTCAAAGTCTGCACGTTCAGCATTCAGCTGAGCCTGCAGGGCCTGTGATCAAGAGTTGATGGAGAGCTCATTCAGATAATAGTTAGAATATAACCACCTTTAGTTTTTATTTGATTTTCTCTTCAGTCTTCAACTTAATTTAGAATTTACTATCAAATATAATATTACTAAGTGTAGGTTTAAATTTTTTAAAAGATAACATTGTATTTTATCAGACAAAAAAAAATTTTATTAACTGAATGAGAATTATATGCTGAGGTTGAACCTATGACTAAACTAAGCAGAGAGATATCCTTACCTCCACAGCCTCCTCACTTTTGTTGAGTGCATCCATTGCCCTGTGCAGCTGGTCCTGAAAACCTGCCAGTTCTCCCTCTTTCTTGCCCAGTGACATGATCAGATTCTGAAAATGGTTCATTGTTACACTATTCATATTCACACACAAAAATAAATTAAAATATTGAAGTCACTATTTTAGTGTACATATTATTCTACTTAAGGTTAGAAATAACAAACATGCTCCATTTGTACATGTACTTAAACAAAAATTTAGTTCTACAATATTTTTCCCTTATACAGCGTTTGCACTTGCGTCTTGTATACTATGCATATCTAGAGAAACTCTCAAAAAGTTAATAGTACATGAAAACATTTTTCCCACAGAACATGTATACTTACTTGTTGCGAGCTTTTTTTCTAGACATGTATAATGTACATGTTGCAAGTGTAAACGCTGTTTAAAACTAATTTAATTTTAATATGCTAAAGGAATATATGCATCTGAACAGTATGTGAAATAATTGTAGCTTTATAGAATCAAATTTCTCACTTTAGTTTTTTAACAAGTAACTTTTACCCAGTAATTAAACAACATTTAAGTCAAACCCATTCAACAAAAAAGCACAAGGTGTAAACTGAACAAATGCATTTAGAAAACAATTACATTCAGAACTACATAAATGCAAAATGTTATTAACTGCATTGGTTTATTAGCTCTGATATATGTATTGATGCACACAAGTTAGTTCAAGCCCAATAATGAAATCATAAGCTAATGATCTAGTCATATCACCATAGACTCACTTACTGGCATGTCAGGAAAACTTAGACCAGAAATCATTGAAATATTTATCTAACTATGATCAAATATGTTAAAGAAAATAGACCTGGCCCATTAGCCTACCTCGGCTACACTGTTTGCCTCATCTAACTGGTGCTGAACACGTTGCTTGCTGTCCTCACTTTCTGCTAACTGATTTACAGCCTAAAATTATGGGATAGCATTTAATCCTGTTATTCTTCTAGATGATGACTTTACATGGGGCCTGACCAGGATGTTTTTTGCAACGGGTGTAAAATGGTTAACATATCCAAATAAAATTTAATTTGAAAACAAATTAACAATCAAGTCACACAAACAATTTCAAACCAAACACAAAATAGAATACATGCTCTTAATAGTTAAACACTCAGCTAATATAATAATTATTATGTTATAATATTTAATTAAAGTGACTAACCAATATTTCAATAATTTTAAAAATTGAAATCTATTTAAGCTTTATTGAATTTTAAATAAATAAAAATTGGGATTACTAAATACTTTTGTCTAAAATTTAATTTCTAAACACTTATTTCTAATAATATATTACACAAAAGATAATACCCTTGAATAGCCAGATTCAAGAAACTAACCATTAAAAGCATTAATTATTGTAAAAACCTAGTTATCATTCAAGAAATAATAATATGCTGCAGTTAACAAGCATTTTTTTAAATTTCAGATGAATACATGCACGTTTTAGCAAACTTCTTAAAAAATGTTTTCTACATTATTTTAACTCTGCTCCTATGAAAAGCATTAGGTTTTCACACAAGTTATTATCACTCAGATTAAAAGGTTCAATATTGAGCAGTAGATGAGCATACCTTGGTCTTCTCCAGCTCAGCAGCTCGCAAAGCTTCTCTAAGGCTGTTCAACTCTTTCACGGCTTCTTCTAGCTTCTTCTGGCAATTCTTGCACTATAAAACAAAAGATTGATGGCACAAAATTATTAAATGTCTTTTCCTAAAGAAAATCATTTTATTATAGACACTAAAAAACTATCTTTCATAAAGTATTTTCAACAACCTTAAAAAGAAGGTAAATACCTCTTTTTCCTTATCTCTTACAGATCTAACCAGACCCTCAACACTTTTTTTGTAACGTTCTAGGACAATACATTTCTGGTCTAGCTCAGCTATCTTCTCCTCCAGTTTATTATCAGCTTCCTAGGATACAGGACACAACAAAAATTTTTATAAAAAATAAATGCAAGCATAAGTATACAACATTAAACACACCTGTTTGTTGTCCTTAAATGTATGAGGAAAGGGGCAATAATATTTTTGTAACATGAATATTTCCATGATAACCCTTCGCATAAAAATCCGATACATGTTTGCTTTTTTTTAATTAACTATGAGTGATAATAAGTACTTCAAAGATTTATACAAAAAAAAGATTTTAATAACAAGATAGCAATTTATTGTTAAAACAGAAATACAGTTATTTAATGCACTAAGAGAAAACAGTTATATATACTAGATAGCTTGTACTTACATCTTTTTTAGCTTCCATCTTACGTAGAGCATCTTCTAATGTCTGAAAACAGTAGGAAAATGTGGTCAAGACAAAAATCCTTAGGATTCCAATACCAGAATGTTATTCTTTAGTAACCCAGTGACTCACAGTTATGAGATCATCTTTGTGTTTCAGCAGGCCTTGTTGATCTTTAAGTTTGGCTTCTTGTCTCTCTAGAGCTTCTTTCTGATCATCCATTTCATCCTACAATTACACAAGTCAACAACTTTATAAAAAGAGAATAAAAATAACCAAACTTTTAAAAAATGAAGAAAAGCTAGGAACTCAATTGACATAAACTTTTGTTAAAAGATCAATTTTTAAAAACAAGCGCCAAAGAGTTAAGCAATTAAACTTTTATTTAAAACTGCAGCACCTAAACTTGTAGGAAAATGTTATCTGCAGTCTAAACAGGTGCTGGTAAAATCTAAACTTTGTTTTAATGCGTCTACATTACTGTGTTAAACAATATCCAAATTAATTTTCTGTAAGTAAAGATGGCAAGATGCAAAGCTGTATTAAGTAACAAGTGGAACATTAGTATAGGTGGTCAAGGTGAAAGGTCAAACCTGTAAGTGCACAGGCTCCAATATGGATGTGCTATCAACATGCGACTGGTTTTGTAGATAGTTTGACAGGCTCTAAACAAACAGGTAAACAAATTTGCATAACAAACAACATTTTTAAAAGCACTGAAGTAAAGAGTAAACATTCAAAATGAAAAAAAAATCAAACATGCTAAAAACAGAAAATTAATCTTTAACAATAATGCATTTCAGTTACACTGAATAACAGACTTCATCACTGGCGGTGATAAATTATTTTTTTCCTAGTCAATTAGTGCATACCAGGTACCCAAAGCACTGAGTAATTATTAATAAAACATTTCTTGGTTAACCACTTAGTATGATTGACGTTTTAAGATAAGGTTTGCATTATATATATATATATATATATATATATATATATATATATATATATATACAACTTTAAACTCATTTCATAAACATGACATGCCAGATAATCAACAAAGCCAAGGTTTTCATGCCTGGTGTTTAAACATAGGAAAAGATGAAATACAGACACACATGCAATTCAAACAAAATGCAGTATTTATTTCAAAAACTGTTTATCCTTATGACATCAAGTAACAAAACAGTGTTATACATTCAACATTCAATTTGCAATGGATTTTAAAATACCAATCAAAAATTACAAACTAGAAAGTAACAGAGAAAGAAAAGTTTAGCAACTGTTACCATTATATCCCTCTCTTTCCTGGAAGTTTCTTTTCTAGCATCCTGCAGCTGAAGCTCTAATTCCTTCTGCCTAGTAAGGAGAGTTGTCTTTTCCTTGTCTTGCTCTGACCTGGCTTGCTCAGAGAGCTTTAGTTGTGACATCAAAGTCTTCACATCACTGATGACCCAAGGCAAAGAGATGAATAAACATATGGAAAAACATGATAAGAGAGACAACTCTTAAATAAAACTACCTCTTGTAGTTTGTTCCTGGATTGAACAGCTATGGAAGCAAATTCAGAGAGAAAAGCAGACAAATTGGAGAATACTGGTCTTATAGAGCATAACATGTTGACATAATAATTACAGTCAAGAATGAACAAGTAGGACAAATAAACATTTTAAACAGATAAATATACAATAGGAAACTGTCTACACTTGATACACAAAAGTCTGGTGTCTGAAATTTGTGCCTGCAACTTTAGAACAAATTTATAGCCATCAAAAACAGCAATCTGTGCAAAGACATACTTTAACTTTTGATTTAATTGATATGTGCATATTTTTTAAAATATAAAAATCATAGTAACTAAAATGGTCTACGTTATCAAATAGTGTCAAAATTATATTAAAGAAAAACTTGCAATTATTTTTTTAATACCCCTTAAGCACAAGAATTAGACCCAAAAAAATGATCCACACTACTATGTTCTTAGCTAAACCAACTTGACCAATACTCACAACTCAGCACTTTTAACTTTATTAGCCAGCTCCTGAAAATTAAAAATGTCAAACTTTAAATTCACCAGAACCTAGTCAATCTCAAGCAAAAAAAAAACAAAAAAAAAAAAAAACAAGCTAAAAATGTAAGTTACCTCCTTAGCTCTACTTGTTGAGCCTAACTCAGCTCTTGTGTCCTCCAGTGCCTGTTTTAACTGTTCCAATTTTTTTGTAGCTTCTTCTGCTTCTTTACGACTTTTTTCACAATCCTTAAATAGTATTTAAATTGAGGCCATTACCAGTAAATTATGCTAATCAAACAAATTAAAATATAAAAGAACATTTAAAACACTATTATCTCAGCTTTAAGAAAATTATTTTCTTTTTAGACTTGGTTTCACAGTCACGTTTGTGGTAGTTTCCCTACCCTTAACAACTACGACAATAATTGTAATCTTAAACCATATAATGAATAAAATAGAGAAACAAAAGAGTGCAAAATTTGTTTCAGCAAATGTCTTCCATACTTTGTAAGCTTTCTCTGCCATGTCCCTCAGTCGCGTCATTTCTTCCTTGTTTTCAGACAAAACCCTGTTCCTCATTGTCTCAACTGTCTGCTCATGGTTGTCTGTCAGAGTCTTCATGGCCACACTGAAACAACAAACACGATTTAACTAACACAACAATTGCCTCAATAGTAAAGCTACTGTACAGGATAACCAGAGAATGTTATAATAAAACAAAATTGCTTTAACTAACACAAAAATTGCCTCAATAGTAAAGCTACTGTACAGGATAACCAGAGAATGTTACAATAAAACAAAATTGCTTTAACTTACACAAAAATTGCCAAGTTTGCCTCAACACTTAAGCAACTGTACAAGGAGACTATGAATGAGTTATAAACAGCTAATGATTGAATGAAACTATGAGGAGATGTATACACTCACGCAGCTTTTTGAACTAAAAGTTGTTTGTCCATAAGGTCACGCTTCAAGTTTTCTATCTCAACCTGCAGCTCAATATTCTGTAATACAAACACAGGCATACGTTTAGTATAGGTACATGGCTAAGTAGAACAAAATTATTTACAGTTACAATATTTAAATTTCCTTTATTAACAAATGTACAGAGATTCTGTGTACACATAGATTTTAAATACGAATCTTTAAAGTAGTCATAAATCACAAGGTACCATTTTTTTTATAATATATAAACAAACTTACTGTCTTAAAAACATCCTGTCCATCACCATATCTCTGTTGCATCCTCTCCTCCATGTAGTAAATCCTCATCTTTAGACTGAAATTCTCTTTCTTGAGGTCAGAGATTTGCTAGGAACAAAAATTTAACTTAGTAACAACTTGTGAGAAACCAGTCTCTAACATAGAAACTTGAGAGGTACAAGTATCAAACATAGAAAATTGAGAGGTACAAGTATCAAACATAGAAAGTTGAGAGGTACAAGTATCAAACATAGAAAGTTGAGAGGTACAAGTATCAAACATAGAAAGTTGAGAGGTACAAGTATCAAACATAGAAAGTTGAGAGGTACAAGTATCAAACATAGAAACTTGAGAGGTACAAGTATCAAACATAGAAACTTGAGAGGTACAAGTATCAAACATAGAAACATCTTGTGAGCAACAAGTATCAAAAACAAAGAAACAAATTGGGAACAATGATTAAAATACAAATGTAGTGCTGGTGTAAATGAAGACAAAAATAACAAAAGCACAACATTTTATAATTTAGCACGTAAAGTGAGGGATTACCTGGTCATATTCTTTCATTGTTCGGCCCCTGACAGGGGACATTCTCCCACTATTAGATTTTGTCAACACTTTGAAAAGAAAAACAAATCAAACGGATTTATAAAGCTATTTTATTGTTGATTAAATATTGTATAATACATCTTAATATTAATCCCTGATTTAACATGACATTTCCCCCTTTAAATTATGAAACTTAATTAATTACAGCCAACTAGCTAATTACAAATTACTTGCATCAAAAATTACCTTTTGTCTAAACTACCTGTAAATGAAAATAACTTACTGGGTGAACTTTGATCCCCAGATGCTAAATATGAGTGATTGCCCAATGTGACTTCTGGAAGGCCGCCAGGATCCAAGCTAACAAATGATGAAAGGTTTAGAGGAGAGAAACATATCAGCATTACATACCAAGCATTGTATATTATACAAATGTTAAACTGCACTCATAACAGCAAACATTTTGACATACAAACTTTTAGAATTTAACAGGCATGAATACACAGTACTACTTGTATAAATCACCCACATAAGTACTCAACTTGACAAAATAAAACCCTCTTTTTAATAGTGTTGAAATCATAGAATAAAGTGGAGGAAAATATATAGATAGAAGCAGACTTTTCACGGTAGAATTTTTATAACAAAGCTTGGTTAAAATAATTTTTACCAACTAACATAGAGGGATATGGTTACAGGAACTTGATGCCTATATTTAACCATTGTATACACAAATAACTAGCAATGCCACCAATGGTGTTTACAAGAGCGAGACAAAAGAAATAAAAGCCTACATGGTTCAATGACTGGCAAGCAACAAAAGCTAATCAGCTTGATGTCTAGCAATAGAACCACTGTGTACTTTGTGACTCCAACACATGAGAACATAAAGAACAATAACCACTCAGCTGTGACCAGAGGGTAGGACTATGGTTTGAAACTAGAAACCTTTGAAAAAATCTTAATTAAATGTTCTTAAATATCTAAAAAGTCTTATAGTTATAGAACTGAAGAATGTTTCTGAAGATTGGTAGTGGCCTTCCTTTAATTATAAAAACAGCAGTAATAATATAAAGTATTGATTATAAAATTCTGAGTTCTGAATTGCAGGTGTTTATTAGATCAGCTGTCCCATGTGAGAATAAATGGACAGTTGAGAGAAAAAAACAACCCAGAGTGATTAAAAATAATCTATTATGTAAAGATATATGCCCATGCCACATACTTGTACTGCTTTGCATTGTTTTTTCACCACTATTGACTAATATCATCTAGTCATAAAAATTAAAATTAAATAGTACCTATTCATTACTTTATAAATTTTGAAGTTAACAACATGTTATTTTTTGTATATTATGTTAAGAAAACTAGTTAAGAGTCTAGTTAGGACTTTATTACTATTTACTAGTCTATAAAATATAGTAGTATGTATAATTAAGTATAGTAACATGTAAATCTAGACTCGAGACCTATTGAGTTGTATTACTATTAGGCCTAGGCTAACAACATTTACTTATTTATTTAGTACGATATAAATGGCCAGTTGAGGAAGAAATACAAGAGGCGCTAGGTTGATAGTGTTGTCTTTTTCTCTAAATCGAAATCAAAACCTAAATCACCACCTCAACTTCAAATTTAACCGGAAACAAAAAAATGTCATTGAAACCAGATTTCACTCACGCATACAATATTTCTTTCAGACTTTTTACCGGGGGTGCGGCACTTGAATTTTTGCAGGGAAAAATAAAATTCTCTGGGGCGGGGAAGGCAGACAATGGTAAAAGTATATATATTTTCTATTTAAATTCTATTTCCTTTGGGGGGGGGGGGGGGGGGGGGGGGGGGGGGGAGGGGGTCTTCGCCCCTACCCGAAGAGATGCATGAAAGAAACTCTGCACACAAACCACTTTTATGATTAGACAAATGAGTTAGGCGGTAATGTCAGTGTTTTTTTAAAGAGTATCAATGAGGTCATTACTATTGTGTATTTTTTTGGCATTAGCTTTTTAATACAACGTTTACTCTAGAATCAATGATGTCATATTATAGTGCGTACTTTCCAGCTTTGGACTATTTCCTACTAGATCTATATGTTCCATGTGATGACACGTTTCGTTTTCTATATTACTGTGACAGTTTTTACTTTGCTTGTGTTTTCCCTAGACTATAGTAAAAGCATTCCCAACAGATAGAGTGACAGAATAGAGAAACTATTATTATAGATTAGATCTAGATTTAACTGATACAGATCTAGGTCTCAGCCTAAAACTAAGCAATAATACTAATAATAATAGTTTTCTAAGTCTACATCTAGATCTAGACATCTAGGTCTAATGAATGTTGAAAGTTGAATTTATTTTTGCATTTTGATAGCGGATGTCACAAAAAGCCAAAAGAAGGATTATGGGGAGAATGCTTATACCAGTGTCCGATAATGGAATCTTTTTTTTAAAAAGAGGTGTTATGTTACTGGTAGTTAACTAAATAAACACATGGATGGCTAATGTCAATGCTAACCCTGTCCCTAACCCTAACCCCATCCCTGGTCCTACCCTAATTTCTAACCATAAAATTAGTCGAGATTACAATACTGCTAACAACCCAACACCCCTTTTTTAAAGAAGATTCCATTATCGGACACCGGTATCTATAATCATCCGAATTATGGTTAAGAGTTAAGATTAAAGTTGAGTGTTGACAATTACTTATTTATTTACAATGAATAGGCCTATACTATAGCTATCCGTGTCTATAGACTCACTATAGTATAGATCTAGAAATCTAGCTTTAGCTTATTAGTTATTTTATTTAGATCTAATATTAAATAAAAAATAATATTAGCCCCAATGGCAATACTGGCCAATACGGCCATTCACAGTCGGCTGTTCACAGTCGACTGTGAATAGACACTTCATTAGATCATTGGTTTAGTAAAGTTTAGTTAGATTCTCTACTCTAGTGTCTAGTAGATCTACTAGTCTAGATTCTAGATCTAGTCTAGACTGCTAGATCTAGATCTAGATTCTGGCTAGATCTAGACTGCTAGCTAGATCAAGATCTAGAAATCTAGATTCTAGGGCAATCTAGGGGAGATCTATTCTAGAATCTAGATTAGATTATAGAATCTAGATCTAGAGTAGAGTCTAGATCTAGATCTAGAGAAGAGGCTTTTTTCAAAAGAGGCGCTGATATTTGAATTTTACTTTACAATAATTAATAATTTTGACCTGGTAAAGAGAAAATTATTGCAAACATTTTCAGCTTAAAATAAATGGGAAGTTCAAAAAACAAAGAAAGACAAAATGCCAGAGTTATCCTTGATTTTTAAAATAGTTTACTGTGGAATAAGCTGTACATTACTGTACATACCTTCCTTCAAAATCCACTGGAAGCGCCGACACATCGGCTGCCTCATCCATTTTCAAACAGTCGACAAGTGGTCTGCTTGTAAACTTTACCTGCGCATTTATCGACCGATTACGAGACTGTCAATATCTCTACTGTTAATGTTGTATCGTAGGCTAGTCAGTGGGCCTACAGTCAAATTTGTTTTGGTTCTGTGCGCATGCTCACCGAGTTCTTCAGATGAACCATCCATCCATGGCCCAATCGAGTTACCGAAAATTTCCAGAAATAGAGCGTACCTCGTAAAAAATAAGCAAAGATTCTTTATTACAACAGGCGCAACATAACCATGTGTGGACGAACAGCCTGGTACACTTACGTCTAAAACTTGTACTAGATCTATAATGATTAGCTTACTTAACAAACATCGATTTAGATCGAATTATCATCTGAGGGATTTAGTTAAACTGCTGTCAGATAATGGACTCGTCCAATAAATGGGGGTGTATGACTGTTAGCTATCAATGTCTTGAGTTTGCAGTATGCGTATGCTTGTTTAAAACTTGAGCTCAAAAGTTGGCACAATACATTATATTCAATTATTATATTCTAGATCTATTTATAAATAGGAAATGTAGATTCTAGATCTAAGTTAAAAGTTGTGTTAAAAGATACTAGATCTAGCTTTAGATCTAAAAATTACTAAATACAGAAGCTAACAGTTACATGCTGCACTCAACTGTACTGTTATTAGTTATTATTAAATTGAGTAAAATATAAGAGATGAAACACTGTAGGCCTATATTATATATATAAATACATTCATTAAGTCACTATTCTCTACCATCATTGCTAGATTAGAAACTTGCTCAAAACAGCTCTACTGAGGGGGTAAAATCATCTAGACTTAATCCATTTTTAAAAGACAATTGTACAAAATCACATCAGCACATCCAACCTATGCACCCCCTGGATAATATAATATATAGTCTAAATAGAAAATATATAGGCCCTATACTTTACCTTTGAGGTTTAAAATCCCCCCTCCCCCCTCAACTATGGGATCAGCATGTCTAAAAAAAACTTTAATTGCATGGGAAACTGCCAAAGAGTCAGTAGTCAGATTAGTTGAACTATTGTTAAGTATAGGCCTAGCTTAGTTTAGACAGGCACTAAGCACACTAATAAAGTTACCTATATTGAGTATATTCAGGCATAATTTTTAAAAATTTACTACAAATAGCTGTAAGTGTCCTGAAAAATAATAAATGCTACTGTTTTAAAAATAACTTTTAAACATTAAACCATGGGACAGCATGGCCTACAGGTAGAGTGGTAGACTGCTAACTGACATTAGTGAAAGTTAATGTGGCTGGGCATTGTGATGATACTATACTTATTATCATTTTTAATTTACTGCACACATCACAAATAGAAGAATATAACCACTAACCCTAAAGTCTCAAGCTTGAATCTGGCTTAAAGTCCATAGCATAACTATGTCCACCCAGCTCTGTTGGGTACTTGACTCATGTTAGGGAAAGCAAAGGTGGCTGGGCACTCTATCCCTCATATACCAAGGTCACACAAACAAGTGAACTCTACTTCACTTGCCCCATGGATTGTCATGTTAAAAAAAGGGAACTTTTCACAATTTCACTCATGGAAGTATCTACCCAAATTAACATCTATGAATACATTTTTATTCCAGCACATTGTCACCCAATGAGATTGTTGCAGCCTGCAGGTTTAAAAGTGCAAATGGTGAACAAAATTGTCCTCAATGGATGGATGCTGCAAATGGACAAAAATACTATCCTTCTTACAACAAGGCACCTACCTCATACACGTACGTTAGTCCCTTTATTACATTTTAAATGTGACATTAATCAATAATGTTTTAATATCTAAAAACTATCGAAAAATATTTAACAATTTAACTTTATTTTCTCAGCCCTGTTCTTTTATCAAGCCAACATTTTGACAATTCAGAAATCTCTGCTAAGTCTGAGCGTGTTGTTCTTCCAATGAAATGGGGTCTCACACCATCATGGCACAAAGGAGACCCTTATAAAATCCCATATGAAACAAATAATTGCAGAGCTGAGGGTATGCTAGAGAAGAGAACATACAAAGTTCCTTTACAAAAAGGTTATCGATGTGTTATTTTGGCAGATGGGTAAGCTCTGTTGCTAGTAAATTAATCACTAATTATTTTGTGCTTTACACAATCATTTAAAACTTTGTAGCTCGAAATACTTAATCTTTAACGGAATATAAAATTCACAACTCTCAATGTAACAAAAGTTGATAGACTTCATAATTTCCTTCTACAACTCACAAAATGTCATTATCACTAAAAGGGTGGTTTATGTGGTAACAGGCTGTAATGTTAAACTAACTGCAGTTAATCTTTGATTGTTTAAAAAAAATACTTTTTTAACTTATGTTTTTATTGTTTACTGTGTTAGTATATTATAGATGGTTTTAATCTTGTTTTGTTTGCCCTTTTTTAAATTTAGCTTTTTTGAATGGAAAACATTAAAAGAGGGGAAGCAACCCTACTTTTTCTACTTCATGCAACCAGAAACTGTGCAATTTCCCTTCAAAATTATACCAGACAATAGTGCCAGTAATTCAAAAAGTGAAATAAAAGAAGAAAATGAATCAAAGCCACCAAAACTGCAACCAAAAGTTGAAACAAATGAAACTGTATCTCTTACTAATTTAAAAGAAGAAAAAGCAGATGAAGATATAAAGACAGAACTAACAGATGTCCAACAAGAAAGTGAAAAGTCAGACTATACCAATCTCAGTAGCAAGATTGAAGAGTGGCATGGTCCAAAACTCTTGACAATGGCAGGTGTCTTTGATATTTGGAAGTCTTCAGATGTAAGTAGACCTACATCAGCAATATTTTTAGTTTTAGTCCTGAAAATATTCTGTTTATCTACAACAGTATGAAATTTGTGTGCAGGGTTCGCCTCCCTTGTATTCCTACAGCATCATCACTGTGTCCGCCTCATCTGACATGGACTGGTGTCATCACCGCATGCCTGTAAGTTATACTTTCTCACATCTTATAATCTAGACACCTCTAAGTTGTACTTTCTCACATCTTATAATCTAGACACCTCTAAGTTGTACTTTCTCACATCTTATAATCTAAACACCTCTAAGTTGTACTTTCTCACATCTTATAATCTAGACACCTCTAAGTCTAAGTTGTACTTTCTCACATCTTATAATCTAAACACCTCTAAGTTGTACTTTCTCACATCTTATAATCTAGACACCTCTAAGTTGCACTTTCTCACATCTTATAATCTAGACACCTCTAAGTTGTACTTTCTCACATCTTATAATCTAGACACCTCTAAGTTGTACTTTCTCACATCTTATAATCTAGACACCTCTAAGTTGCACTTTCTCACATCTTATAATCTAGATACCTCTAAGTTGCACTTTCTCACATCTTATAATCTAGACACCTCTAAGTTTCACTTTCTCACATCTTATAATCTAGACACCTCTAAGTTGTACTTTCTCACATCTTATAATCTAGATACCTCTAAGTTGTACTTTCTCACATCTTATAATCTAGACACCTCTAAGTTGCACTTTCTCACATCTTATAATCTAGATACCTCTAAGTTGCACTTTCTCACATCTTATAATCTAGACACCTCTAAGTTGCACTTTCTCACATCTTATAATCTAGACACCTAAGTTGCACTTTCTCACATCTTATAATCTAGACACCTCTAAGTTGCACTTTCTCACATCTTATAATCTAGATACCTCTAAGTTGTACTTTCTCACATCTTATAATCTAGACACCTCTAAGTTGTACCTTCTCCCATCTTATAATCTAGACACCTCTAAGTTGCACTTTCTCACATCTTATAATCTAGACACCTAAGTTGCACTTTCTCACATCTTATAATCTAGACACCTCTAAGTTGCACTTTCTCACATCTTATAATCTAGATACCTCTAAGTTGTACTTTCTCACATCTTATAATCTAGATACCTCTAAGTTGTACTTTCTCACATCTTATAATCTAGATACCTCTAAGTTGTACTTTCTCACATCTTATAATCTAGACACCTCTAAGTTGTACTTTCTCACATCTTATAATCTAGACACCTCTAAGTTGTACTTTCTCAATTCTTGTGAGAATTCTGTTGTATCAGTACATTAACTTGTCATTGCTAAAAATGATAGATGTAAAAGCTAAAAAAAAATCACTTTCTAAATAATACATCACTGATAGTGTTGTTGAAGCTATGTTTGTGTAGTTATTTTCTATACTTTTTTTAGTGCAGTAACATTTTTAAAAATTGCAGTAGTTTTTAAGGAACAAGTGTATTTTTCTTTACAGGCAATTTTATCTACACCCGAAGAGGTTAATGATTGGCTGGATTTCTCAAATGTTCCTCTCAATAAGGTGCCAATAACTTACATTACTTACATCCACGTTGACGTAAAATATATTATTAATATACCATGAGAGAATGAAACTGTCATCATTGTATTTGTCTGCACGCAGGCGTCTGCTCTCATCAAACCACAGAAGTGCCTGAGCCACCACCCAGTCTCAAAGGCTGTCAACAACTCCAGGAACCACACACCTGACTGTCTCAAACCAGTCAAGCTTGGGTTAGTCCAAAATATATTTCTTCACGGTCAAGTTAATCAAATATTTTTAAATAGTTAAATAGTTTAAGTAAAAAATATCTGATATTGTTCATGGTGAAGTTCATTATATAATTTTTTTAAATCTCAATAGTTCAAGTAAACAAAATAGTTGTTGTAATTGTAGATATACTTGCTATATGAAATAAATGGAATTAAAAAGTTGAAAATTCTGATTTTGTTTAAACCTCACATTAATACTGAAAGAGGAACCATCTTCACTCTGTTTTAGGTCTTAGAGGAAGGTACCATAAGTAAAGCTGACATATAAAAATCTTCTGTTTAACATATTTTAAATGTTTCCTCTCCAGAGAAACCAAACCAAATCCTAGCAGTAACTTGATGATGAGCTGGTTAAAAACAGGTTCCCCAGCAAAGAAGAGAAAGATCTAATTGTTCGACTGATCATTTTCACTTTCAGATCTGTTACATCAAAAGTTTTTATTAAAATTGAATCCCTTATTCTGTTATAAATTGCATTCCTATTTTGAAGTCATAAGAAGTGATCAAATTTTTTTTTTACATCACAAAAAGTGTCTAATTTTTATAATTAAAAAATATTAAGATTTATAACAACCTTTTAAAAATTAATGACAAGTATTTTTGACCATGTGATGTACTTCTCTTAGCTTTAAATGAAACATAAGTTATATCAAAATAACAGGTTGTAAATAATTTTTGTCAACTATTCAGTATAGCTCATAAATACTTCCCTGTTTTGTATTGTATTCATTTATTTCAACTCCATACTGTGTTCAGAAAAATATGCCTAATCAGGAATTGTTTCAAATGTTTACCTAATTTTGTATTGTTTTTAAAGATGTGTTCATTGGATATACCCACTGCCATTTACTTTGATGCTTAAAAATAATTCGTGTTTTATTGAAGAATACTAAACAGTAGAGATATTATTGTTGGATTTTTTTACTGCTGTTAACTGTTATGGCTTTTTATGCTCCAAAATTATGTCTAATTGTTTATTGGACTGATACCTATGTTATTTGAATACCGGTAGTTGATGTATAATAAACTATTAATTTTATATTTTTCACTAAAAATTTATATTAAAATTAAAATAATTAAATTGAAATGCTTGTATTCTTATTTTAATAAACAATGACATGTCCCAAAGCAGGACAGTCCATCCCCCCACTTACCATTTCTTCCATTATAATGCAACTATAGTACACTATTTATTGCAAATGATCAATTAGTAAGTTTTAAGCTAGGTTGGTAGATTACATGTTTAAAATTTATCAGCAAATGTGGTGAATCTCCTTATACTATACACTAAATATGATGCCAATGTGTATGGGTTTTGTTTATTCTATAATTTAGAATACCTTAAATTGTCATTTTGGTAGACTCAATGAAGGCGAGTTTTAGCTGCAAATCTGGTGAAATACTAAATGTGAGTTGATATCTGGTCAGGTATGTCTTGAGGTAGATATTGTCTGACTTGACCATCATGTTGGCTAGGCAGTTCCCATGTATGTGTTTCACATTTAGAAAATACATAGCCTAGCCAAGTCAAAAAAATAAGTAACCTAAAACAAAATACAGCATTTAAAGTTGGCATTGCTGCTGACTATCCCATCATTATGACTTTATAATGATCAACCAAGAGAGAAACTATTCTGGGTAAAGATGATCACTGAATCCTGGGCTTGAGACTTTTGGACGTCTCTGAGTCCATCCAGCTCTGATGGGTACCTGACTTACAATAGTGAATCAGTAGAAGTTACAGTCTCGGGGGAATTTTCAAGACTCATGTTTGTGGTGTAATAGTAACTGCATTCATGTAATTTCAAACTAAAACACTGATATCTCCCATTTTTAAAAAGTTAGCAGTATAGATTCATGGATATACTACCAACCAGCTCTAAACTAACCTTTATTCCCATAGTGGAGGCAGAAAATAATAAAGTTTAAAAAAAATTAAGTTACACGTTTAAAAAAATACCACAAATTAAAACTTATTTTGTACCTTCTTTATATAGATCACATGAAACAGTAGTACATAATAAACTGAGTTCTAAAAAATATCATCTTTCAACAAATTTCATTTGGTTTGTAAGACTCTCCTCCAGCTTGTCAAGCCTATCTGTTTTTACTGCTTGCCGAAGGTGGCGGAAAAAATCAAAGTACTGATGAAAGTTGTGCCTAAAAATAAAAAGGGAAAATTCAAACTTCAATTAGATACCCCATAAGATTTTGACACAATATAATATTAATGACTGAACGTAACTAATCAAAATGCTTTAGAAAATAACTATTCTTTTACTTGTCAGCACCTCAAATGGTACTTACATGGTCAACAGGACATAAGCTAGGAGTTCTTTGGTGTTGAGGAGGTGATGAATGTACGAACACGTAAAATTTGAACAGGTATAGCACTGACAGTCAGGTAGCAAAGGACTAAAATCAGAAAAATACCTGAAATACAAGCAAACAACAACACTATTAAAAAGATACAGGTAAAATTTGAAATAGAAGCAAACAATTACACTGTTAAAATAAAAGTTATTACATGGTAGCCTACTTAAAAGTACTACATAATGTACTACCACTAAAGTTTGTAGAACTTAAATTTTAAACCAAATCTTCATGAAAGTTATTTAGTTTGTATTAGCTTATTAATGAAATAAAAATTACTTTTTATTTGAAACAACAAAGTGGAAGTTTCAAAAATCTTAGAACTATTAGATTACTTTCCTAATAATGTCAAATTGAGAATGATGGTTGATTCCCTTATGGTCAGATTTATTGTAAAGTTTAAGAGTATTGAAAAATTACATCAACTAATAGTACCAACAACAAAATCACACATAGCATACAGATATTTTCAAATAGGCCAACCTATCTGTATTTATCTAAGAAGAAAGTCTCGTACCTTGAGTTCTTAAGGTCAATATATAATCCATGTACTTCTGGTGTGTTATCACAGCACTGCTCCAGTCTGGCTGATTGGCTGCAGGCTGGCAGTCTGTAGTCAGCAGCTAGTGCCAGACCCTTCTCTGTCAGGGTGTGTGGGTACCTTGTACAAGTCAAGGGCTGATAACAATTTAAATAAACAAAAAGACACATGCCAAGCTATAAAAAGAAATAAAACCTAAATTAATGCTGGATTTAGTTCAAGGATACGCACTGGAAAAAACATCAACACCAAGTTTGAAAGCTTTTATTACTTGAAGGGGAGACCAAACACTTTCCATTATTCTTGGCTTATTTTCTGGCAATTCTTTCTGGAAACAGAGGTAAAATTTTCTTTTATTTCATGTACATGTTTAAAGAGTTAGTTATATATTTTACAACAGTGAAACTTCAAGTAAAACATCGACTTACCAATGTAAAAGAAAGAATCTTTAAAAAATCCTCATTACTAAAAATATCTTTCCCAGAGTTATTTCCCTTCTCAAACCCTTCAATCAGAAAACCTGTAGATGGATCAATTTCTTGATGTAACAAATTAAATCAGTTATTATAGAAAACTATAAAAACAATGCATTGTTTAAAAATAAGCACTTCACACTGATTTTTGTTTTTTATTTAGAACTCAAGATGTAATAAAATATTTTAAAATAAATCTTAGCACAGCAAAGTATCTCATCTGGCTTGGTAGTGTCCAGTTATTATTCATTTGGCAACAGACGGCATAACAAAAAAGAACATGAGCCACTAACCATCCACAGGCCTTGCTGCTGTCTCTTTAGCAGACCTTTTCCTTTCTCTCTCACTGAAACCTCCCTCTATGACACCAATTAGACTGGACTTTTTGAGAAACTTCAAAAAATAAAAACTAATTTATTAAGTTCTTTAGTCATTAAATTTTTTTTTTCTTTTGGGGTATTAAAACTTAATTGAAAGAATTTGAAAAGACATTTTATTCTCTATTGTGTACACTACTGTTTTCTTTTTAAATCCACTCTGAAAAATAATTTCAAGTCAGTTAATTTAAAATTAATCTAACAGTTCATTTAAATACCTCGCTATTCTTCTGTTTTTCAACAATGTCGTCTAAGAAATCCAAAGTGCGACTAACAGCCTTGTTCAGCCTTTTATTGGTGGAATCCTGGTCTGTGTCCCCATCACTCATAGCTTGAAACCAGTCAGGAAGAAAAGCTTCTTGAATTTTCATAAACAACTTGGTATCCAGCTGAAACAAGCATTTAAAAACAATAGGGACCAGAAGATAGGGACAGAACAATCACACTAGCAAATACGTAATTTTGATACCTCCTACCATCAGTCTCAAAAGTAACAATTATGGTAAACTAGTATATTAAACGAGAAAACTAAAAAGTATATTTTCACTTGCAAAAAAAAAAAGAGAAAAAAATAAAATAAAACAAGTTTTTTTCAACAAGTTACCTTGGTTTTACCCCCTTTACCCCAGATAGCAACACCTGTGTTGTCATTTTTTCCTGAAAACATGGCGGCACTTGCATCATGTTGGGTGGTAAAGATCAGGTGATTCTGCAGGACATTTTTTACTTATTATTTTGATAAAAGACACGCAAATAAGCTGAAACGACTCAACATTGAGTCTGTGAAATAAATGTGTAACCCTATAGTGTTTAGATTGTGAAAAAAATATTCTATGGTGTTAATGCTTAAAGTAATTACTTTACAGTACAATAGGGGAGGTTAAACTTTGAAACAATCAAACATCCTGTGGCAATACATCTTTAGCTGGATAATGACAACAGGCTCTTTGGAGATTTGTGTTTCAAATAATAGACTGTAACTTATGAGTACCTTCATGGCAGTGAATTCTCCTAAACCTTTTCCATACTCAGCTACACTTTCATGATGGTCAGCTCTGTGAAATTTATAAATGGAAGAAAAAAGATTTTTAAACAATTCTAGAAACTTTATACTTTTTAATGTAAGCACAGATATAATGTTCAAGAAATCTATTAACACACATCACATAAAAAGACAAGTTAAAAGGTACTTGTAACTCACAAAGATCCTAGATTCATCACAGCTATATCAGGAACACCAGAGACTCTTTTCAGCATATCAAGACCCAAGTGTGGAGCACTTCCTGGTTAATTAAAATTTCTAGCAATTAGCTACAATATTAATTATTTCATAGGAACTATTCATTGCTTGTACAAAATAACTGGGAGAAAAAAAAAACTTTTACCACAGAAAATTCTCAGTGCTAAAAATGGATGAGCTTAGGCAGTAACTTTTTCAACCAGCTAATTAAAACTAAAGAAACTTGAATGTCATTTTTCAAGTGGAATTCAACTTTCAGCAGTATGTTAGACAACAAAGCTGTGATAACAGTGCCAAGATTAATCCAATTTCTACACTATGTACCAATCAGGAGGAAATAATTAAGTTTGATTCAATTTTACAATTTATTAAACTGCACAATTTTTAATGATATTTTTTTTTTACAGACATCAATATTTCAACCAACTTATTAAATGTGCGTGTAAAAATGACAGTAACTAAAGTACAAAATGAATGTATAAATACTGCTATAGTGATTCAGTAGCTTGAGATTATGAACTCGACTACTGAACTGCTTCTAGAAAAATTCAATCAACATTCACTGGTCCAAGTTTTCTTTTTATAAACAAAAATAGTTTATCCTGTTCATAATGTTGTTTGTGTTGAAGTATACTTACCACCTTTTGTAAACAGTGTACATAACGGAGTCTCGAGAGTTAAATTTGTATTTCTGCCTGCATAAGTTATCAAACCAATTCTGCCTCCTGTTACCAGACTCTTTTCTATAACAAACTTCATCTGCCAAAAGAAAAAAAAAACAGGTACATAACCATTATCTTTTGTAGGTTTACAAGTCAGGACTAGGAATACTAGAAAAAATGTTTGGATGACTTACTCTAATCATCAAATGAGATTGTTTTTATTATGGACTGATATTCAAATAAATGCAACAAAACCATCAGTTGGAATCAGAGGCGTTGCTTGGTCAGTGTCACCCCCCCCCCCCCCGAATAAGAACAAAAAAAATATATATATATATACATTGTGAGTGGGGATGAATGGATAGGTCTACCGCCTGTTGTGAGGGTGGGGATAAACAGCAACACCACCAAATGTGAGAGTGGGGGTGATGAAGATGATGAAAATCCAACACACAAGTTCAAGTCAAAATATAATGTTCTTTATTAAAAATGTACAGGATCAACTTCCTACCTAACTAGCCTATTCTATACTATCTACTACTTCTAACTACACACTGATCAATCCTAACACTATCTAACTGTTCCCTAGCTCTACATATCTTGACCGTCTCTAACCGATACCTAAAACCTTCTCTGCCGCTGATCTAACTACTGACCCACGCTTAAGTGGTCAGCTGAACGTCCCACGTAACCGGTCAGCTCCTGTACTTTCATTGGTCTCTCTGACCAACTAGCTATAGCCTGTTTCTATTAACTTCTTTTACTAGGGCATCACATACATATATAAATATATATTATCTATATATATAAGGTCTACATAGGCCTATATACTATATGTATTGTTGCAATTGGTGTCACTGCCTCCCATTTTCATCATTTTGCCTAAAATGGCGTCAATTTGTGCACACATTTAATTAATCCACCAATCAATTCATGTGGAAAAAGCATCGTTTTCCTGATAAATTATTAGATTTCTGTGTCACCTCTTCCCCGGTCATTGATACTAACTACTAAAGTAGATCTGTACACTTGGACAACTAATAGTGACTAATACATCTAAAATAGTAAGTAATAACTATACATACTATAAATATTAAATACATAGGGCCTAAGCCCTATACAAATGCTTAATAAATAATTAATAGGCCGATGCTAGCCCCAATAAGATACGCATGCGATACGCATGCGCAATGGAGAGAACTTACGACTTGCCTTCGCGGCGATGTTTTTGAAGGTACTGCGCAAGCGTGTGTTTACAGCCCCAGAACCCTAACAACCCTAATCCTAACCCTATCCCTAATCCTATCCCTAACCCTATCCCTAATTCTATCCCTAATCCTATCCCTAATCCTAGCTAGGCCAATGCAAAAATTTAATTTCAGTAAAACAATATAATAGTTACATATTTAGATAGGGGCTGTCAATCTGATTACAGATCAGTTTGAATTTTCAAAATCTGACCATAAACAAAAAAGTTATGAATTTTTTTGTCATTAAAAAACAGCAGTTTTTTCAGACAACCGGGGTAGACCCTGAAAGAGGAAAAATACTGGGAGGGTATGGACCAAATTTTTAAGAGTTTTTCACTAAAAGTGGTATAAAAGTAAGCAGACTTCACCAATTGATGTCATTTTATGATATTTTGTAGATTTTTGTATGCCGAATCCAATGATGCTATTTTAAAAAGTGTCTTTTGATTACATAACAGACTTATTTCATGGATTATGTAATACCCCCCTTCAATTTTTTTTACAACATCTGATAATAGGATCATAATACGTGTGATAAGAAGTCATTCTTTAAATTAAACACTGTTTTAAACCATAATATGACATTTGAATATGCTGAAGCTAATGGTGATATTTAAAATGGTCGAACATTATTACAAAACTATAAAGGTCAGGTTATGTAATTCGCACCTTTTGCTCATAATTTACCATGTATTTATTTTAAAATCTCTTTTGCTCATTGTCAGTTAACTTAAGTGAATAGCCTACTTAAAGAAAAGATAACTAATACAGTTTTAATACAAAGAGAAGGATGCTATAACAATAGTATATTTGTGATGATGTAACTTCTTAAAATATGTTATGTAATCTATGTGCAATCGTACAGGCCTACTCTTCCAAAAATATAGGCATATCTTATTATATTTATATTTCTTGTTACTTTAAATGTCATACCATTGATACAACTTTCTTCTATAGAATTAGCCTAGTTACAAATGTGTCTTATCAGAATCAGTGTGCTTTATGACAATTTTGTAATATTTTTAAACACAAAAAAATTGCTCATTTTTACAATTTTAATAACATAAACATTGGAGGAAAATTGTTTTTTTTTTTAGCTTGTACAAGGTAGTGTAAGTTATAGGTCTATAACATAGATTTATATATGCTCAATGTTTATGCTAGTTGTAAGCTTGTGTATTTTGTAGGCCTACCATAGGCCTATTACATTAGGAAAAAAAGCACGTGTTTGAGTGCTTGACTGTGTGTAGTAGATGCTAGGTATTTTTAAAAGTTTCCCGTGTCTAGCTAAACACGGAGGCGTTTATCACCATCAGCATTTGCCTAGAATCTAGATTTAGTTCAATCAGACGTGGGTAACCAGGTTTTCTGACCAACGAATTTTATTGCCGTATTACGTAAACACGAGGCTAGATAGGCTAGTCGGCCAACCCGATGAACGTGTCAGACGAATATTCCCAGACAAAAGTCTGGGAAGATTTCCTGATCTATGCCCGAGGGTTAGTAACATCAACTCCACAAAGTGAAGGGGGAGGGAGGTGGGGTATGAAACCACCGCGAGCCGCTCGGGTACCGTACGGGTGTTATACAACATCAAAGGCGCCGACCCTCGGCTTGTCGCGTCACGGAGTAGTGGGGGCGGGGTGAGGCTATGGGTGTTACATACGGTGTTACAATAGTTACATACCGTGTAGGATGGTCAGTGACTCCCCATACCCACCCCATCCCATTTTGGTCGATTTGGCAAGCTAGTAACCTCCACGTTGTTAAGGGTTTTAAAATTTTTTAGTCAACCGAAAAAAGAGCCCGGGGTAAAATTTAATTTATTTTTTAGAGCCATTTTTTAGGAAAAGAAATGTACACAATAATGAAACGTTACGGCACGCGAATCACGTCAGCATTGTTTGGTCGGGTCGCAGCTATCCGGATTAATTTCTAAAGAAGATTAATTTTGACGATTAGTAAATACTATTACGACTTTTTTTTTTTGCCGTTTCAATGGTTTAAAACAAAGTTATGAAACATGCCTGTCTACTTAAATATAAAATAGCAATACCCGACGAGTCAAATACGGGAACACACGTATCTATCTTTAGAAATTGTTTATAGTCTCATCCAATCGGATCGACCGCCTAGCGTCACGTGACCACACACTCGGCTGTGCTACACGATGTGTAGATCACGATTCAGTCGGACGGCGGCCGACGCGTTAATTTTTATTTTCGTTCCGTCTTAAAATGTATGGACGGCTTTATTATGAGGTGTTATAATACATGTCATACATTAAAATAATCGGCGGGATTTCAGGAATACAGCTCAAGGTTCAAATGTAAAATAGGTCAAATAATAGACCGGGAAACTTAGTTCAACTTTGCGGTCCGATATCTCCCGAAGTATTTAACTTATTTTGACCACGAACCTTGAGCGTTGTACGTCTACATTTAATCTGTTCGTCTGCCAAATTTGATTGTTGTAGTACGTAAACTCGATACGTCTATAAAAAAAATTGTAGCGCGTCATATTTAAAACACAGCAATTCGAAGCACAGCCGAGCGGTTCAGTCGGACAGCGGTCGGCGCGTCATGTTTTGATTTTCGGTCCACTTCAAAGTCTATAGACGTCCTTATTATAGGGCCTAATATGACATATCATACATATTAATAAACGTCGAGATTTCAGGAATACAGCTCAAGGTTCAAATTAAAAATCGGTTCATTAATAGCCCAAATAACTTAGTTCAACTTTGCCGTTCGATATCTCCAAAAGTATTTAACATATTTTCCCCAAGAACCTTGAGCGTTATACGTGAACATTTAATCTATTCTTCTACCAAGTTTCACTGTTGTAGTACGAAAACTCAAAGAGTCTATAGACTCTAAGTAACACCCCTCTTTTAAAAAGGTGAAAAAGCCTCCCCCCTAATCGGCACGTCGCCGCGGGGGGTAAAAAATGCGATTAAATCGGCGATTTCTTCAACGTCTGAAATAATAAAGAAATCAAACTTATACAGTTAAAAAGGTTGTTCAATTACGAACAGAATGATGTATAATATGTTAACATAAACACAATAAAAGCATGCAAAAAACAGAGTTAAACATGCAGGGGGTAGGGAAAAGCCGATTTGTCCGATTTTCTCGGCAGCGGCATTGGCCTAGCTACTAATCCTACCCCTAACCCTCATTCTAGCTCTAACCCTAGCCATAGGTCACTGCGCATGCGCAGAGCTATCTTTTGCTGACCAAGTGGAGACGTTGGGGAGAAAAATCTTCTTCCGAGTAGTCACTTTGTAATTAATAGGGCCTATAATAATTTAATTAATATAAATATTAGATCTACATACACAATAGTAATACATAATAATATACATAATACATAGTTAGTAGGCCCTACATACTAGTACATAGATCTAGTACATATAGTACATACTAGTAAGTATAAGTAGTAACATAGTCATAGCAATACACTACACTCTACACTACACATGACATATCTCCCCCCCCCCCCTCCCCGCCATGCCATGATGGGTGATGCATAACCGTGTGTGGTATACCATACTCAGCCTACTCACTACTCAGTTCTAGAATCTAGATCTAGAGATCTGGATCTAGAATCTAGATAGAAACTTAAGTTAAACTTACTTTTAACTTTTTTAGTCGTCTTAGTCTTAGTTTTTTTCACCTCTTGGACCCGAGATCGGAGTGTGGCGGAGTTAGTCTACCAACAAATCAACAATAATGCAGGATATTTAATATCCTATTTATTTTGTAAACAATCACTCAATATAAATCAAACTTCAAGATTAGAATTTATTAGAGCATTTTAAATATGTAAACCCCTAGATCTAGGTAAAATCACGATATAGCGTCGGAAATTATTGGGTAATGTTCGTTGAGTTTCGGTAACATTCGTTACTGTAAACCATAGTTTATTTGACCGTTGGAAAAAAATAAAGTCAAGTGCATTAAATTAATGTTTAAACTTAATTTAATGTTTAACTGACAAAAAATTAGCAACAAATAGTAAATCTAAATATTATTAATAAAGTCAAGTGTAGTAATTATTTTTTTTTTAAGAAACACAGAAAAAACCTGCAGAAGATTTGCGACAACCAGCTCTAGTTCTGTTAGTAAAATAAAACGATTAGATTTACTAAAGTTAAATGTAGTAAGAAGAACTAGAATAATGTTTAGTAGCAGCAATAATTAGCACATACACTTAAAATAATTAGAAATACAAAATAATTAGCAAAACAGTATTTAAAATGCAACTAAAATCAATCCTTGCACATTTTTAAACATAATGTATTAAAAATAATATGGCGGCAAATAAATGATGGTTTACAGTATTTCCGGTGGTTTCCGGAACGGCTCGACAGACTATGCCATGGTTTTATTGTTTTTTACTGCTGTACAGTTCCGGAATAATAACCGACGCTATATCGTGATTTTACCTAGACTAAATAATATTCTATTGTATTGGGTCTAAAGTCTAGAGCTAATTTATTTTATTAGGGCTACAGATCTAGAATCTAGATCCAGAAACAGCATTTTTTAATCTTTCAGTTCAGTTTCAATGTAGATTGAAGATATTAGATATCCCCCCCCCCCACTTTTCAATCACCATATTTTTACTCTTAGTTATTTTAGTTGGATTTAGTTATTTTAGTAGGTCTAAGGCCTTTTATATATTTATCTATGATCTAGACTGATTAAGTTACTCAACTTACAATTATAATTAATTATTGAAGTTCTTGGTTAAAACAATTTTTTTTCTATAAACATGGCCTAAGTCATTATGTCTGACTCTGGCTGTATTTTTTAAATTATCTGTAATTTATTTAGGCTACAACTGTTAAAGGCCTATTATTCTAGAATAATCTGGAAATATCTGTACAGACCATTTGGTGACAGGACAAATGATATATGTGACAAATTCGTCCGTGAGATATTTTGTCTGAGATCATTTGTCCTGAGATCATTTGTCATGGAACCGACCATTTCTCTGCTTTAACTTACCTTAGTTAACACTTAAATTGACTTTTAATTATTAGGCCTATATAATTATTAATTAAGCTAATATTTAGTTGTAGTGAAATCTAGTCTACTAGTAGTCGTAACTTTTTAAACTAACAAACTACTAAACTAGATCTACTTAAACATCTTAAATATACAAATTAGATCTAGATCTAGATTAATTCGACAAGAATGTAGACTAGATCAATTTTTTAAAAAAAAACAGTTAACAATAATTGTGCCTACTAAAAGTAGGCCTAATTATAATAAAATATTAGTCCACCAAATAAAAGTAACATAAAATAAAAAAAGAAATGAATATCAGGTTAAACTTATAGGCCTATATCATATCTATTGTTGTTATTATACCTCTATAAATGCCATGGATTAGCCTTGTGCAAATATAAGTAGAATATATTACTCTAATCAACATTATTCTCTACTCTACCACTCTAGGCCCCAGCCCTAATCTACTAAGTAATAAAGTCATGATTAGAGAATTACTTGATCTTAGATAGATGGCTTTAATAGACTTTGACTAAACTAAAAAGTCATAAATATTTTAATATAGGCCTAAGTATCAACTATTATGAACAAATCTAAATAAGTGTATCTAATATACTAAAGTAATAGGCCATACACTCTTATCAGATCTAAAAAGTAGCTCTATAGTCTATTTGCCTAACACTTATTTAATTAGTTAAGTTTCCCTTATGTGTCATAAGATGTTGATTTTATACAAATTATTTAAGTTTATATCTAAATTTAGTAAGTTTTTACACCAAACTAATAAATTTATTGTCATATTATGCGGCGCTAATCCATCTTACTTGGCCTGGACTCTAGTATCACTTTTTAGTTTGCCAGTTACTTGGATTAGTTAGGTGAACAGTTGATTTATCATTAGCAATTCTCTTAAAATGCATGACTATGTCATTCTGCTGAGTAAAGAGTAAAGCATATAGGCCATATTAAATCTCTTCAAAAAATCGGTCAAATATTGTGGGTTTTTATCAACCTCATGTTTTAAGAACAAAACATTACTGACTAGTGATTAGTTAATTTTGCATTTACTTGATGTTCAGCTACTTTCAAGTGACTAACAAGCAAATAATTGTGGTTGTATTGCACTATTTAATTAAACTAGAAACCTTGCCTCTTTTACGAGTTAAGTTGTAAAGGAGATGGCATTATGAAGACATTAGGCAGATCTCCACACTGGAGATGTTGTTTCTTATACTTTTTTACTACCTAGTGTCTTAAATAACATGGAAAGTGTTCACATTATTCCCTGGCAACCTGGCTCTTCCTGTTGAAACTCTTCTGTGTCTGATATTGCACAAACCAGTGGTAGGTCATTATTTTTTAAGATAAAATACATTTAAAGTTTTAAGTAAAACAGTTACATGTATTAAGAATTTTTATGTGTGAATTTGTATTCTTTGTTGTCTTGTCAGATTTGTTTTCTAAGCTAAACAATCCAAATTTTTAATGTTGTCCTCAGCGAAATCATGGAAACCAGCTGTAAAAGTCTTGTTCAAGAAAATCAGGAAGTGGTGCGAGAGCTGATCAGTGAGGATGATGCAAGGACTGTGCCGGCCTTATCAAATCTTCACATTCTGGAGATGCCAGACTCCCTTTTTCTCCACATCTTCAGCTATCTCCCGTTCTCTTCAATTGGAACCATCTCACAGGTATGCCGCAGGTGGCATCAGATATCATATGATGAACTTTTGTGGCGTAGCGTGTTCCTTGGACACTACAAGCTCCCATCAAAAACTGTTATGCCAGTCAAGTAAGTAGACACATTTTGTTTTGAAACTGTGTTTTCAAAGTTTTAATTTTTGTTTTTAAATAAAGAAGCTTTGATGTTATTGTATTGAAATAAAACAGCTGGTTACGTTAAAATGTTACTTTTAGCATTAATGTATTTTTAAATTGAGTAAAATACTCATTTGTGTTATAGAAATATACATGTTTTATAAATACCATAACATAAAATTTTGTTGAGTTTATGTATGATGTAAAATGTTTAGAATTCAGTTAAACTAATTTAGAACAATAAATGCTATTTTCAATTATTGGATGCTACATTTATTTCCGTTCGTTTTTCAAATGACTCCATACAACCATCTTATTTTTTAAATTTATGTTAAATTTCCTTTTTTTTTAAAAAACTAGGGCCAAATCCTGGAGGTCAGAGTTCAAACGCTTATATTACCATACCCCTGCTGTGCTGAGTGAAGAGAGGAAAGAGCACAAGGATGAAGTCCTACATGTCAGTTTTTCTCATGATGGCACCAAGTTTGCCACTTGCTCCAAGGATGGGTATTTCAAAGTGAGGATTGTACTGTTTCTTTCAATTTATAATTTTTTTCTTCATTCTACATCAGGGGTCTCCAAACTACGGCCCGCGGGCCGGATGCGGCCCGCGAGGTCCTCTCATCCGGCCCTCGGAGATCTTTTAATCCACGGAAAAAAATGTTTGTTGTAGGTGGCTGAGGAAAAATGCCACCCCAATGAGATGCCTGGAAGAAACTCTGGCCCCCGAATTTATATTTGATAGTTAATACGGCCCTCTGGCTGAAAAGTTTGGAGACCCATGTTCTACATCAACAGGAAACTCACACTGATTCTTACTACAAAAAAAATAAGTGATGTTGTAAAAAAAATATCACATCAGTGTGAGGGATATTTTAAGTTGGTGAATGGTTTACTACAAGTTACTTTGTTGTTACACTGTTAGGTCTCTTTATACTCATATGGTGACACCATTAGTTCTGTTTTTATTTTTGTGGTGACACCATTAGCTCTGTTTACATTTCTGTGGTGACACCATTAGTTCTGTTTACATTTCTGTGGTGACACCATTAGTTCTGTTTACATTTCTGTGGTGACACTATTAGTTCTGTTAACAATTCTGTGGTGACACCATTAGTTCTGTTTACATTTCTGTGGTGACACCATTAGTTCTGTTTACATTACTGTTGTGACACCATTGGTTCTGTTTACATTTCTGTAGTGACACCATTAGTTCTGTTTACATTTCTGTGGTGACACCATTAGCTCTGTTTACATTTTTATGGTGACACCATTAGCTCTGTTAACATTTCTGTGGTGACACCATTAGGTCTGTTTACATTTCCCCAGTGACATACACCATTAGTGAACTCCATGCTGGTTTGTTTCAGGTCTGGCAGTGTACCCATCCTGTGGAGCTCTTGTTTAAAATGGACATGAAGAGCACATTCAGTTGGAAATTTACTCAGTTTTCTCAGTTCAATGAGACAGACACATGTCTCTTGGTCTCAGGTGTTTACTTTGGTAGACTGTCCACCTCAGGAGAGATTGCAGTTTTTAATTTACAAGGTTTGTTCCATTTATGTGGTTCTTGCAAAATGTTAAATATAATCAGGCTGTCTTATTAATTGATTTGTTCTGTTTCATGTTTTTTTTTACAAATGAAACAAGACCAAAGAGTGTACAATTTTACTGTAAATGAATAGTAGTTGCTTAATTATTTTTTAATTATTACAAATCTATGTAAAATAACTGTTTTAAAACCTTTTTTTAAAACTAATATTAATGCTTAATACTTAACAGTATGAATTCAAAATATGTACAATAATTCATCTGTGAAAATGATCCTATGGTTGATTTTCTATTTGTTTTTTAAATATATATTGCAATATTTTAAAAAAGTACAGATTCCTCTTTAGACCTAGTGATCTATTGGGCAGATGAAGTAGAGTTCATTTGTTTCTTGACCACAGCATATGATGGGATAATTCTGTCAGCCCTATGCCCAGCCACCTTTACTTTCCCTATCAGAGCTGGGTGGACTCAGGGAAGCTCTACTGACATTGTACCCTGATTCAAATTCATGACTTTTGGGTTAGCAGTCTAGCGATCTACCACTAGGCCACGCCGTCCCATATGTTGCAATATAGAATACCATATTTTGACTCTAAAACTATTTTTCAGATGGATTTAAGATGCAGTGTCGTGTGACCAACAAGCCATACGATGTGTTTGGTGCCTGGTACGACAATGACCACCTCTTGTCAGGAACACTGTACTGGACAGGAGACTTTAACTCTGTGTCTGCTGTTTGGTTAAGCAAGGTCAGAAAACTTGTGAGCATGCACATTTTATTCCTTTTAGTTTCTCAATTATTTTTTTACTTCCTTGACTGCCTATTTAATACTTGCTGATACTTATAAGCAAACCAAAAAAAATGTATAAAACAATCTCACGAAGAAAGAGAATTTTTTTAAACTTATAATTATGTTGATTTTTTTAAAAAATTGGATTACTTTTTTCTGAAAACATTATTTGTATAAACCTTCTTAGCTTGCAACTTTTTAACTTTTAGTCTGCACCTTCACTTTTAAACCTATAAATAGATTTACAACCAACATCTTTTTTGTTTTTGTAGGTAGTTTTATTCATCTTTTTTCTTTAATGCCACTATAATAATATCAACCTTTCTTTGATGCCTGTTGTTTATTAGTTGTCTGTTATTGATGCAAAATTAGATAATATATGGCATACTATTTTAGCATTATTTGTTATTTCCATAAAAGCTTATTTTAAGCTATGAAGTTCATTTCTGATATTTTTTTGTTATAGCTCTAGTCAGGAATTAAAATTTAAAAAATAAATCTAACCCTGATGTAATAAAAAGAAACATAACAACTGTTCATGTTTTCATTTATTTTTATGCTCCAGGCATCCCAGGAGGTGGAGTCTGAGATAGAATCTGTCAGCATGGTCCTCTACAGGTTTGAGAACGTCAACTCCAGCTCTATACGTCTGCTCCATGTGGCAGAGGTGGGTGGGCTTGTTTGATATCACTGACTCCATCTTGCTTTCTGTTGATGTTGGGCGATACAGTCCTGTATTTTATTTGTGTTGTGTTATCAATGTTTTTTTTTTCTGTACAGATTGAGCAGGATGAGGAAATGACAGATAAATCTGTTGATGAGTTTAGTGACGCCAACACACGAAGCAACAGCCTAGGCCCAGAGGACCGAGTGTCCAGTGACTCCGAACCAGACAACAGGAAAAACTTTTTCCATAACCAAAACAAGGGTCAACCAGAGGCTGATAAGACTTCCATTCTAGATCATCTGTTGAGGAAAGTCATTGCCGAGGATGAGTTTGACATTGAGAATGAGGACAAAACAGACGACGAAGATGAGATTGCTGAAGATGACTTGTGTGAGCAGGATTCGTGTGACAGGTTCGAGAGCGCTAGAGACTCACTGACACCTGCGGACGACGCGGTCTGCTGCTTGCTGGACAGCGATGCCGGCGCATCGGGCGGGTCATTCCAGTCTGAAGTTTCAGACCAGTGTCCAGCTGCCCAGAGTTTTGGTCCCTGTCATGCTGTGACCGGGTGTTGTCCAGTTGTTTGCAAAACACAGGTGTCAAAAGATTGTCCATTCACTACAAATAACATGGATCTACTATCTGGCATGCTGGATAACTCTAGCAGGTCACCTGGCATGCTGGATAACTCTAGTAGGTCGCCTGGCATGCTGGATAACTCTAGTAGGTCGCCTGGCATGCTGGATAACTCTAGTAGGTCACCTGGATTGCTGGATAACTCTAGCAGGTCGCCTGTTATGCTGGATAACTCTAGCAGGTCACCTGGCCATGTGCCAGACTCCACACTGCCATGTACGCTGTGGAACAAAAACAGTATTATGTATTGTTCAGATTCTGATTCAAATTGTTCCAGAAACTGCTCTCAGGTAGAGACCGTTCCTTCTCAAGGTGGCAGCGACACATCTGTCAACACTCCAGCTAAGAGTGTCGGCCAGAACATTGGTTCAATGTTGGCCCGGGCCGCCAGCTGCGATTTGGATATTTGGGACACGGACAGTGCCATGGAAGAGCTGATGAGGGACACTGAGCTGCATGCAACAGCTTCGTCCAGCCACCAGGGACACACTGAAAGACCATGCCACCCCTGCTCATCTGTCCCACCACACCAGAAAGAAACCCCCCCTCACTGCAGCATTCCCGGCTCAAAAAACCATTCACCGAGCGATGTGCCTTGCAACGACAACACCAGACCACCCGGCGTGGACAACAACAGCAACAACATCAGCACCCTGCCCTACCAGGCTCCCATAAACTTGGACCTCCACGCCAAGCAGGGCTGCTGCAACCACATCAGCCACAGCATCGCCACACAAACTGAGGGACTGGTCAGCCCCGCCAGCTCCTTCCACTCCCTGTCCCACATGAGCCATAGCTCCAGCCTCTCGCGAGACCTGGGCCAGAGCACACCCAGGGAGAAGTTGTTGATATACACTTGGGGATCAGAGACATACATCCCGCATAAAATTGGAATCAAGAGAATGCGGTGGACAGACTTCAGCAAGGTATTGTCTTGACAGATTTTTTTAGTTTAAAAATTCAGTTTCACTAAATTATACACCACACTAGTCTTACACATTATTTATAGATACATTTTTTTCTGAACAGTAGCAAGAAAGTATTTTACGACTTCATGCTATAAATCTTTATTTCAGAAAACTAAAAGGATAGGAAACTTCTTTATTTATGTTTCCTATTTAGAGATCTCATTTTCATGTTTTATTTAAGTAATTCAGATTTGGGGATAACTTTTAATGCATACAATTTTGTATTTGTTGTAATATTTCCTCTGAAATTTCTAATTTACACATAGAAACACAGCTTTGCACCATGTTTTTACATGGAGAATATGGCTTAATATGTTCATATTCAACAGGATTCAAGCCAATATATAAAATTAAATGCATTAGCTGATATTTTTTGCCATTAGTCAACAAGACATCATAACTGATTGTTTAATGCAAACTTTATCTGTGAACTCTCCAGGGGGAAGTAACAGCAAGGCGCTCATCTATGCTGTTACCTGATGTGATGGAGAACCTCCACAACATGGCAGGGAACAGAAGGGATAAGCCTGACGTTACCATAGAGATGCATGGCCACATAGTTGGTCTTAGCCTGTCGCCTGATCACAAGTAAGTTATCAAAATATTCCAATAGATCTCATTGTAAATGTGTTTCACCAGTTGTAGGTCTATATTTTTTTAGGTGCTTTTCTTTTTACATAAAACGAAGCTAACAAAATAAAACAAATTTCTACTTACAGGTGGTGCATTATAATTTGATCTTTAAATTTGATCCTACGTTAATTCCAAACTCTTTTTCCTTTTGATATCAGATTCTTGTATGTGAATTGTCGCCCTTGGCCTCAAAACTACATAATCTCAGATCCTCAAGAATCGCCTCCCTTAGCTCAGGAAGTTGAGATCTCTACAATAGACCTGACAACTTTTAAATTTGTGGGGCCAGTACTGAGGTCCCACAAGGCCTACACCCACAGTGATGAATGTTTCTTCTTGAACCTGGATGTCTCAGAGCATTACGTTGCTAGGTACAGCTACCAACAGTGTTTGATTTTTTTTGTTATGATACATTACGTTGCTAGGTACAGCTACCAGCAGTGTTTGTTTGGGTTTTTTTGTTATGACAGTTATAGTTTTATACCAGAATTTTCAAAAGCAACATGATAATTTAATTTATGCAATTTAAAAAAAACATATTAACAGTAAACACTAGTGACAGTTCATAATTCAATAACTTTATCTTAAGTGATAAAAATCACATTAAGCTTCAGGATAAAGAGGTTATGATTAACTGAGTGATGAACTAAAGTAGAAAGGATAAATGTCATATTTTGTTAACAGAGCACAAAGGATAATGCCTTTTAATTTTAATAAATTTCTCTAGCTACTTTTAACTTGGTTAAAGCTAAAGAAAAGTAGAATGATTGTTGTAAAACTAACCAAATTTTTCATTTGCTGGCTTTGGATATTTTTAGATTTATTTTATTTTACAAGCTGAACTAATTTACATTTTTCTCCGCTATCTAGTGGTGCAGAGGACCGTCAAGGGTACCTGTGGGACCGGCACTATGGTATGCCGCTGTACAGGTTTCCCCATCGCAATGTGGTCAACTGCGTGGCCGTCAACCCTCAAGACTCGGAGCAGCTGGTGACTGTCAGTGACGACTACACCTTCAAGGTTTGGATCTCTCGATGTCGAGCCAAGCAGCTGGCGCAGGTAAAATCTGGCGTCTAAGGCTCACATCAAAATCCAGGTGGAAAGGTGCCGACCTTTCTCATCGCTTGAGGTCTTTTAAGGCTGGCAGCTGTGCTATCCAGGACAATGAATCCTAGTTAGATTCTTAGTGTGTTTAGTGGAGTTGAGCCGAGCTGTTGTTAAACTTGTTGCTTCCAGTTCATATAACTAGCATGATGCACTCATTTCTTCATACATATCTATCAGTGTCTGACACTTGTAGCCATGCTCAATCCATGTCATTCATTTTTTTCTCTCCAACAAAGTTGGAAGCTTTGCCATATTTCTACATGCACTTTTTGTCTAGACAGACATTTTGTTTTACTCTTCTTTTTTAGATGTATCATCATATATACATTTTAAGCAAAAAATGGAAAGTGCTTAGAAAAATTCTTTGGTTTCGGCTGTTGAACAGCATTTGTTTAAAAGATATTTCAATAGAACTTTTTTGTGTGTGTTTAGCGAGTAGTTTTTTTGTCACTGTCTTTGAAATAACAGTCTAGGCTGAGCTGTTGTAAATGTCACTTTTCTTGGCCATTTTGCGCGCAGCCTGTTGCCATTTCTAAGTACAATTTAATATTGTATTTTACATCAGTTGAAGGAAAAATATTTTGACTACTGCTCATCAACTTGTCTTGATGCAGAATGTGGTGTTTTTTTTTTTTCTTCTTTTTGTTATAGTGGTGGAGGTTTAATTAAACACTCTTTAACGAAGCTCTGACCCCACCTAACATGCAGGTGAAAACCACAGTATAAAAAAGTGATTATAGTATTTGGCCACTGGGTTTTGCCATCTGATTATCTAGTTTTGTGCCATGCAGGAATTAAATCATTTATAGGGGCGTATCTATCTGCTATTTCTGTAACTAAATTATTTACAAGTTAATTTTTTTTTAAAACTAGTGTTAATTATGCTGTGTTGATCTATTACATCACAGAGAAACTTAAATTATATCCACATAAGCATTTTACAGATGAGCCTTATAAACTCAGCCCTCCATTTTTAAAATGTCTCCAAGGGCAGTAACTTAGCTTTTTATGTGTAGCATACTGCTTTCCCTTTGCCAAAACAAAATGATTTGAATACACTTGCATGTGTACATTTTCATGTAAATTTTGTTTCCATTTCACATCTACATGCTTGTGTGGAATGAGAATACTTTTATTGAAACACATTGGGGGCAGCAAATATAACTGTTTTGTGTGTTATTCCTGTCTGGATATATATTATTGGTTCTAATACTGTACTTGAAATTTTACTGCAAATAAAACTGTTAAATGTGACTTATTTTGTTCTTTGCCTTTTCAGTCTTTATTTAACCACAAAACCTTAATAATTTTTTAATTATTTAAATTGTCTCCCTTGCCTTACCTAATGGCAGATGGAGAAAGAAGCTGATAAGCACCAGCAAGTGGCAATATTACAAAAATATTACTTCAGAGGTCAGTTTTCAGCCAAAGTAAACTGTAGCATATTCTAAATAAAATAATCTGCTGAAATGTTTGTTATAGATAACATAACAATGCAGATGTAGGAAATTATTAAAGTAATAGAAAGTGATTCTGACTTAGCAGTTTTCCCAGGTGCCTCAAAATGCACATAAACCACCAGATAAACCATGGTGTAAGGGCAAACAAGGTTGTTTTTTTTAAATTTTGAATTTATTTACAAATATCTAATACAATCAAAATGGTATGAATAATGAAGCAATGTAAATTCCTAGCATACATTCATGCAATTCAAAATGTCTCAGTCTTCGCACATATTTCTTATTCAAACTGTCAACAAGCCCCCCCCCCTCCACACAGTAACATTACCTCAATTTTCTGTCACATAAAAAAAAAACCACACCACTCATCCCTAACACACCCACATCAATCATCCACATCCTCCACAATTTCTGGGCTGCTCTCACTGGTGTCATTGTTTAATGTGATTTCAAAGTCTGCGCTTTTAGACTGGCCAGCTGCTGTGTCATCTTCATCACTGACTTCCTCCACGTCCTTGTCACTGTCCTCTATGATCTCCGGGGCAGCAGGGGCTGGCTTGGGTGCTTTGTCTTTCTTTTTCTCAGATTTCTCCAAGCGGAAAGCTGTTTGATTACATGAGGAATACAATACAAACATATAGTTTCCATTTCTGTACAGGTCAATAAAATAAGCTTGTTGGTTGGTATAAAATGCACTGAGAACAATACAGTATCCTTTGAGAAGTTTTTTTCATATTGTATAGCAGGTACGCTAAAGATAACGGCGATAGCAAAAAAAAAAATTCAAATGCACCTTGCTGATGTTTCAATTAATACTACATTCGTCCATTAATTTTAATGAACAGGGATATTTTTAAAATATGTTAAAATTAATACAATTCAGGGAATTATCATCATGATAATTGTGAGAGATTGAGTAATGACAAGAGACCCTCCGTAAAGTACGTTATTAGTTTGGCGTGCCTTAAAAGATATGCTTGTTGATTAAGCAGGTGACAATAGCACTTTACATGGAATGTTGAGAGGAAGGTTACAATCCAGCCAACTAAGTAAGCCCCTACCTTCTTGGCACTGCTGCAGAGGTTCAATAAACTGCTCAAACTCCATGTCTTCCATAGCACTTAATACATCCTGGGCATTGATTGTTTTTCGTTTGTTTTTTACAGCAAAGTTATTGGAACTAAAATACACAATACAAATTTTGTCCAAAGTTATTTATTTAAGGAGGAGAAATGAGTTATTTATTAAAAACCAAAAGTGTAAACATTTGATCTAGACAAAAATAAAAGCCTATCCAATTAGTAGTTAATAATGCAAAACCTTTAAAAATACATACCAAGACGTAGCATACAGAACAAATACACTGGCAGCTTTAGATATAGCTAGCCTGGCTTCCTTAGAAACATTGACACCCTCTGGGATCTAGTTGCAGACATTAACAAATGTTAGTTTCATTATATAGAAAAACATACTTGAGTGGATTGTACATTAGATAAAGTTTCTAATATATACACAGATCCTTCAGATAATGAAACCTGTAACTAATCAACATACACACACATTCTATTTATAAAGAGGATTGTAAATGTGTTTAAAATTAAACATATAAACTTACATTCTATCTTTGAGTAACAGTAACACTAGTTATTGCAAACAAGCAAATAAATACTATTATTTGCATGATTAATTACTATACGGCATATTATTAAAGCCACTGAATTATTACAGAATAGATTTTAAACACAAAACGAACATACCAGAAGAGAGAAGTGAAGACAATATATTGGAACTTACTGCATCTTTAATTATTCGGGTGACCACTGCATTGGGCAAATTTAAATCTTCTGGTCTTTCAGCCATGCTACTTCATGAAAGTTTACAAACTAGCCACCTTGATATTTGTGCAGATTCAAAACTTCTAGATAGTTGACAGTTTAGAATACTTTACTTACAACTTGCCTGTTAAAGAAAAAAAATAACAATCTTGATATTGAATATTATGAAACAGTTTAAAAACAACAGATAATGTACTTTAATGTAGGCCTATAACCAAGTAACAAAGGTTTTTTTTTTTGTAGCATAAAAGTTAAGTCACAAGAAATTTAAAACATTGACTTCTAGCGAGGTAAGGATAAAATGGAAGATATGAAACGGCAAGGCAGTGAAATGCAAGAAAGGTGTAAAAACCACCAATAGATTAATATCCTGGGTGGGGATTAAATGTGAACATATTTTCAACAATTTTACCATCCAAATTTTAAATTGCCAATATTTGAAAATGAACTTTGATTGATGCAGATTTGAAATACATAAGATTGTTTTTTCATCTGCACCAAACATATGTCAAGTCTAGTGTTTATAAACAGATTTTTACAGAATGAACCAATAATTGATCAACTTCTTTCTATTGTGTCGACTTAGAGTACCACCTTGTTCAAAGTCACTTTTCAATTGTGAATTAGGCGCAAGTTTTATTTTAATTGATGTTGATTCTTATTGATTTGGTGACTTAAATTATAATTAATGGCTAGGGTTAGTAGACAGATTATTTTCATTTTTATCTAGATTCTACTGGGTGTTGGTAAATTGCATGGTGAGATATGGGGAGGGGGTAAATTGCGAAAAGGGTGCAAAAACCGCCGGTCATGTGACATTTTTGTCTCACATCTGACCCCCACCTGATACTTATGCGGGATGGGGTAAAATGCGAAGATGTCTGTGAAAATGATACTGCACCTGATTTACAATGAACTTTAATGCAGGCTTCAGACATTTTGTTTGTATTGTTATAATGTTATCTTACAACTTTGATTTTTCTGTTGCTAGACATGCTGATGATTTATCAACTTTATTCTTTTATGTCAACTAAGAATACCACCTTGTTTGAAACTGCCGGAAAACATATGTTGTATTGTTGTAAAGAAATTTTATAGTATTACCGCTGCCTATGATGTATTTTTTTCATATCAATATCAATTTTGTTGATTTTTTAAAATATTTATAATTGAAATTACCAAATAAAAAATAAATTAGGCTTACACTTTTTAAATTGTTTATTTATACTTCTACGCTTTCTACAAGTACAACACTCAGTGGTGTAGCGAGGTTGGGTGTCACCCGGTGCGACACTTAATGGTGGTCACCCCCCCCCCCCCCCCCCCCAGAGGCATAGCGACCCTTCCCGGGGACAAACTTTTAAACTTTCGATTAGCAACCCCCCCTCAAGTTTTCGATTTGCACCCCCTACTCCCTCAAGTTTTCGATTTGCACCCCCTCAAACTTTCGATTTGCACCCCCCCCCCCTCAAGTTTTTCTCTATATATTTTGCTATTTTTTGCCTTGGTGTCACCCCCCTAAATGGTGTCACCCCGGTGCCGTCCGCACCCCGCCCCCCCCCTCGCTACGCCTCTGAAAACACTACAATATGTCAAAGATCGGAAGGTATTAGCCTTCATTCAATGTGGCTAAATATTTCTCCCGCTGACAAGATTTTACAAACTCACAATTGCCCCAAGCACGTTTGTCATATTGCTATTGCTCAGGCTATAACCTATGTTACAGTTTTTATATGCACTGACTGTAACCCCTCAAACGGCTGTAATTTGCTAGCGAAGACAAGAAAAAGTGAGCGTGCGAGAAGCAGGCGACAATGTTTTGATTTTTTAAAAAATTTAAACTAGATCTCAGGCAAAAAAAAAAAAAGAACAACATATACAACAGTCGTGATAGATCTATCTATATCTATTTGTTTAGTTTGTTCTTCTCACACATCTAGAGAAAAAGCGAACCACTAAAAGCATGAAACAAAAAAATGTCTGGCTATTTAATTTATCTATTAATCTGCAGATATATCTCGCATTTTCTTATCTCAATTTACTGTCTTGCTATTTCGCGCTTTGCACTTTACCAACACCCGATTGTATCTCTCTTAAACTAGAGTCAGATTGACATAGAGTTTCTAACCATAAAAGTAAACTACTTGAGATTAGTGATTACATTACTTAGGCCTTAGGCCTAACTAACCAGTAGCAGTCTACTAGAATAGTATAATAGTAGTTACTAGTAGTAGTAGCACTATAAGTATATAATAATATATTAGTGATTTAGTGAGTGTTAAGTGTAGTAGTAATAGTACAGTGAGTCAGTGTACAGTACAGTAACAGTACAGTACTACAGTAGATCTACACTAGTAGTAGTACAGTACTTAAGTATTACTAACTACAACAACACCTAGCCTAGTCCTAACGTCACACTTATTTCTGGAAGAGTCTATTATGAGACATCGGTATCTTCAATTACATTAGAATTTGGCATTAATAGCCTATAATGGTAACACAAATGTAAATGATAATCTAGATATCTAGAATGTTAAGTCTACCCATTAAAGAAGAAATAAACTTTTGTTAGTCTCCATTCATATTTATTTTTTGTTAAAGTGCCAGTTACGATTGTTGAAACGTTGCCACGGTTTGTAGATTTAGTTTTTGTCCAGATCATAACTGTTAACCGGTGTTTCACTTTGATATGCTTAATATTTAGTATCTCAATGAATATAACATTGCCTTCTGATTAAAAGAGTCTAAATGATTTGAAAAAAAATACAAATAAAAATTTCAAATTAAAGTTGCCAAACAGCTGAAATTTCCGCATCTAAGCCTAAGTGGCAACTGTGTTTGGCTGATTCCAGGCGGGAAAAGCACCGTTGACAGAGTGCTCTGCTAGGCTCATTTCAACGCCAAAGATAGACATAGACATAGCCCAATATGATATCGTTCTAGAAATGGCGAAGTCTTTTTAGCCACACGGGAGCCGAGCCCACTGCTCCTCACGGCATCGAATCGCCTCGCCTTACAGTGCACCAGACATTTCGACATTTAAAATTTTCTGAAGGGGGGGGGGGGGGTCGACGATTTTAAAAATATAACACCGCCCCCCCCCCCCCCCACCCCAGGCGATAGAATTAGAAGGGCAACCATTCTTTTATTCTTCCCTCTTTAAACTTTTAGCAACAGAACAAAGATGCTCCCCTTCAATCGCCAATGAATGAAGATCTCAAGAAGTGGTGAAAAATCACTCAAAACTTGAAAGAAACCACTGAATAAGATCTTATACATACGTATAAAATTTTGTCCACCTACCTAAAACGGTACTTGTACTTAACTTATCGGTATTTTAGAAACAAAAGATTGATTAAAGTACCACTTCTAGATATCGGAGGTCGCTAAAAAATTGAAAGTAATCCAAGTATATGATCTTAACTTACGTATACAATTTCATCTACCTAACTGCAACAGTAGACCCACTCAAATTATCGGCTTTTAAGAAACCGGAGTAAATACCACTGCCGACAACCGAAAATCGCTAAAAACGTGATATATTACAACAGATTTTCATTTGTTATAATACCTATGTATGAAATTTCGTCAAGCGAACTGAAACGGTAGGCTATGCTCATGTTATCTTGTTCACATTCACAGACATGCTTGAGAAAGTATTGCAAAACTAAGTTTTCCCGACGGAGGAAGGTCTAAAGCATCGAGTCTTGGGGGAAAAAATTCGATTGTTCACACGATTTTAATACTTCTTCTAGGCCTATATTCTGTCTACGCGAAAGTAGAACAGTGTCAGTAGAACGTGAAAACGGTGAAATACGGAGTGATACAGTGTGTGGACAGTGTTTCTTCCAGACTTTTTTCTCCGGGGGGGGGGGGCACTTGAGATTTTCGGGGTGGAGGGGGGGGCGGACACTATTTAAAGTATATATTTTCTATATAAATTATATACATTTCATTTCGTTCGGGGGGCGGTCAAAATGTTTCGGGGGGGGGGGGGGGGGGGCAACCCCCCCCCCCCCCCCCCCCCCCGAAGAGATGCCTGGAAGAAACTGTGTATGGACATTGAAGGTCTGTTGATGTTCGTGTTATTCTTGGAACAGTGATTATTCATCAAGAAATAAAGTGTTGTAATCTCAAATCTTCAGTCAGGGTGTGATTGTTTACATGAATTGGATGACAGAGCCAAATGAGGTGTCCCCAGCTTCACGGCCCAATTCCTAAGCCGTGGACGAATACAAGACAGGTGGTTACACACCTCTGTCGCATGTGGGCGCTGCCAGAAGGGGTTGAACAAAACCTAACAAAGAACATCACACATCTGTCACATACACTCACAAACACATACAGACAGACATTCACACAGACAGACACACACACACACACACACACATATATATATATATATATATATATATATATATATATATATATATATATATATATATATATATATATATATATATATATATAAACATATATATATATATATATATATATATATATATAAACGTATATATATATATATATATTGATGTCAGGCAAACTGTACCTAGGGGCCTATAGGTGAACGATCTCTAGCCCTGGACACCTGGCTCCAAGAGCCATACCCTGGCAAACCGCCTCAGACAGCGGGCCAAACCACATGAGGGGGTGATGCTAACACATCATCACTGGGCTAAACGCCGTTAATAAAACTGAGCTGTAGGGGCCTACAACTCTATAACCCCAGGAGACCACGAGAAACTAAATGTCCCTATTGCTATCAATGAGTATCAACAATGACACAGAAATCCTCGCCCATGCGTCCTTGATTTCTCTGGCACTGGCTCGCGCTGTGTGTGAGCGCCTCTCGTCTATTTTTAGTTCCCGCGGTGCTTCCATCATGGCAGACGAGATAGGCCGAATCTAGCAGACGAATACTGTAAGTCATTATTTCTCCATTAGACGATGTGTAATTTAAAACTCAAGTAACCTTAAAAAATGGAAATAACTGCTGTTGGTGAATTTAAACATAATCTACTATTGGTGATATCAATGTACTCACTCAAGAGGTTCAATGCATTACCTAGATTCGACCATTCATTTAAAACATAGCGCAAACCTAAAAGAAAAAAGAAAGAAATCATATTCATCACCCAAACCAATGCCGTATAATCGTATATATTTTTTTGTAAACAATTTGGTGTACGTCGTGTAGATTTTATTTTGTTTCTCCAGAATTGTACTGGCAACCTACGATATATGCCTACATATCCATTGTATTTGGCTATTTCGGGTACTACAAGAAATATAGGCCAAATCATCATTATTGTATAAATATTCAGTTAATTAATTTGGCCTATCTTAAACGACAGCGAACTAGCTCACACCGCTGACGTTTCTCATTAGGACGGATGACCAACCAATGACGCTCAGGTTATTACATGTGTGACCTATAAGCTTGCTATTTTTAGAATTTTTTTTACTGCTGAGTTTGCTGTGCCATATCACAGGTCAGGTTAAATTGTATTACAAAAGAGACGGCATTCATCGAAAAATTCTCGACAAAACGGCCACGACATAATGGCCACGACAAAACGGCCACGACATAATGGCCACGACAAAATGGCCACGACGTAAATCAACAGTAATAAATCAAAATCCCTTAGGCCTATATATAATGCAAAACAAGATTACAACGCTCTCTGCCAATGATAAAAAGTCGTCCATAGATTTAGTAATGCATCTCTTCTGGAAAGGGGGGGGGGGGGGGAATCTCAATCTAACACTAATGGCATGTGCATCATATCTCGATCTAATTATGCTAGTATGTGCATCATATGTCAGTCCCACAATGCTATTGACAGTCCCACAATGCTATTGACAGTCCCACAATGCTATTGACAGTCCCACAATGCTATTGACAGTCTTACAATGCTATTGACAGTCTCACAATGCTATTGACGGTCCCACAATGCTATTGACAGTCCCACAATGCTATTGACAGTCCCACAATGCTATTGACAGTCCCACAATGCTATTGACAGTCCCAAAATGCTATTGACAGTCCCACAATGCTATTGACAGTCCCACAATGCTATTGACAGCCTTACAATGCTATTGACGGTCCCACAATGCTATTGACAGTCCCACAATGCTATTGACAGTCCCACAGTGCTATTGACAGTCCCACAGTGCTATTGACAGTCTCACAATACTATTGACAGTCCCACAATGCTATTGACAGTCCCACAATGCTATTGACAGTCCCACAATGCTATTTACAGGGATCAGATGAACCCCCACCGACTAAACCCTAGACCTGGAGCATGAGGCTGATCCCAACACAGACCCAGATGAGGCTGATCCCAACACAGACCCAGATGAGGCTGACCCCGTTAAAGGTCGCCTTTCTACTGGGGTCAGTGCTAGCCTTGGTCATCTGGTGTTGTGGCGGCTGGCGAAGTGGCTGGTGGAACCTCGGTGTTATCAAAGGTAATGGTGGGACCTCGGTGTTATCAAAGGTAATGGTGGGACCTCAGTGTTATCAAAGGTAATGGTGGGACCTCGGTGTTATCAAAGGTAATGGTGGGACCTCGGTGTTATCAAAGGTAATGGTGGGACCTTAATGTTATCAAAGGTAATGGAACCTCAGTGTTATCAAAGGTAATGGTGGGACCTCAGTGTTATCAAAGGTAATGGTGGGACCTCAGTGTTATCAAAGGTAATGGTGGGACCTCAGTGTTATCAAAGGTAATGGTGGGACCTCAGTGTTATCAAAGGTAATGGTGGGACCTCAGTGTTTTCAAAGGTAATGGTGGGACCTCGGTGTTATCAAAGGTAATGGTGGGACCTCAGTGTTATCAAAGGTAATGGTGGGACCTCGGTGTTATCAAAGGTAAACTGTGAAGTTGTCAGGGGATATTTTTTGGCCACACTTTAGGATACTTAGTTGGCCTCAATAGGGCGGGTGTCATCCGTTGCGGTCCGCACCCCCGCCCCCGCCGCGCGACGCCTCTTATGATAGATAGGCCTACACTGGTCCAATTACTTGTGTGACATGTCAGTGTTGAATACAGTTTGTCACATTTATTGACAATAACGTAGCCAATATCCACCGTGTTAAATTTTAAGTTATTCATCTGGCACATCATGGGGCAGAAGAAGTAGAGTTTACCTGTTTCTATGACATCGGCATAGTGTGGCCAGCACTATGCCCAGCCGCCTTTACTGACCCAACATGATTAAGGTACGCAGGGTAGGGAGCTGGTTGGTCTCAAGACGTCCTTCGGGATTCGAACTCGGGACTTCCGGGTTAGTAGCCGTGCGCTCTATAGCCCGACAAGCCCATCGCCCCTGTATTAGTACTTAACAAATAAAACTTTAATTCTGTAGACCTGAACATCATGCATCAAATACCCCCGCCCCCCCCCTCCCCCCCCCCCCAACTACGGCAATGTGTTAATGTTATAGAAAGTCATTACTAAACTATAATCAATAGCTCTACCAGAATCAGACAACAAGACGAAAGGGCTACTCTTCTTACACTTCCCTGACTACTATGGGATCGAAACCATCCTAGGCACAGCTTTCTTCAGCAGCTGTGCTAAAAAATGTTACATAACCACCAACTCCAGCAGACTTGACGACGCCGACGCCGTTCTCTTCTACTCCCACCACCAGCAGCAACACACCCCCCTGGATCCCGCCAAAAAAAACCCGAACCAAAAGTGGATTTTCTTCGCGTCAGAGAGCCCGGCCAACTCCCACCCCCTCAACATCTCCACCCCCGCCTGGCGGTGTAAGTTCGACTGGACCATGACCTACAGGTACGACTCGGATTTCTTCCACGGCTACGGCCGGTTGTCCAGACGTTACGTGCCCGCGTCATTTGAACAGAAGACCGCAGACGTGAAAAAATGGAAAGAAAATTTCCGCACCAAAACTCGCCTCGTGGCTTGGTTTGTCAGTAATTGTAAGACGGAGAGTTTCCGGGAGAAGTATGTGGAGCAGTTGTCGAGGTACATTCCTGTGGATGTGTACGGTAACTGTGGGAGCCTGAAGTGTGAGGACAGGAGGAGGTGTCTGGAGATGCTCACCCACAGGTACAAGTTCTACCTGGCCTTTGAGAATAGCCTGTGTACGGATTACGTCACGGAGAAGCTGTTCAATGTTTTCAAACTCAACTCGGTCGTTCCCGTCGTGAGGGGTGGGGCTGACTACAGAAAACATTTCCCCCCGGGGTCGGTCATTGACACCAACGACTTCCCGTCCCCGGAGAGGCTGGCCTCGTTTCTAAAGCATTTGGCTCAGAACGAGGTAAGGTTTTTATAAACAGACCGTTTGCGATAAAATCATGTTGCTATTGATACAATGTTAATGAAATATTAATATTTATTTTTTAAATTAAAAATCTGATCAATGTACCTAATTTCGAAAGTAATTTGCAAAAATCTCCTGAATCAACTTGTGATTTGCGATGTTTTCGGCAAAATCAATATTTGATAACAGCCATCAATGAGATTAATTTTTACGCTGGTTAAGGGGAAACTACTCAATTAATACTGTCGAAATTAGTGTCGTCATGTATTGACTTCCCTTTAGTGCAGGGCGAAAATAACCAAAACTAATTCTTCTAAAACGGCAGATTTGTAAAATCTACTTTAAGAAAATGTTGTTTTTAAAACTTTTTTATATAATAAAGCAATACACAAGATTCAAAACGGAAACACGTATTTAAAAAGATGAATGGCCACATGAGCAGTTGAATTTAGCTAAGTCTTCATAGATACGAGTTTAGCAGAGTGTTAACAAAATAAAAAATATTTCATACATCTAAAAATATTATTCATTTAAATTTTTACCATGAACTTAATTAATTATCAAATTCAGCATTAATGAACATAATCAATGAGGGCAACTGTTTGGTTCCAGAGTGCTTATGTGGAAAAGCTCCAGTGGTCCTGGGATTATCAAGTCCTGGGTCCCAGCATGCCCCTGTGTCAGATCTGCCAGTTGCTACACAGCCCCCACACGGCGCCCTGCGTTTATCAAGACGTCGCCCATTGGTGGGCCAAAGACACGTGCTATAAACCACGTGACCTGCCCACTTAGTAAACACACTGCCTAAAAATATGTTCCAGAATGATCAAATTATGCTGCATGTTGTTTTTTGCAGCTAATAAAGCCATAATTTATTGAAGATTTGAAGAAAAAAAACTCTGTACTATATATGTTAAAATGTGTTATTAAATTGGTTTTTATCATTAAAATATTTTATTTTAAACTTTCTTTCCTCGTTCTGAAGAGTTCAGTATTGGTGTTGCCTTACAGAAATTCATTGAGCAAGTCAAACACTTGCCGGTTTCGGAACAAACCATTTCTTCTTCGTCTTCCCTATTGGTCTATGGCAGATTCAATTCAACTCGCTAGCTGCTTAATATGACCCGTGGTAAAATGACCCGAGAAAATGGCTCAGACAAAACAGTCCCTAAAACGATAATTGACAATAGGAATTAAGTTAAAGTAGCCCCGACGATAAACTGTTGATACCTGACCTAGCAACGCCACTGGTCTAGCATATCCGGGCTTCATACACCCACGAAAGATAACTGTCATATACAGGTTTCAAATACTCACAAGGGAGGTTAGTCATATCCGGGCTTCATACACCCACGAAAGAGAACTGTCATATACAGGTTTCAAATACTCACAAGGGAGGGAAGTCATATCCGGGCTTCATACACCCACGAAAGAGAACTGTCATATACAGGTTTCAAATACTCACAAGGGAGGTTAGTCATATCCGGGCTTCATACACCCACGAAAGAGAACTGTCATATACAGGTTTCAAATACTCACAAGGGAGAGAAGTCATATCCGGGCTTCATACACCCACGAAAGAGAACTGTCATATACAGGTTTCAAATACTCACAAGGGAGGTTAGTCATATCCGGGCTTCATACACCCACGATGAAGTAAAGTATATATTCACGTATAGACAATGCTTCATCGGGATGGGGCCCTCGCGAATATGCTGCCCTCTGTCTAAGTAATGGAAACTTGTATATTTACTCGATCGAGATGGGGCCCTCGCGAATATGCTGCCCTCTGTCTAAGTAATGGAAACTTGTATATTGACTCGATCGAGATGGGGCCCTCGCGAATATTCTGCCCTCTGTCTAAGTAATGGAAACTTGTATATTGACTCGATCGGGATGGGGCCCTCGCGAATATTCTGCCCTCTGTCTAAGTAATGGAAACTTGTATATTGACTCGATCGGGATGGGGCCCTCACGAATATTCTGCAAAAATGCAGGCTTTGCAGTAGCCTTCTTATTTCCTGATGTTTCGTTCACGCATAGAAATGCGCGGACTCTACAGAAAGCTCCAGTATATATCTGTAATATAACGCTGATGGTAGTGTGTCAGTCCTTTCTTCCTTCCTTCCTTCCGTCATCGCTATAGATTTTAGAAGTATCTCCCTGGGCGCGGACGCCCGGGAAAACGTGGTGTTTGGCGGCGGTTTAAATTACGCCTTGGGTTCAGGGAGGAGAGATGGCTGGGCGGACGAAGGTGAGAACTTTGGCCCTTAATTTTTTTACCGTAATTTAATTTTTGTGATCCATATTCGCACCAAGGTGCTACCGACACCCGCGCGCAGCGCGGTGCGTTGAAGAAATATCCGCCCCAATGCGGGGACCCCCTTCCGCGCGCAGCGCGGTAATAATGGTATAAGGGTTTGGGTTTGGGTTTAGTTTTGGGTTTAGTTTTGTTCTATTCACTAACGCAAACGCAACACACATAACATAAACACAACTTAAGTGCAAACATAAACGCATAATCCTCACAGTCTAGCCCGGGGCGCCAAATCGCATCCTGCCGAGGCACCGGCGGAACCGCCAGATTCAACTTAGTAAAAGACTATTATACCCCTGTGACCTACTTAGGTCTTCTTTTTTAATAGTTTAATTTTATTAATATTTTAAATGGCCTTGAGCTGTCTGCTGTTTAAACTAAGAAATGTTCCACCAGACTCATGTGATAGTATTCACAACTGTGTTCGTGTGACTCGTGTTTGGCTCCATCCCCCAATGGTCCATGGCATTGATGTCAACATCCCATAATTTTAGAGTAGTATATAAAGGAGGAATTTTCCAAACACGAAGCGCCCCACAAGACACCCACTCAGAGAGAGAGCCACGTCGCCATGTTGTACTTTGTAGATTAAGCAGTAATTATCTCTAGGTTCCAGTGTATTCAGTATTTTTCTGTATCTTAATTTTCATAACGTGTAGGTTGAGTCATTTAGATAATGTATCCAGTGTTAATTGTAGAAAGAAGTGTTTGTGATTTCCATAAAATTGTAAGTTGGCTTTTAAATAAGTGTATAGTTTTTGGATTGTATTTTATTATTTAAACTTGTTTGCTTTTTAGAAGGTTTTTTTAGATTGATTAAAAGTTCTATTAGTTTTAAAAGGTCTTTGTATTTATAGTTAACCCTAGACATTTGATTTCGAGTCTACGAAGAGTTTTTGTTTCTTGTAATCTGTTATAGTTTCTTATAATTCATCAGTCTAGAACCATCCCAAAAGAATACGGGAGTTACGTAATATTTATCAGTGACAGATACCCCTACTTATCCATAAAATAAACAAAAGGCAGTAGTTATATTCTAACAATGATGTTCCCTTGTACGTCCGCATAATTAGCATTCACATTTTTTTTAAATTAGCGTGAGTTGAATTTATTTTTTAAATTACATCCCTTGGCAAAATTATAAAACATTCTAGCAGGTACCCAGTCGATATGACCCGTGGTATAAAGTCCTCAAGAAATCGCCACTGACACAATAATCCCTAAAACGGTTATCGACCAAAGGATTAAGATAAGGTAACTCTACAGAAGACCCTCGACATAAGTCTCACACTATGTTCTCACAACAAGTCAGCACCTCGCCCATCTGTTACACGAAAACAAATTTCCCACAACCAAACGTTAAAGATTAAATTAAGATTCAGATTCATAATGGATTTTTTTTTATTCCTAAAAATAAGATATTTAAACATAAGACTAATATGTATGCATGATTACTCCATCTTCTTTACTCAGTACAACACAACAATGGGACATCCCATTTCTTTTCACTGTTTGAAGTCCAGCTGATGACGTCATATCCGCTCAGCCATCTTGTCTGACGTCTTTATTAACCATTGAATGGGCGGGTGGTCTGAGGCCTGCCGGTGGTGGGGTAGTCGCCCCCCAGGGGAGCGGTGCTGCGACCCCCGAGAAGTAGATCAATGAGGAGCTGGTAGGGGTTGACGCCCGCCCCGAAGTAGAGGGAGCAGGAGTTGTCCAGTGTCCTCAGGACAATGTCCCTGTGCTCCACGTACTCTTTGCCTCGGCAGACGTTCTGAAGGTTGACCCCTCGGGCGTCACGACAGCCACCAGCACCCTGAAATATATAGAATTATATATATATATATATATATATATATATATATATATATATATATATATATATATATATATATAAATATATATATATATATATATATATATATATATATATATATATATATATATATAGTGAGAGATAGAAAGCATATATATATATATATATATTTATATATATATATAATGTATATATATATATATATATATATATATATATATATATATATATATATATATATATATATATATATATATATATATATATATATATATATATATATATATATATATATATATATATATATATATATATATATATATATATATATATATATATATATATAGCTTATATTTGTGATTATAAAAATGTGTGCGTGTTTTTTTATATAATTAATAAAGACGGCGTGGTCGACGGGTAGAGTTAATGTCTGCTGAACCGAAAGCCTCGAGTATGTAGGACGTTCAAGTCTACCCAGCTTAGATGGGTAACTACCCCACGTTAGAGAATCCAAGGGGGTTGGGTATGTAGTGCTGACCACACTATCCCCATATGCTGACCATACTATCCCCATATGCTGACCACACTATCCCCATATGCTGACCATACTATCCCCATATGCTGACCATACTATCCCCATATGCTGACCAAAAATCCCCATATGCTGACCATACTATCCCCATATGCTGACCACACTATCCCCATATACTGACCACACTATCCCCATATGCTGACCACACTATCCCCATATGCTGACCACACTATCCCCATATGCTGACCACACTATCCCCATATGCTGACCACACTATCCCCATATGCTGACCACACTATCCCCATATGCTGACCACACTATCCCCATATGCTGACCCAGATGCGTAGCGAGGGGGAGGGACGGGATTGCGGACCGCACCGGGTGACACCATTTAGGGGGGTGACACCAAGGCAAAAAATAGCAAAATTTAAAGAGAAAATTTTGAGAGGGGGTGGGGTGCAAATCGCAAGCTTGAGGGAGGGGGGGTGCAAATCGAAAGTTTGAGGGGGGGGGGGAGTGCAAATCGAAAATTTGAAAGTTTGTACCCGGGAAGGGTCGCTACGTCTCTGGGGGGGGGTGACACCATTAAGTGCCGAACCGGGTGACACCCGACCTCGCTACGCCACTGTGCTGACCACAATATCCCCATATGCTGACCACACTATCCCCTTGTACACGGAGGTCTATGAAACAGATTAGCTCTACTCGACATTGTTAAAGTGACGTCATGTAGACGTGAGTACACCGTCACCAACAGATAGAAGGTCATGACCTACCTCGTTGAAGTACATGCCCTCCCCACAGAATGAGCACTGAGCGTACAGGTAGTTCAAGGAGCAGGTGAAGTAGGCGTTGCAGTAACGTTCATGGGGGACAACAAAAGCCCACTTGGGGTTGGACCCGGCTGGGGGGTTGAGGCAGATACGTGGGATACGGAGATCTGTAAAAACACGTTTAATTAGAAGCATTAGTTAGATATATAGCACACGAAGATCTGTAAAAATACGTTTAATTAGAGATATCAGATATATAGCATACGAAGATCTGTAAAAACACGTTTAATTAGAATCATCTTTTGCTGGCCATGTAAAACAAATCCTAGAATTATTTTTTAATATGGTTGAATCAAATTTTAATTACACTGTATATTTTCTTTACAAACTTTAAAAAAATTAATCTAGATATGACTTGTTTTAATGCTATATCTACACCCATCTCTTCAGTCCATCTTGATGTATGTGAGAAGAGGGTATCAGAGTAATTACGTGCAAATTAAACTCAGTAGAGATCAAAATTCCGATACGTAACTTGATATTGCCATACAGATACATAACTCTTCAATCTATTTAACTAACTGCAACATCAAATCAAAGCTTCCCCTTGTTTCTAGGCCTATGCACCAAATGTCCCCTGCTCTTGTCTACTACGACATTCTGTACTATGTCGCGTCAAATTCTCACTACATATATTCCATCAAGCAAATAAAACAGCTACAACTAAATTCTATCGTCAATACGAACTAACCATATAACCTTCTTAATAATTGTCTTTATCTTAATTTTTCATTAGTGCGGTCACATATGAATTTACGCTTGATACCATAATATACTAAGAAAATAAAAGTATTTTAAAAAAACAACAACTCCATTTTAAGATTTAATATATCTTTGGGTGTAGGGGGTTCTACATAACTATACAAACTTGTAAATAAATGCATAAAGAAAGAAGTGAATGTAATAACAAGAAGAGCTCCTTACTTCTTGCTGCCTCCTCGTTACAGTTGGGTCTGCTGGAGTCTAGAGGGTAGACACAGGTGCCGTTACGTGGGTCGAAGATGAGCTGGGGGCTGCAGTCTGAGAGGGTGGGTACCCCACCGTCACACTGCCAGTACTTTGTGCAGTCGTTCTGGTATTCGTAGTTCCTCATTTCATTGCTGGGACAGTTAACTGGACGGGAGGGACAGAGGCGTATCCAGGTTTTCGTTGTAGGGGGAGCGAAATGAGCAAAAAAAGGCGCCGAATTTTTAACACGTTCTATATACATGTATTTTATATATATATATATATATATATATATATATATATATATATATATATATATATATATATATATATATATATATATATATAATTACTAGCTGTATGTCATTACTTCGCTATGATGTAAAATAAATTGTTATTAGCACTTGAAGAAATAAGAAAAAAAACACAATATATATATATATATATATATATATATATATATATATATATATATATATATATATATATATATATATATATATGTATATATACTTCAACTAAAAACAATAAACGCAACACAATCTTTATTGTAATTCTTGTAAAAAAAATGTTTACATAAAATTCCTGGGACATTAATTAAGACAAGCGAAATAGGGGAAATAATCACGCTTTTAGTATAAATATGTATATATCTACATATTTAATTATAAATGTAAAAAAAAATCAATGATTGCTTTAGAATGTAATATGGTTGTTTAACAGTATTCGTGTTTTCATTTTTTTTGTCTACAATCAGAATTAAATATATCGTCATCATAAATGCTAAAGTATTATAGCATAATGGAAGTTTTTTTAAATCAGAGTTGGTATAAAAACACGCTTTAAATATTATAGAAAAACATGCGCAATAACAGCTTACATTTAACTAAAATTATTGGTCATTTTAGTTCAGATCATATATCTCACGGGTTCCCAACCTGGGGGTCGCGACCCCCCTGGGGGTCGCGAAGGTCTTTCTGGGGGGTCGCCAACTGGTATACTAAACCTTAGTAATTGAAAACAAAACTTAAATATTTAGAAGAATTTTTGAAATTCGGCTTCATTAACATCACTGGAAATGTAATAGAGAAGAAACAAAGCGCACTGTACAAAGTTGTTCTCAGTCACGCATCTATGAAATCTTCAAAACTAAAACGTCATTTGAGACGAGTCATTCGGAACACACACAAAATATATGGAATTCTTTCGTCGGTAAGAAGCTAGTTGCAAACGCCAGTGACTTGATCAAACAGGAAGTTTTCACCAGCATTAGTGCAAGCATCAAATAAAGTCGCGATAGAAAATGCCAAGCAAAAAAAAAAAAAAAAAAAAAAAAAGGAGAAAATCTCATCAAACGCTGCATGTACGTAAATGTTAAATAACACATTTTTATTGAAATTAAGCTTTCACCATTGTTTGCTTTTCAAGTTGATAAATCAACAGACGTGAGTTCGTGTTGGCAGTTGCTGGTCTGTGTCTATATTCATGCGGATGATAGCAAAGAAGAGTTGCTATTTTGTGGAGATAGCATCGAGAAAATAAAACGTTTTTTTTTTAAACGGTAGGACTAAAATGGGTTAGAACGGCTTTGGGGGTTTGCACGGATGGTGCGCCATCTATGTTTAGCTCAAAATCGGGCTTTCAGAAAACATAAAAGATTTAGCTCCCTAACCACTGCACTAACCAATCGACATCAAGAGTCCATTGCTAGTATAAGTCGTAAATTATATAAAATCTGGAGCCTTCAAAGAACTGAGCAAAAACATTAATATAGATCACGAGGTTCTGCTCTTCTACACTACAGTACGCTGGCTGTCAAACAAAATGTTGTAAATTGTGTTTTTGAATTGAAATCTGAAATCAAATTGTTCTTGGAAGTGCAAAATAAACACGACTTTTTGTTATACTTAAAACGACATAGAGTGGTTGTAGAGAGTATCATACCTAGAAGATGTGTTCGAACATCAAGATAACTTTAACCTGAAGATTCATGGAAAATGAACGAATACTATAACATTCCATGATAATCTCGGGGCATTTTTATCAAAGCTACAAAATCGATACAGAAAATAAATCTTTGAAATATTGTAACTTTAAGAAACTCTGCGGTGTGGTAGATGAATCTGATTGTGAGATATTTAAAAATTTGAAAGAAGCGATTTCTGGGCATCTTGAATCTCTTGAAAACGAACTGCATCGCTATTTCTCTGAGCTGAAAAAAGAAGAATCTGCATTTACGCATTACCCATTCTCTTCTTCCCTTGAAGTTGCCAGCATTCCCGATGAATTACAAGATGAATTATTTGATTTGCAGAATGATTCCGAGTAAGATGAAAAACTGCAGACACAATTTTGGTGTAGTATTCACCATTCATACCCAAACGTAAAATTGATTGACTTTTCGAGAATATATTTTCAACACTATTCTTCGATTAAAAACAAAATTAAGATAATTATAATGACATAGGTTGGCGTTAAAAAAAAAATTTTAAAATTAAAAACTTAACCACGAAGGTTTAGTGAATAGTATGCAATTTTACTCATGCTATTAAAACAGTTATCAAGAGTAGTTCATATTGAAAGTCTACTAGAAAATCTTATTTTAGTGCTTATTACTTTCCATACTAATTTCGGCTCTATAATTCTATGGGGGTCGCGGGTCACTTACTTTTTATTAAAGGGGGTCGCCACTCGAAAAAGGTTGGGAACCACTGATATATCTTTTAATTAACTACTGCTTTTTGTATTCTTTAAAGATCATTTTTTAACATAGTTATCAGGTATGGGTTAGATCACTGTATTGATCACACACCTTTTTACTGGTAATTGCAAAAACAATATTCACAGAGTTTTACCTGATTCAAAAGCTATGATTCTGGCGGCATGGTACTTTTGTACATCGTTACGCGTTTTCCCACATGTACTTAACAGATCAGTTCGGGTGGGTTGGGGGGGGGGGTTCAAATTCATTCACCAATGTCCGGTCACTTTAGGTCAATTACCCAACCCAGTGTATACCTAGGTGTGAATTACTGTCGCTCTACACAATAGTGGTGGTGAGGTGTGTGTGTGTGTGTGTGTGTGTGTGGTGAACAGAGTGAACATAGCGTCAGTTTTAGATGACTGTTCTAAACATACATATTCAATTACACATATATACTGATTCAGAAATAGATTTAAATAAGTAGCAATGGTATTATGACACTATTTTATGGGGGGAGGGGGGGGGTTGTAACTGTTTCATATAATTTGTAATCGTAATCACTATCGCCCAAACTGTCATAATACTACTACTTAAGTCATCGTGGTAACGTTGTTGACCTTGTCAAAATGTCCCCACCACTACGCAGTTTGCCCATAAGTAAATTTAAATAGAGGTGCCACATCAGTTATATTTGTGTCTGTATTGTAATTTTTTAAAATTAATTACACGTTTAAAACTGTATATATAAAGTGATTATATGTGAAGATTTATGTATAATATTTTCTAGATCAATTTTTCTTAAGCAAATACATTATACAGTTGCCTTAAACTTAACACATTCTTGCCAAGTGGTACTACCCGTAGAGGTTTTTTAAAATTACAATGCATCGTAATTGTTATTTTTAGAATGACAAACTTGATACAGCTGTTAATACGTGTTGTAAACGTAGACGCTACTAGAATAGTACAATTCTGCTTAATTGCTGCATGAAAAGAAATCTTGTGATTTACATAGATGTGCCGACCAAAAATAATTTTTTAACAAAAATCATTGTTTAAAACTTTGAGTTTAAAAAGTTTCCAAAAAGGCGCCACTTTCCTGAAAATGGCCAGAGGGGGAGCGGCCGCTCCCCCTGCTCCCCCCCTGCGTACGCTACTGGGGAGGGAGTATTTTAAGTTAACAAGTCAACTCGGCTATCTTGGTGTGGTAGTGGTAAAAATTGAGAAGTGTGAACAAATTGTGGGCAGGGGAAAATTAAACTGAAACCGATCTTGGCTCTCTAGTACCTATTTTAAAACCGAAACTTGTTATATCGATATAAGAAAATCAGAAAGAAACAATTTTGGGGACCCTATTATTCGGAGCCCCCTGTATATGAGACGCGTGTTAATGCGCCGACTGATTACTAGACTGAAAGAAACATATTTTTATTT